TCAATAACGGAGAGTACAAAAGCAGATTCAACTGGACAGACGTTCTCCAGGCAGAAAACTACTGCACAGAGAACCTCTTTGAACACAGGGCTCGGAGAGGAATTCACTATAAATGTTAAAAAGCCACAGAGAGACCCTGAACTAGATCTGTTTGCTGATATGATACCAGACATTAAAGTTTCTTCCACAGGTTTGTTAATGCCAGCACAAAGAACAGAACTAAATGTTACTGCCAAACCAACTGAAGAAGCATCAAAATGTACAGAGAAGATTCTGAGAACAGAAGCTAATTCACCAACTCTAGCACTTGCATCAAAGTTTGCAGCAGACATTGTTGAGGTGAGTTGAAACTTTCGATCAAGTGGCATTGGTACTTTTTAAACTATGGCCTGAAAGAGTAGGATACACTATCGTGAGTTTTTTTGGTAGAAAATGTAGGCTTCCTCTTGTATCTTGTGTAAATGTTTTTGATTATTCAACACTGTAGTGATCAGTAGTTCAACACCCTTTAGTATTTTATAGAAAAACTGAAAAATATTTCCTGTACTTCTCATGAATATCTTGAATTGCTCTGCCCCTTCTGTTGGTTACAATGGTCTAAGGTTTCAGTCTAATTCAGTGGAGACCAAGGTCTTCAATCTGTGTTGAATGACTGCATAATTTCCTAAAGAGTTTATATTTGGGGAAAAAAAAAGTGAATGCTACTCAGCTTTTAAATACAGAGCCCCTCAATACACGAGTAAAATTAGATAAAGTCTGCATGGATTTGGAGCAGGAGTAATGAAGCACATTGGAATACACATTTCAAATCTTCACTGGCCCAATTTTGCTTTATTTGTTGTTTTGTCATGTTAACTGGAATGGAACTGGTGATTGCAAAGGACTTTTATTAGCATTGATGGCTGTCAAATTCTAAATCAAATTATATATGCCAGCAACTCAATATTATGAGACATGCAGATTAAAAACTTCCAATTTATCTTTGTCAAATTTTAGTTTCAGCTACTTCTACTACGAGACTAGGATATAATTTGAGAACTTTCCATGCCAGCAGAATGTTGAGCACATAAGCATTGTTGTTTCAGTAACCCAGTGATATCCATATGGAAACATTGATTTATTTTAAGAGAATTTTTAAACAAAATTCATGAGTTGTTTCAATGTAATCTCTTGTTCACCCAATTACTATTAATACTGTTTTCAATATTTGTTCAATTTTGATGCAATTTTTTAAATTTAGGAAATTTCTTGTTAAATATTGTTTTATAGATATTACGTATCATATGTGAAGGAGGTACTATTTTTGATTGATTCCCCTTTGGAAATGTTGCAAAGTACAAAGTCTTGTAGTATTTTCAATTCCCAAAATTTCACTGTAGAGATTTCTATAGCTTTGATAAAAGTAGACTTTGTATTTGATAACCCAGAGATTTATGCATGACAACACTAGTGTAACAAACAGATTTGTGCTGATTTGGAGGAGGGAAAGATGGTCTTGGAATCTTCTCGTGGTGTGATTGTGATGAACCCTCATTTCTGATGCAAAAGCTAGGGATGGAGTAAAGCAAATGAGTGCAGTAGAGGGGTGAGAAGCATCATAATGAGCCATTCACTGATTTATAGTCTGATTTCCTGCACCAGAGCAAAGTCAAGATGAAAAAATGGGTCCTGGTATTAAATTTACAGGGCTTTTCACTAGGGCCGATTTAATGGTAATGTTCAAGAAACCTAGAAGTTCTTAGAAATCCTTAGTACCTTAAATGCTTCCTGCCCAACAGCCAGCCTCGTGGGACCACCTGTGGTGTAAAGTCTCATTAAGTCAAGTGGGGAAATAGGATGAGAATGAGCTTGTGTGGTAGGCAGGTAGTGGCTAAAGAAATTGGTATTTGCTTGGAAGCAGGTAAGGTTTTTGGACTGGAGAAAGCAGTCTTGCTGCAAGCCAGCTGAAAAGACACATAACTTATTGACTTGGCCTTTTTCATCTCCTTTCAACTGCTAGGTATGCTGGTTAAATGAAGGCAGCCAACTGGGTTACATGTTGCCAATCAATTCCCCTCTCTGGACTGGATTGGGTATACTGCACCATTAAAAAGATGCCTGCATTGTAGGATTGGCTTTAAATAAAAAAAGACTTTTACTGGATATACATCTGCTCATTTTGTACAGTAAAAGTAAAGTGGGAAATGGGAGTGTACGTGTATTTTAAAGGACTGGGGAGAAGGCAGATCTAGAATGGGTCACTGACATGCACCTCCTGACTAGTAATTTTCTGAATATGTAGTACTGCTGATGGCAGTGAACACAGTCTACATGCAAGCTGGCAGGAAGTCTGGGAGCACCAGAAGCAGCTAGAAAAGATGTTTTCCAATCCCGCACATGCCAAAAAGATGTAAATTTCTCCCACACTCCACTGGATCTTTTCTACAAATGTTTATTAAAACACATAAATTGATACCGGAGCTTAACAATACATTGTCACTGCTCTGCACATGTAATTATTTGATTTCTCAAATCTCTTTGCCCAAAGACAACCTAGTTTATGGGAAGATAAGATATTATATATGGTTATCTTAAATATGTACTGTTTGGTCTTTTTCAGGTGGAAACTGAAGGCTGGGAAGATGATCTGAACTGGGAGGATAATAGTTGGTGAAATAGAAACTGTGCCTAAAACAATTTTGTAAATGAAGATCAACATCTTTGATACTCAAACACTCTGGCCCTACCACCTCCCCCTATCCTTTGACTATGACTTTTGCCAACCAGTTTAGCTTTTGTTTAGTACAAAAAGTATAGCTGGTGGAATAAAGATGGTGGTGTTTTATTGCCTCTGCAAATACCTGAAGAAACAGTTTTTAAAGAGTATCTGAGAAGGATATATCAGGAACTACACAATGCCATTAGCTGTTTGCTTGTTGGGATAGGTCATCTTAGTGATACTTACTGAGTACCAGAAATGCTTTATTTTGAAATTTGATTCTATTTGTGCAGATCTTAAATGTTATATAGAGGAAGGTGTACTGCTGGTTTCTCCTCTGTGACTTGCAACTAATTTACCCTATAGATTAAAATGCAAGTTTCTTTGGTGAAATGTTTGAGTAATCCGGATTTCGGTGAAAAGTGATTGTTACTGTTTTCTGTGTACATTTAAACTAAAAGTGTAACAAAGTAATTTTGCTTGCACTTCGGCATAAAATGCAACCTGAGGCTGCCCCAGTGCCCCTTTATTAACAGAGTAGATTAAGACTCCCTGGAGGAGTTAATCTCATTCAGAAGTCAAACTAGCCTAACCTCATGCTCTACAGCTGGTGAAGTCAGTGTGCAGATATCAAAATTATAAAGTGCACCATTGAATGCCAAATGTTTCTGAGATATAACATTTACAGTTATTAATTTGGTGCAAAGCCCTGCCTTAGAAGCTCCATACTACCTGTTTAAGTTGGTAAATGTAAAGATTGCAATGCCCCATTATCGGAGGTAGTTGGAAAGGTTGAAATTATAGTTACTTTTTTTCCTGTCAAATAACAGTTGGTGTTTTGAGTTTTAATAAAGTTATGTATAAGTTCTGTCATATACCCTAAGAAGAATCAGATGGTACAAGGATGTTTTTAGATCATTGAGCTGAAGCAGGGCTAAAATTGTTTTTCATTTTTGGTGCCATGTACATCTCGACTAATTCTAACCTCATATGAACACCAATGACTCAAGCATTGGGAAATCACCACATTAGTAAAGTCTTTGAAATATTTGTTTCGGGTGCATGTAGATACTTTTGACTCAAAATACCAAATAGAATATTTAAATCAAGGGCTTGATACATATTGCAATATTCATAAGTGCAGAAATATTGATGGGGATTTTAATGAATACTTTTTTGTAATTACAACTATTTTGTGTGTTTAGGAACTACACCAAAATAGTTCTAATTGAACATTTGATTGTATTTCTGAATATGGAAGGCGAATGTGTATATTTTACATTATTTTCTGATGGCAACATTTGCTTTCAGTTGGCAAATGTGATTTTTAAGCTCCTAGAGGTCTGTTTTCACTGATCCTCCAACTCAGCAGCAAATAAAATAATCTCTCATGACTATTTTAATTGCACATGGAAATATATATATTGGAATCCCCTATTTGCAACCAAAAACCTCTGGGAATAATAAAATGATTTAGTGGAACAAAAGTTAAAACAATGGCCTTCACATGTTGAGGACTGAAGTTTCTATATTTGAATTAAATTCTCCCTATGTATTAGCTGTCTATTTACATAGATTTAAACCAGTTCTTATTGAGCATATGTACACAACACAAAATAGCTCAACTTATACATAGGCCACAATACAGAAATGAAGCACGATATATGGTAAAGCTTTTCCTGTTCAATATTAATCACTCAGGTATCCAGTGCCAGATTGAATTGATCCTTGCCTTAGCACTGTCAAATGGACAAAATTCAGAATTTTTCGCCCTTTAATTTTTTTTAGCAGATCAGACTTGGAGATTTGTTTTTATTCTGAATCTGTGGATAATTACTCAAAACATACTGCTTTGCTATGAAGAATCACCAATGAACAGTTGAAGCAGCAAACATCCACTTGTAATATTCGATCCTACATAATTACTTAATTTTAATTGTACAAACCAGCTTAAGTGAAAAGTATGAAACTGTTAATTTCTAGTCAGTTCAGAAGCTGCAGGGTTTAAACAGATCACCATCAGATATTGAGGACTTGGAACTGAAACACTGGACAAATTTAATGTGAATACTCTGGGATTGCTGCTTTAATTCATTAATAGTTAAAACCTTCTTTCAGTTTTATTAATTTTTCTTTATCCTTCCAAAACTATTAGATGTAGATATTTAAACATTAGTGACAGTGTATTTGGACAATGCAATTGCAAGTTATCAACATAAATTAATATGTACTTAGACAGCCACAAGTCCTTATTCAGCAAGGTATCAAGTTAGACTAATTTAAGGACGTTCATTCAACTGAATTATTTAATGTTTAGCTTTATTTTGAAAGTGAATTCCCAATAATAAAATGGCCAATTTTTAAAAAAGTAAAATAATTTATTGGATTCAAATGTATTAATTTTTTTCTATAATAAAGAGCTATTTGAAAGAAAAGTTACATTTAACATTGGTGGTTTTATACTTAATTGCAACAGTGACTACATCCAGCAACAAAATCTTGATACTTTTCAATTTAAAAACACATTCTCTTTGCAGGTTTAAGCACTCCATTGTGGCAGAAAAGGGATGATCAGCTTCTCGCTGGCAGGCAGAATGCAGACACAAAATGAGATTATCAGATGGTGCATGTAACTCATATCTTGTGATCCTTAGCAAACTTCTTACTGCATGTGTTCACAGCTCCACTCAGTTGTAAAATGTCCATTACAAAACAGAATTTGCTCTTTTGGGGTTTATGAAGGTACTATATATGTGGTGAATTACCAAATGCTACAGAAGTGTGGCCCCTTGATCTAAAACTTTAATAAAACCTGTGCAAATTTGAAAGCATTCGCTTGACTAATTCCAACTTTCAGTTCACTTACCAGACTCTGAACTCAGTTGAGAATTTAGCAATGTAGTTAGTTGTTTTGTCACCTTTGAATTTGTTCATTGCATTAGTTAACTCAAGTAGCACAGGTTTTTTTTTTAAGAAATTGGTCAATTGGCTGCTCATTTATCTACCTGACTAGCTGAAGTGGATACTGCTGATTCACTTTAGCTGTTACAGAAAACTGCAAAAAATTTTAAATCTGTATCTTAACAGGTTGAAAACTTAACTAATGAGTGAGCAACAAATACATTATGTATGGTTAATTTGACGCAAATCAACACTGGAACATTAGCCACATGTAGTACATTACATGCAATTCTTGACTATCTCAAAAGATAGCCGACTGGCATCACTGATCAATTCCATTATACAGTGATGATAGTCATTCCTCTCTGCAGCAAGACAATGTAACTTCTTCAGACTGTTATATACTTTATTGCCTGCCATTGTTCATGGCAGTGATTGTTGTTTGTAGGGCTTGTAAACGGACCTTTATCCATTCTGGTGCTGGTCCCTGTTTTAGCAAAGTCTGTAATGTTTTAAAAGCATTTTCTGCTGCTTGCAAGGTTTTCTCATACTCCTCCTCTTCAAATTGTTCCAACCTGGCACGTTTAGCATATGGCTGAAAAGAGAAGTAGAAAGGCTCAGCCCTAGTAACAAATTCTTCAACTATGACCTGAGCTCCTGTAATGACTCTCCAGTGCACTTTCAACTAGTGATTTGTTAGTGCGGGTCATTGGTTAATTTAAGAACAGAGCCCCCTGCCTTTTGAAGCACATTTTCCTCCTGAGAGTTCCCGTAGGAACAGGAGGCCGTTCACCTTCGAGCCTGCTCCTCCGCTCGGTGAGATCATGGCTGATCTGTGGCCAAAGTCCAAATGCCTGCCTTGGTTCATATCTCTTGATATTCTTGCTTTAAATTTAAATGAGTCAAATTATTATTAATAACTGAACTAGCATCGACCACCATTTGAGGAAGAGAGTTCCAAACCTCCACTATTCTTTGTGTGTAGGAGAGCTTTCTAACATCTCTCATGACTAGCCTATTTCTTAGGTTTTGTCCCCTCGTTCTAGAATCTTAAACCAGTGGAAATAGTTTCTTTGTCTGCCCTGTCTTTCCCGGTTAATATCCTGAAGACCACTATTAAACCACCCCTTAACCTTCTAGAGAATAGAGGCCAAATTTATTTAATTTCTCCTGAACATAAGCCCTTAAGTCCAAGTAACCCTTATAAATCTGCACTAAACTCCCTCCAGGGCCAAAACATCCTTCTTAAGATGTGGTGCCCAGTACTAAGTGGGGTCTAACTAGTATTTTGTATGACTGCAGCATAATGTCTACATCCCCATACTCCAGCCCTTTAGATAGGAAGGCCAGCATTTCATCAGCCTTGATTATTTCTGCACCCTTTGTGGCATAAAGAGTTATGCACCTGAACCCACAAATCTTGTTGGACATCTATATTTAACATTGTGCCTTCTGAAAAATACCAATATCCATTTTTTTGACTTCAGTGGATAACCTCACATGCTTGTGTTAAAATTGATCTGCCACAGCTTTGTCCATTACCTAATGTAGCCAAATCCTGTTGTAATTTTATGCTGTCATCACCCCCTTCTACAATGCTGCCTGGTTTTGTCTTCAGCAAATTGACATATTTGAATTTTTATGCTGTCATCCAGGTTGTTAAGTGAATAATTGAGGCCTCAACATAGATCCCTGCCTGTGTTTTCAAATGAACCTGTTGGACTATAACCTGGTGTCGTGTAATTTGACTTTGTCCACCCCAGTCCAACACCAGCACCTCCATATCATTCTCGCATACTGACTGTTTCTCCAGTACCCCCGTAACCTATCCTTTTTGTACAGGTCCTACTTGCCATGGAAGAGGTTTGATGATCCAGATATCGGAATCCCTCTTACACCAGCTCTTTAGTGATATATTCAGCTGTGCTATCTTCCTATTTCTGGCTTCACTAGCATATGACAATGGTGGGTAATCCTTAAGTTACAACCCTAGAGGTCCAACTTTATAACTTCTGTCTCCCTCCCTAACTTCCTTTTGCAGGACCTCAGCACCCTTCCTGCTTGTTCACGATCTCCGATGAAGCATCGATTCCTTTCTCATTTTCTCCCCTAACCACCTCACTCACTCTCACAAACTCAGCAGAAGTCCGTGCACTTGCTGGAGGCAACCCATTTTCTTAATTGCTGTCAGTACCTTCAGTCATTACAAAACCATATGCAACACATGAGTTAACACCCAATTTTATAAATATTTCCAAGAACAAAACAAGAATTATAAAGAACATTACAATGGTTTATGCTGATTTCATTCAGGGTAGCAGTTTAGATACTACAAGCCTGGTTTTAGGTTAGTGGAAATGAGTCCAGATATCTGCTACTGATAGCTTAACCAAATATGCATATTTCCAAATGGAGTTGTAGGATGGCTATGACAGATTAGGCTCAGTTGTGTTGCATTGTCAAAGTCTGTCAAAAAACTAATTGCCACAACAGCAACGTGCCAGATCATGGGTCACTATTCATAGTTAAAGTGAAACTGCAGTTAATGTCTTCTAAAGAAGGTATCAAAGTATATACCTCCACCACAACAGAGCCATTCACTGCACATAGATGTGGGCGAGTGAAATGTGCATCTAGAATTGCATTTTGTCGCTTTAATCTTTCCATTTGCAATTCCTTGGTCTCAGTTGTTGTAATCGCCTGAAACAAAAACAAAACATTTAATACTGGAAGGGGCCTTCCAGAGAATAAACTTTCTTCACTTGGTTTCTGCAAAAGTCTAAATAATAGAAATTTGATGAGGTTTGCGGGGCAGACACCGCATCTAAGTAATTGAAAAAATTCCAGAGAAACCTAGCAAACTGATCATAAACATTTGATTAAATCTCCCTTATTGACATCTTAATATCTCATTATTACCTTTCTGACAACTAACTCAATGAAAATCTTTTAATTAATATTAAATTATCACTCTGAAAAATCCAGAATCCATCCAATCTTATAACCCTGACCACAAACATTGCTTTTCAAATTTAGATAACTGAAAGACAGACATTGGAATTAATACAATCCAAATGGAAAGACATTTTAACCCAGGAATGTCTTAGCAGATTTTTCATTAGCTAGGAGTTCTTGTTTTACAAGATGCTACATATACTGTTAGGATTACTATGCATATTTAATTATTTCCAATGCAAATTGATCGCTGTCCATAACATAAGGCTTATATTTAAAATAATATTCGGATTAAAATGATTATGAAAATGCTGCTCCAACAAACTACATAACACGCATAAAGCCGAGAATTCAGATTTTTATGGAATTGTACCTTTTTTCCTACAATTATATGAAGTAAGAATAAAACAGTTTAGACATTAAGTTCCACAAGTATCCATCCCAATCCTCAATGATGGGCAGCCCACGTCATCCCTGCAAAGGTGAGGCTAAGTACTTCCAACTACCTTCATCCAGAAGGGCCGAGTGAATGATCAATCCTGGCGTCCACCAGATATCTTAACATCACAGATGCTAGTCTTAAGCCAATTCAGTTCACTCCATGTGATATCAAGGAATAGCTGGAGGCAATGGATACCGCAAAGGCTATGGGCCCTCAACATTCTGGGAATTGTACTAAGTGAGTGTGCTCCAGAATTTACTGCACCCCTAGCCAAAGTGTTCCAGTATAACTACAACACATTCCAGCCTTTGTTCAAACATGGCTAAAACAACTGCATTCGAGAGGTGAGGTGGGACTGACTGCTCTTGACATCAAGGCCACATTTGACTGAATGTAGCACAAAGCCCAAGCAAAACTAGAGTCATTGGGAATGTGGGTGGGGGGTGAAATCTCTGCTAGATGGAATCAAATCTGGCACATAGAAGAATGGTGTGTGGTTGTTTGCGGTCAGTCACTTCAGCTCCAGGATATATTCCTGGGAGGAGTTTCTCAAGATAGTACCTCTGGCCCAACCACCTTCAGCTGCTTCATCAATAATCCTCCATCCATCCCAAAGCGAGTGGGGATGTTCACTGATGAGTGCAGAAGGTTCAGCACCATTTGTGACTCCTCAGATGTTCAAGAAGTCTATATCCATTTGCAATGAGACCTGGACAATATCCAGCTTGGGTTGACAAGTGGCAAGTTACATTCATGCCAACAAAGAGAACCTAACCATCGTCATTTGACATTCAATAGCATTACCATCGCTGAACACCCTATTATCAACATCCTGGGGACTTCTACTAACCAGAAATTGAACTGAACTAGCCACATAAATACCAAGACTACTCTTGCAGCTTGGTAGTTAAGAGCAGGTCAGAAACTAAGAATTCTGAAGTGATTAACTCACCTCCCAATGCTTATCTATCATTTGCAAGACACAAGTCAGGAGTATGATGGAATACTCTCCACTTGCCTAGTTAAGTGCAGCTCCAACAACACTTAAGAAGCTTGACATTACCCAGGACAAAACAACCTGCTTTTGCCACCATGTCTACAAATATTCACTCCCTCCACCATCAATACTCAGTAGTGCACCATGTACCATCTACAAGATGCACTGCAGGAATTCATCAAGGCTCCTTAGGCAGTTCCTTCCAAATCCAGGCCTACTACAATCTAGAAGGACAAGGGCAGCAGCTTTTTGTGAACATCACCACCTGCAAGTTCCCCTCAAAGCCCCTCATCACCCTGACTTGGAGATACATTGCTGTTCCTTCAGTGTTGCTGGGTCAAAATTCTGGATCTCCCTCCCTAATGGTCTACCATCCCAAACAGACTGAAGTGGTTCACGTTGGCAGCTCACCACTACCTTCTCAAGTGGAACTAGGGACGAGTGATAAATGGTGGCTCAGTCAGCAACACCCACATCCCATGAATGAATGAAAGAAAAATGCCAGAATTGTTTATGAAATAGGTATTTGGCTGTTTTATTGATAATTGAATACACTTGTTTTTGGTTCTATGGGTGGGATTCAACATAAACCTTTCAACTTTTCAAGTTTAAAGTTCAGCTAATTATTTTTCTCATGGTAGTTCTACGACTAAAATAAAGCAGAATGAAATGATCAGAAGTAAGCAAGTTTTATCATAAAACAACTTTAAAAGATGAGAAATGAGACTCACTTTCATAGGAATCAGTTTAAATTAAATGTACCTTGTTCAAGAAGCTTACAACTCTGCACTTTGATGCTCCTGACTCGAGGCTTTGAGGGACCACTTCCTCGTGGCATGTCCCCTGAAAGAAGAAATTTTATCACTCACAAATTATTGAGTCTAAATGGTTAAAGGCAGACCACAAAATGAACCATGTATCCTGCATTACAAACCAACCAAGGTCGTTTACATTTAAGTGGTTTGGAACAGGGGGATGTCTTACAGAAAAGTCACTTTTTAATAGCTGAAGGGGCAAATTTTTGTTAACGTGAATGGACTGCAAGCTTCATCTCTTCTGAAGTGATGCCAATATCTTATATAACCTCAAACGTCATTACTAAAAGAAAAGTAATTTAATTTAAACAACTTTATTCACGTAGTTATGAGTCTTAGCTGGTGGTCATTCAATAATTTATATATACCAACGAGCCAGGCTGTGCAGTGAGGACTACATAAATTCATGTACTGAATACTGTTGGAAACCATTCGCACTGCATGCCTTGTCACAGCTCCCAATTAACTACACAGCAGATCTAACAACAGTCTGGTTTTGTACTCTCAATACCAAATTAGCTCAGTGTATTCATAGTGGATGGAAAATAACCGAAGGCTGTTATACATTGATAATTTCTATTGTTGGCAGGTGTAACCAATTAACCGTCCTAGAAATATTAAATATACGTAAGCTAGTAACTTATACCTGCAATATAAATCAAACTATGTAACTACACTATGTAAGAATGATTTGTTACCTCAGCAAACAATGTAAATCCCTGTAGTGCATGTTGAAGAATTAGCCAGGATTTGTCTTCTAGAAGGGATGAAAAGAGGCAAGGCAGCTTCGGAAGGACTGTATGCTGCAGGGAATTGAAACAAACTGTCAAATCTTTATAGTTGAAGGTAACAATCAAAACGTTTTCTGGGGTAAAGTAAATGGATTATTCAACTAAATACTGCCTTTCACCCCAATCCCAAACCAGACTTCTTATTTACAGCAGCATCAACATTTAGCTGCAAAGTATATTATTGTGCTTATAAAAAGCACTATGTAAAAGTCAATGCAAGTCTTTGTTTTTAGATGGATTGAATGGAAATTTTGTAAGGTCTCATTTCTTAGGAGTGTATGTAAATTTAAACTAATTTCTAACACATACCATTCTGCAACTCACAACAGTTTTGCGCTTAATTAGTAATTTATCTGTTGTGAAAATATGAAACCTAGACCGATAGAGGAGAGAATGTTCATTTAAGGATAGTTGTGATGATGCTGTCACTTTAAAAAGATTATTTTGTCCTTGGATTTTTTCTAGTTCTCCTAGGTTTCTTCTAGTTTATTTTAGCCGTAGCAGTCACAAGATGCAGAAATGTTGCAAGGTTCAGTAAAGAATTCCTGACTGACTTTCTCTGAAATCTCTCTGGATGTTGTTCTCTCCTGCCTGTAAGAACCTGTGTTTGAATTTACCGTTCTATTAAGGGGTGTGTTTATGGGATGTTACTGTTAATTAGGTAAGTTGCTGTATCAGGTCAGTTAAGTTTTCCAATAGTTAAATTACTCTAAATCCCACTTTCTTTTGTTCACTTTTCAATGTAGTGTTTAAATAAATTCTGTTTTGCTTAAAGCCAAGTGATTTGACCAGTTGCAGCATATCTGGAACACCCGCTTCACATCTACCTTTACAAAAAGAAAAAGTTAGGGTTAAGGCTACCTTCTTAAAAATATTTTGAGGGAATCTGACCTTGTCCGAAACAGATTGAGGGCTCTTGTTGGGATTACTCTATAATTCCAATTTGGGTTTAGGGTTGTTGGACTCAAAGGCACCAAATGGTAGATGTTAGTGTCTTTTGTTTTGAGTGTTGAATTCAGATAGTTTAAACAGTGCTTTGTGTAGTGATGGCTCTTTCAGTCACTAAGAGTTTTCTGGGAGTGGAACAAGTGACTTTGGGGGGCCTTACAAAAGTGAGCAATGCAAAACCGTTGGAATTTGCAGACAAGCTGCAGTTGGTGTTGCCTTTCTCTGTGAGAAAAAGGAGGTAACGACAGCACAGCTCAACATTTAAAATTTGCTGGATATACCATCGGAATCTTTGGAAATGGCTAGAATTCAATTGCAGCTTGAATAGAAAAGGAAACTGAAACATTATGAATTATGGTTAAAAGCAGAGGTAAGAAAAAAGGAAAGAATTGCCCTAACAGAACAAGAAGAAAAGGACAGAATTGCCTTGGCAGAAAAAAAAAGAAAAGGTGAGGAAGGCCGTACCAGAAGAAAGGGAAAAAGAGAGAAAGTTTGAACTTCAGCAGTCGGCAATTAGACAGGAAAGTCGACTTAAAAGGATGGAGGTGAAGGTAGCAGGTAGGCTTAGTGAGGAGGATAGTGAGGATGAGCAAACCCATCGTGGCCAAAGGCCTGGTGAGGATCTGTTTAAATATAATCCAAGCATTGCCAAAATTTGATGAGAAGGAAGTAGAAGCCTTTTTCATTTCATTTGAGAAAGTGGCTAAACAAGTGATCCAAACAAAGTTGGTAGGTACAGCACGTGAGGTATTTGCATCACTATCAGAGGAGGTATCTGGGAGTATGAGAAGGTGAAGATATCCAACTTAAGTGCATATGAGCTAGTGCCAGAAGCCTACAGACAATGTTTCAGGAGTCTAAGGAGGGAACCTGGTCAAATGTACGTTGAATTTGAAAGGATCAAAGTAGTTTTGATAGGTGGATAAGGGCATTAAAAATTGATCAAACATATGACACCCTTAAGAGAGACGATTATTTTCGAGGAGTTCAAAAATTCACTTGCTGAGGTAGTGAGAATGCATGTGGAAGAACAGAGTTAAAACTGCAAGACTAGCAGCTGAAATGGCTGATGATTAGGAGTTGATTCATAAATCAAAGTCTGGCTTCCGACATCAATTTCAATCTGAGAGAGAAATTGGGGTAAAGAGAAATCCTTCGGTGGTAAGGGAAAAGTAGATCTCAGTGAAGATAATAAAGATAGCCTACCACAGGGTAAAAAGGAAACCCACAAAGGGGAAAGACACTTTAAAAAGCAGTATTTTCACTGCAATAAAGTAGGCCACGAAGTCAGTGTTGGTGATTTAGGAAAAGCACTGGGAAGGCAGATGTAGGAAAACAGGATAAGCCACTGAATTTTGTTAAACTGGGGAAAGGAAAGCACAGTGGAGGCTAAAAAGCTGCACCAAGATGTAAAACCTGGTCAGAGGTTGGTTGAGAAGGAAGTGTCAGATCTTAAACCATTTACTTGTGAAGGTAAGGTTTATTCACATAGGCCAGGAGCAGCAGGTAAAGAAGTTACAGTATTAAGACATACGGGACCATGTCAATCTTATATGTTGAGAGATAAGGAGCTATGTAATTCAGAATGATTATTGCCAGAGAAAGTGCTAGTACGTGGAATTCATGGTGAGACGAGAGGTGCTTCATTATGTTGAGTGAGGTTGGAGTTTCCAGTGAAAAGTGAAGAAGTGGTAGGAGTATTGGAGAAACTCTTGGCTCCAGGAATACAATTTGCCCTTGGTAGCGATATAGCTGGATCATAGGTAAGCGTGCTGCCTACTGTGGTTGAAAAACCAGTGGAAAATCAGGCAACTGAGGTATTACACAAAGTATATCCTGGGACTTTTCCGGACTCTGTGATAACAAAGTCATAAGGCCATGGTTTGAAACAGGAAGAGAAGTCAAAGAATACAGATAAGGAAGTCGAAATAGAATTATCATAGACCATGTTTGATCAAATGGTTGAGAAGAAACACGAACAGATGGAGGACAAAGCGGATATTTTTAGCTCAGAGAAATTAACTGAGTTACAACAGAAAGATGAAGAACTGAAGCAATTGTATCGAAATGCATACACAGAAGAAGAATCTGAGTGTATTTCTGAATGCTACTATCTTAAAAATGATGTCTTGATGACGAATTGGAGACCATCATATATTCAGGTGGATGAGAAATGGGCAGAAGTTCATCAAGTTGTATTACCGTGGGTTATAGAAATGAGGTGTTTCAGGTAGCACATGAATTACCAGTAGGAGGCCATTTAGGGGCAAGAAAAACTCAAGCCAAAATACAAAAACACTTTTACGGGCTTGGATTACATAAGGATGTAATTTAATTTTGCCAAGCATATCATGCATGTCAGGTAATTGGAAAACGTCAGACAGTAATAAAACCAACACCTTTAAAACCTATTCCTACATTTGAAGAATCTTCTACAAGGGTCTTAATTGACTGCATAGGACCCCTACCTAAAACAAAAAGTGGGAATCGATTTTTGTTGACAATAATGGATGTGTCCACTAGATTTCCAGAGGCCATTGCATTATGCAATATCACAGCTAAAAGGATAGTAGAGGAGTTAGTCAAACTTTTCACCAGATACAGACTACTCACAAAGATACAATCAGATCAAGGGTCAAATTTTACATCAAAATTATTCAGCGAAGTTATGGATAGCATAGGAATAAAACAATTCAACTCCACTACGTTCCATCCAGATTCACAGCGAGCACTAGAAAGGTGGCATCAAACTTTAAAGACCATGTTAAGGGCTTATAGTCAAGACTAGCTCCAGAGGAACGGGATAAAGGAATTTCATTTGTACTTTTTGCCATTAGGGATACACCAAACAAATCGCCCAAATTCGGTCCATTTCAATCAATTTTTGGGCATGAGGTGAAGAGAACTATTGAAATTAATGAAGGAGAAATTGGTGAGTCAGAGTTCAGAGATCACATATCTGGACTATGTGTCAAATTTTAGGGAACGATTAAATAGAGCCAGGGAGTTGGCTAGACAGCATTTAAAAGTTGCACACCATATGATGAAACAAGAAGCAGACGAGAAAGCAAAAACTCACAATTTTGCCAACAGAGGTAAGGTATTACTGTTACTTCCAGTGATAGGTGAACCTTTAAAAGCAAGGTTTAGCAGACCTTATCAAATCTAAAGGAGATTGAGTGAAGTGAATTACTTGATAAGGGCTCCACATAGAAAGAAATCTCACAGATTGTGTCACGTGAATATGCTCAAAAGGTATTTTGCTAGGGAAGGAAAGCAAAAGGAGAATGTGTTACTGAGTTTCTGAATCAGACATTCCTCAAATTACATTGTACAATGAGGAAGTTCTCAAAAATTGGGATAAATTATTGAGTTATCTTCCAGAGGAAAATCGAAATGACCTGAAAGAGTTATGACTATCACATGGGAGATACGTGGAAATAAGCTGGGAAGTACTAATTTACTTATGCATGATGTAGATAGAGGAAATTCTGTTCCAATTAAGCAATATCCTTATAGACGTAACCCACTAAAGTTAGCACAGGTTCAAAAAGATTGAACACACGCTCCAAGGCAACATAATTGAAGTGAATTGCAGTGACTGGAGCTCACCCGTAGTAATGGTACCAAAACCAGATGGTACCTAATGACTATGTGTAGACAATCGCAAAGTCAATGCAATTAAAGTCTGATTCATATCCGACTCCAGATTTGGAAGAATGTATTGAGAAGATGGGACAGTCGACTTATGTTTCTTAGTTGGACTTACTCAGTGGATAGTACCTTTATCTGAACGAGTGAAGACACTATCAGTTTTTGTGACGCTGAATGGGCTATACCAATTTAAAGTCATGCCATTTGATATGAAAAATGCGCCAGCCACATTTCAAAGACTAACTCATACTGGATTTCCCAATTGTATCGTATACATCGTGTTTTTTACTCACACATGGAAGGAACATTTGCACCATTAATTCAATCAACTTCGGGAGGCAGGCTTGGTGATAAACCTGACTAAGAGTGAATTCGCCAAAGCCCAAGTCATGTTCCTGGACCACGTTATCAGACATGGACAGATGGCCCCACAGAATGTGAAAACAAGGGGTATTGGGGAAGTTCCCAGACCATCGACGAAGAGAGCAGTACTACAATTCCTGGGATTAAGTGGTTTTTATTGGAAATTCATACTGAATTTTAGCAGTGGTTGCTCCACTGACTGACTTATTGAAGAAGTGCAGAAAATTTCAGTGGACGGCCGACTGTCAGAAGGCATTTGACAGCCTGTTAGCCACTATCCCAGTGTTAGCCACATCTGATTACACAAAGGCATTCAAGGTGGCTATCGATGCAAGTGATGTGGGTGTTGGAGCTGTACTCTTACAAGAAGACGATGAGAAGATAGAAAGACCTATCGGGTATTTTCTCCAGAAAATTGAATACTCATCAACAGAAGTATTCCACGACTGAGACGGAGACCTTGAGCTTATACTGCCAGAAATATGTCTGAGACATTGTATATACTGATCATAACCCATTAAAGTTTTTGGAGAAATTTAAGGAAAAAAATTCCAGACTGTTTAGATGGAGCGTTATTACAGAAATTCAACTTGAAAATTATACATCTGGCAGACATGGAAAACATAATTACCGACATGTCGCGCCTTGGATGAAGAAAGACAGAGACGTTCAGTGGCAGGAGTCAATGGACTGAAATAGAATGTAGTAGTGAATGTTTGCATACCTAGAGTCAATGTAGTCTATATGTCTTGTAGTGTACTAATAGAGTAAGGGGTTTAAAATGAAGCCATCTTTGTATATCAATGGTTCTTTTTTTTGAGGGGGGAGGTGTGACAATGCTGTCACTTTAAAAAGGTTACTTTGTCCTTGGTCTTTTTGAAGAGAGGTTGTAAAAGCAGAGGCGCTGAAGAATCTACGGAGTAACAGTTTAACAATGGAAGGGGAGTAGCCAGTTCTCCCAGTTCAGGTTTTTTCTAGTTTATTTTTTAGCCATAGCAATCACAAGATGTTTTGAGTACTAGAAGTGTTGCAAGCGTTAGTAAAGAATTCCTGACTGACTTTCTCTGAAATCTCTCTGGATGTTGTTCCCTCCTGCCTGTAAGAATCTGTGTTTGAATTTAGCTTTTTGCCAAGGGATGCGTTTCTGGGATGTCACAACACTGGAACAGTTAATTAATTAAGTTGCTGTATCAGGTTGGTTAAGTTTTCCAATACAGTCGGTTCTGATATAATGCTTGTTTCTTCAACGTGAATTGGTTTTAAACGCGATTGAAGAATTATAGAATGTTATTTGTAGAATGTGAACTCTCTCTGCCTGCATTGGCTATAACACGATTCCAACCCCATCATTTTAAATGTCGCGGTTAGTGTGCAATTTTCTTATAACGCGAGATCACGTGAGAACAGAACTATCGTGTTATATCAGAACGGACTGTAGTTAAGCTACTCTAAATTCTGCTTTCTGTTGTTCATGTTTCCACTGTAGTGTTTAAATAAATTCTGTTTTGCTTAAAGCTGAGTAGTTGGATCAGTTGCATCACAGCTGGAACATCCACTTCACATCTGCCTTTAAAACATGAAAAAGTTAGGGTTGAGGCTATCTTCTTAAAAATATTTTGAGGGGGTCTAGCCTGGTCCATAACATGAACTAAAATGCATTTGCCTCAGGAATACTTGATAATCGCAGAGAGTATAAATCCTAAAAAACTGGTCCTTTCCCTAGTCATGCCATACCACAGTTTGATAAAAACAAAAATAACATTAAAGAATGAGCGCAGTAAAAATCATTTTAAAGGTGAGTTTCTTTAGGAGACATTGGTATTTTCTTTTAAAGATGATAAAATACAAAATACCTGAACATCTGGTGGTATAATTATCTTTCCAAGGGAACCTAAGAAGTCCAGTGCAGCAAGACGAACATGATCAGGGGGATTCAGAGGAAGAAGGGAATGGAGGAATAATACCACCTGTTGCACAAATAGGATAATTATTTATTACAGTAAGAAAATCCAGCACAATTGAATTTCCATTGCTGAACTGTAAAATTCTCCTCCCAGATCAGGAAACTAATAGACTTGGCTTTTGACTAATAGCTACATCTATGTCTTCTCATTAACCACTAAATCATGCCCTATTTTGCAGTATTTCCCCATCTTAAAAGAGAGTTCATGAAATACTGTAGTTCTTCTGTAACCAGCATTTATCTTAAAATCAATTAATCAGGACGAGTTGACAAATTTATCTTTCTATACATTCACATCATTCCTAGATATACACACAGATCTCATCATTATGTGGCCTCAAGACCCCTCCAGCCCAATTGTTACAAATGCAAATTTTCAGATTGTTGTGTTTTGGGACTCTCTTTGTAATTCAGGGTTACATGAAGATGAGCTTTGACAAGGGAGAGAATCCATAAGTCACTATAGGATCAGCTTACAGGGTATTTTCTTAAAAACATTGAACTTCACAGTGTCATCTGTAAGGATCCAAGAGAGCAGAGTTAGTGGAAGCAGGTCACTATGGTTCACCAAACAAGAATGCATGTGGAAGCTTGTGCTTGGGTTGAAGACAGTGATGTCATGAGGACTGAAACAAGAATGAAAGATTCACCTAGAGATCTCCAGGATGATCCTAAAGCTCAGGATTTAGAAATTATTGCTGCAAAAGGAAATAAAATGAAACTAGTCTACAGGAACTACGAACCACTTTGGATTCATTTTGGCAGAACAGTATGTCTACTTAAGGAACAGAGTAAAGTATAATCCCGGTGAAAGATTTTCAGACATTTTAATATTAAGTAAGGGATTTTTTCTGTATTTTAGAGTATAAGTTGCCTACTGAAATAGTGTTTAGTCAATGTTACTGTAAATTTCTGTATTACAGTAAAAGTCTGAAAACTTAATCTTGTCATGGGATCTTTACAACTTTCACTGGAAGACTGGATTACTTTCACAATGTTACTAGTCTCTATGAGAATCATATCTATCTTCTGCACTATATGCATTTGCCAGTCTTCATCATGTTGCACTTACAAGTATTCTCTAATGGTCTGCATTTCCACCCAGGCTATCATCACACTCTGCTGGCTTTGAAAATGCCTCACCTCCACCGATATCCTTCTCCCATTAAATCCTGAATAGATCTCACCCCTGTTTCTCCCTTCAAATTAATAGCCACCATACCAACCATTGATGGAAGTCCAAAAGCACTTGATGAGCAAGTTACCACAGTATTGGTTACTATGTATGATTTTTATCAACTCAACAATTGTTCAACAATTGTCTCCTTTCCACAGACAGGTTCTCTCACCACATTAAGACCTTCTGATGAACGGAACTAAACTAAACTTTTCTCTGTGAGAAATTATCTCCATTCTCATCTCATTTAATAAAATGAACTTATGAATATTTCAATTTTAAAAACCAACATACTATAGCCTCTGCGACCTCTGGACTCCCTCTCAACCAGCCCTGTTCTATACCCACTTTCCCTTCAGTTACCATTCAACTCAATTTAGTATTCTTTCTTTCATCTACCTCCTGATGTTACTAGCCTCATTTCAACAATAAAATCCAGCACTTGCTGCCTTGACCCTTTTGCTGAAAATTGGCCGTGTAACATCCTCTTTGTCTACCTGCTTTCATACATCACCTTCAATGTAGAAAAACACCACAAACGCTTCACACAAACATAATAGGAAAAAAAAAAAGAGATTAGAAGGAGTGACCAAAAGTTTGATCAAAGTGAAGACTCTTAAAGAGATAGCGACAGAAAGACTAAGGAGTTGAAAGGAGTTCGGAACATGAAGTCAAAAACACCATTTACAGAAGTACGCCACGGAGGGTAATGCACAGGAAACCAGCATGAAAAAAACTGAAACTTTAGGGGAGATTTATTGTGATGGAGGAGATTACAAAGATGTAAAAGATAAAAAAGAAATAGACACCTCAATTGTGTCCTATCTTCAGACAGAGGCCCGACTGTCTTCAAAACCTTTATCCTCCCTTCAAATAGATTTACACGCAACTCTTCCCAATTATCCACCATTTCCAAAGTCTTGAATCACATCACTGTTTTATAGCTGCTTTCCCTGTCCCACATCACCTCGACCAGAACTCTGCCATCAGGCGCCTATGACACTGATCAAAACAATATCCTATGCAGCCATAACTTATGGCCCTTACCTTTAAGTTTAAACTTTATTCTGATAATGTTCATTATTTCAGTCTGCTCAAGCAACTATCTCCATGTTCCACCTTTCTGCTACAGTTCTCTTTTAGTTATGCTTCTGTCTATTGTACATATCAATACTTCACTTCCAATGCTTTTTTTTTCCTCTAGCCACCTACTTCCATGCCACCTCTAGTCTAACCTTGCATTGTATCATTGGCACCTCCGCCCTCATTAGTAACATAAGAGATCTCGACATAATCCACAGCATGGAGCCAGTCTCATATTTCTAATTAACATCACACACTTTACCATCTCCTCCACTGAATCTGTGAAAGTCATGATCAACCACAACATTAAAACTGGCAAAACCCAAATGCACTCCAACTTAAATGGAAGGATTTCACATTTTCTTTGCTTCCTGCAAACTCTTATGAATCTCTAGTCTCAAGGTAAGGTGTCAGCTCAAACTCTGAACTTGGATCAAATGAGGAAGTCAAGCTCACTTTCATTTATTCATTGAAAATTAGGTTTCCGCCCATTCGCTGAAACCCTAATTCATATTTTTGAATATTCTTATGGCAAGTTTTCTTATTTCCATTCTTCCTAAGCATTGAAAATGCTGTGGCCCAAATTGCCAACCAGATATAGAGATTGATTTTAAAATCTGTGTAAGTGAATAGATTTTCAGTGAGGTTTTGAGACAACACTCATCAATCAAGAACTCCACAGGCTACATTAGTTTCTGTGCCAATTAATCAAATTAAGACGTTATCACAATCTTCAAAACCACACAGCCTCAACTCCTGCTCCTTCCACGTTCTCCTTCACCTTTCTACTGCAATATGTAGTCACCACTATTTTTACATTGTATAGACAGAATTAAAAATTCATATAGCAAGAGTCCCATATTTGGTCTTTTAAAAAAAAAAATCAACATACGACCATCCTTACTTGAGCTATCAATGGTGGCCCTACTGATCGAATCAACAGTGAAACGAAAGAAAGGAGCAGACTGGTTGTCTGTTGAATACAACGCTGGCTCAGGACCTGTTTGAAGAAAAGGACAACTGTATTCACACGGAAACAAAATACAATTATCAACTTCTTAAACAATAAATAACTGCGTTAATTTCTGTTTCATGCTCCTATCTAATGTTTGCTTTATTTTGAGTGCTATGCAAAGATAAACTTGGGGGATACCTTTAAAACATCAGTACATTTGAAAGAAACCAGCAGTACAGTATCAAAACCAAAATCAGAAATTGCTGGAAAAACTCAGCAGGTCTGACAGTATCTGTAGAGAAAAAGCAGAGTTAACATTTTGGGTCCACTGGCCCTTCTTTAGAACTCCAGCACATTATCAAAAGTATACTCAGGGAGAAACCACAAGTACTGGTTTACTTCCAAGAAACTATATCAACCGAAGCAGACATATATAATGGAGAACTAAGGAGAATAGTTCCTGATGAATGAAGGCAAAATATTACAAATGCTGGAAATCTGAAACAAACAGAGAATGCTGGAGAAACTAAGTAGGTCTGGCAGCACTCGTGGAGAGAGAAGCAGAGATAACACTTTGAGTCTGGTAGGACTCTTCTTTAGAACTGAAAGATGTCAGAAAAAAATTTCTATATATAATTTTGAAGCAGAGACCCAATGCAAAAGACTAAAAGATTGTAAATGGTGGCGTAACAGAAAGAGATGTAAAATAGGTGTAAATTAAGGTGTAAAAGGGAGGGAATGGGTCCTCTGTATGAAGACCAAAGTAAACAAGGCACAAACAAGACAAGGATGTGGATGGGAGATGGAGGATGAGATATTGAGGGGGGATCTAATTGAAATTTACAGAATACTGAATGACCTGGACACAGTGGATGTTGGGAAGATGCTTCCATTGGTAAGAGAGACTAGGACCCGAGGGCACAGCCTTAGAGTAAAGGGAAGACCTTTTAGAATGGAGATAAGGAGAAACTTCTTCAGCCAGAGAGTGGTGAATCTATGGAATTCACTGCTACAGAAGGCTGTGGAGGCTGGGTTATTGAGTACATTTAAGACTGAGATAGATAGGTTCTTGATTGGGATCAAGGGTTACAGGACAAAAGTGGGAGAATAGGGTTGAGGAACTTATCAGCCATGATTGAATGGTGGAGCAGACCCAATGTGCTGAATGGCCTAATTTCTGCTCCAATGTCTTATGGTTTTATATTATAAGAAAAATGGCTAATACACATAATTCAATCAATTTCTGAAGCTTTTGAATTCAAATATCAAGACCTCAAGGCTGTGAAGTGCCCAAGCAGAAAATGGGGACTTGTTCCTCCAAATTGCTTTGTGCAGAAAGTGTTAGCAATGTGAGCCAGATGATTTACTGAAATGGCAAGCAACTGGGAGGTCAGGATCGTTCCTATGGACACAGCAGAGGTCTTTTACAAATTTGTCACCCACTCTGCATCTGGTCTCGCCAATGTAAAGGAGACCACGTTGTGAACAGTGAATGCAGTAGGCTAGATTGAAAGAAGCACAAGTGAAACGTTGCTTCACCTGGAACGTGTGTTTGGGACTTTGGACCATAACGAGATAGGAGGTGAATGGGCAAGTTACGATTGCATGGGAAGGCACCATGGGGGAGTAAGAAAACATTTGGAGCGATGGAGCAATGGACCAAGGTGTCATGGACAGAATAGTTTCTGTGGAATGCTGAAAAGTGGAGGGGAGGCAAAAGTGTGTTTGGTGGTGGCATTCTGCTGGAGGTGGTGGAAGTTACTGGTGATACTTCTGTGGAGTAGAAGGATGTGCTGTGTAAAAAGACAGGACATCCTAGTTATAATAAAGGAATCAAGAGTGTCAATTTTGCCATTACTAGCAGTATTTTAAACAGTTTAACAGTACATGTACAGACAGTTCAATTATTGTACTAAGCCATTCTAGCTGAATCAGCGCTGGTTTGCATTATGGATCAGCTAAATATACTACTATCGAAGATTATGCCACTTACCAACAGTTGTATTTTCTGGTCACCTGATGAAGTATTTACAGATGAAAACATTTTAACTGCCTTCTCACCTGTTCCACAGTGAGGACTGACCACATTTGGCCAAGCATTTCTGTGACTGATAATTGCAACTCTGAATTCAAGGCTTCCCCATCAGCATGACACACAGCTACCATAGCAGCAAGGGCAACATTCTGACAAAACAGAAAACAGGTTATGACCAATGTATTCCACTGTAACATATCAAAATTGTTTCTCATAATCAAGCAAATAAACTATCTGGTTGTTATTATTGGTTTACATCAAAATATATAATAACTTCAAGAGTAACAGGCTAGTAAATGAAACAACATAATATGAAAAAATACAATTCCATTATGAGAAACAAATACCACCAGAAAAGGGAGATGTGTTAGTTGTTGTATTATTTATTGGACTTTTGATTATTGTGATTTAGCTTCTCAAAGTTACCTGCAGTAGTACCAGACATGTCCTGTTGATTGTTCCCCTGATGAAGGTTTAGCAAACAATATTCATTTGATTGTACAGAACTTGAATATTGTTGAAAGCAGAGTTAAGTTGTAGATGCTTTACATCTTGCAGTCATCAGGACAAAATGTGCGAACATCAAATTTCAAATAATCAAAACAATTTAAATTCCTGATGAAAGAGATTAATTGTTTGTTAAGTCAAAACTGAATAGCCAAGTTGTTGCCATAAAGAAAGCAATGAAAAACTATAAACTCCCAAAGCTCCCAGATTAACCAAAAAGGCGAAAGGTAAAACGATTCACGTTTTACAAGCAACATGCGTTCATATTACTTCTCTGCAAACTAATTGTGCTTTTTATTTGAATTACCTAGGAGCTTGGGCTATTGTTAGTTTCCTGTCACTTTATGGCAATGCCTCGGCCAGTCATGACAACAAATCAACACCCTTTTCTCCTGAAATATGAGCTGTTCTGATTGTTTGAAACTTGACATCTTATATTTGACTGAACAAGTGCAAGATGAAAAGCTTTGGCAAAAGGTCTCTATTTTTAGCAGTAAATGGAAAATTGAGAACATACACATGTTCCCAAGAGGAGTCACTGGACTGGAATAATTACGTAGCCAGAACTGCTGAGTTTCTCCAGCAGTTTTTATTTCTGCTTTTTCCGGAGCTGGAATGGTCAACCCACACTCCTAAAAATGTGCCATCTGCTTCAGGAGAACATTCACATGGCGAAGAATATACTCGGTACTCTATTCTCCTATGATTTATATTTTAACAAAGAAAATTAACATCACTGAATCTGTGACAAAGGTGTGACTTATATATCATCTCTGATGCAGAATAAGGACTTCCATTTGTTGTATCTTTGCCAATTGGCCAGCTATTACCTTTTGAGGCATGGCCATCAAAACCATCTCAAGGGCTCCAGTGCTACACCAGTTAAATTTTTGATTGTTAAAAGCTGGCAGACTTTGATTCCTCTGCCAAATAATAATCTTGAGCTGCTGTTTGGGGCAGCAGATTTAGATGCTGTTGAAACTGAAGTCTGCCATTTTTTTTTGTCTCAGGCAAGTCTCAGTTTAAGCTGGCCAAAATTGCAGCACAAATTCAGAACTACATGTCCACATAGGAGTTGATGTTGGCTTGCTGGTTAGAATATTTTTCTTCAGCAACTAGATGGTGAACAAAAGGGAGCACTACCCCTATAAAGTCCCTGCTCTGACCTCCAAGTTCTGAATCTGGCAGCAGCATCTTATAGGTTCAGATGGATCACTCGGAGGGGAAACAGATTCCTCTATCTTGCTGGGGAGGAGAGAAGGTTGAAAGAGATGGTGGAGCATAAGATCCATTCTGCTAGTGGTGGGGACAGCAGAGGCTGGAATAGGCAATCCACACTCCTAAAAGTGCACTCTCTGTTCAGGAAGATATTCTAAGAATACGCAGGGTACTGCATTCATCTATGATGCAGAGCAAGGGAATCTATTTGTTGTATCTTTGTTAATCTCAAATGAAATTGATCACTGGGTCTTACCACTTGTTCCAATTCTCCCAAAGCATGCTTGCTACTCTGCCACTTTAGGCACTGATCAACTGCTGTCTTGATGATGTCAGAAGTGACAGGTTTCTGAAGGTCAGCAGACAGAGCTTTAATACTAACTTGTCGCCATAAAACTAAGTTGCTAGGCTCCTTGGGAGAAAACGTGTCCATAAATGCAGCCTGTAAACAAAATGAAATGAGTATGATGGCTCAAATGAAAGTGCATTACCATTACAACCAGCAAGTTCTTGTCAAATTACTCCTCAGATATTACTGAGTTATGCATCAGCTGACAAGCGAAGGACAATAAATCTATAAATTTGACCAATTTACTAATAAATCTCAGCCTGGAAAGCAAATTCTTATTTTTACAACGCTAAAACAGAATGGGAAAATTTTAAACAGCTCATAAAAATTCAGTTTGCCTTTATAAGATTACAAGCTACAAGTATACAAGCTTTTCCCTTTCTTCATGCCCCTCTCTCCTGAAAGCATCATATAGCTCTATGATATCTATCTGTTGTTTTCTCTGTCCATTGCTCATGTCAGAAACTGATGGCATGTATTAGTAGAATGTTTGATCACAGAAAACATCACAGTCAATTATCATTTGTTTAATTGCAGGATTGGAAAGTGTACAGGAAAAATCTTTTATAAATTAATTCATGAAACATGACAATCACTGAGAAGGCTAGTATTTATTCGATTGATAATTGCCTTTGTAAGATTGTGGTGAGTACTTTCTGGAAATGTTAGACTCCCTCTAAAATAAAAGCACAATGTGGTGGAAACTCAGTGGATCTGGCAACATCTGGGGAGACAGAGAAACAGAGTCAACAGTTTAAGTCAATTATAACTGTTCTCTGGAACTAAAGTCATGTAGTGTAGGTACACCCACAGTGTTGCTAAAGGAGTCCCACAATTTTGACGCATCAACAGTGGTGTAATTCCAGGTCAGGATGTTCTGTGACTTGGAGGAGAATGCTCTTATGCGTTTGTTGTCCCTGTTCTGCTAGATAATGGATGTTGTGGCTTTGGATTTTGCTGTATTGCACTGTGTAGAACATTAATCTCCTCTATCATTACTACACCATGGAAACAATGTTTAAAATGTCAAATGTAGAAAGGTGTAGACTACACTCTTTAGGGATGGTTGTCTCTCTGCAGATGGGAACATTTCTAGGATTCCATCAAAAAATAGAAGTCCCTCATTATGCGTGAGAGAATATACTTCCAGATGAGGATCTAATGATGATCAAATCCTTTGGATTTGTAGACTGGGTGTGTAGTAGGATTATTTCCTCATGTGTGACAGAGCCTATTTAATAAGGACCATCTTTATTTTGCAGGTGATTTCCATCCTTAACAAGGGCTTGCTTCTTCTTCTTCTTCTGGGAACCTATATCAATGCTTTTGCTATTTTCTCTCAAGTTTTTAAAAATATTAGATTACAACACTATAAGTAGAGATGAAAGTTCTCCTTTGACAATAGTTTGTGAAAAACATTCTTCCCCACCCCAACAAAAAATGTATTTTTTTTGTCACACCAATTACAAGACAGCCTTGATCATGTCTTCTGATTTCTGGGAATCTTTATTTTTATTCACTCATGGGACATGGGTATCACAGTATTCTGTGCCTCTGACTTGTTCTTGTAGCCACTATTTAGATGGCAAGTCCTTTTGAGGTTCTGTTCAATGGTAACCCCCCAGGATCGTGAAAGCAGGAAATTCGGTGATAGCAACACCATTGAATGTCAAAGGGCAGTGGTTAGTTTGTCTATTATTGGAAGTGGTCATTGCCTGGCATTTAAGTGGCACAAGTGTTATCTGCCACTTGTCAGCCCAAGCCTGGATGTTGTCCAGATCTTCTTGTATTTGGACGTGGACTACTTCAGTATCTAAGGGTCGCAAACGATGCTGAACATTGTGCAATCATTGGCCTTTCTACGTGCCAGATATAACCCCAACCAGTGGAGAGTTTGTCCCCAATTCTCATTCTCTCCAGTTTTGCTAGGGCTTCTGATGCCACACTTAGTTGAATATGACCTTGAGGTCAAGGGCCGTCACTCTCACCTCATTACTGAATTCAGCGCCTTGGTCCATGTTTGAACCAAGGCAGTAATGAAGTCAGGAGCTGAATGGACCTGATGGAGCACAAACTGGGTGTCACTGAGCAGGATTTTGTTGATGATACATTTCATAACTTTACTAATAATTGGAGAGTAAGACTGATGGGGCGGTAATCAACCATGTTGGATTTCTGTGCGCAAGACATACCTGGGCAATGTTCCACATTGTCAGACAGATGCTGGTGTTGTAACTGTACTGGGACAGCTTGGCTAGGGGAGCAGCAAGTTCAGGAGTACAAGTCTTCAATACCTTTGCCAGATGTTGTCAGGAGCCATAGTCTTTGCAGTATCCAGTGCCTTCAACTTTTTCTTGATATCACATTGTGTGAATTGAATCGAGTGTAGACTGGCATCTCTGATCCTGGGACTACTGGAGGAGGCTGAGATAAATTATCCACTTGGCTCTTATGGTTGAAGATTGCTGCTAATGCTTCAGCCTTATCTTTTGCACTGATGTGTTCGTCTCTTCCATCATTAAAGATGGAGATATTTGTGGAACCTCTATCTCCAGGAGTTGTTCAATTGTCTACCACTATTCATGAATGGATGTGGCAGGGCTGCACAGCTTAGATCTAATCCGTTGGTGGTGGGATTGCCTAGTTTAATCTATCACTTGTTGCTTAAGCTGTGGAGCGTAAGAGATTGAGAGGTGTCCTTACAGAGGTTTGTAAAATCATCACAGGCATAGAGAAGATGAATAGCAAAAGGTCTTTACCCTTGGGTAGGGGAGTTCAAAACTAGAGGGCTTAGGTTTAAGGTGAGAGGAGAAGGGTCCTGAGGGGCAACATTTTCACACAGAGGGTGGTGCGTATATGCAGTGAACTGCCAGATGAAGTGGTAGAGGGGAGTACAATTACAATATTTAAAAGACATTTGGACAGGTTCAGGAATAGGAAAGGTTTATAGGGATATTGGCCAAACACAGACAAACGGAACTAATTTAGGTTGGGAAACCCGGTCAGCGTGGGCAAATAGGACTGAAGGGTCTGTTTCTATGCTATATGACTCTATGACACTAGTCATGTTTGATACCTCACTTTCAGGTATGCCTGGTGCTGCTCCTAGAATACCCTCCTACACTCTCCACTGGACCAGGGTTATTCCTTGTTATTCCTTGCTCTGACAAGCTTTCCAGGCTCCAAGACTTGATTGCATTGTAAAACTGCTAATAGCTGGGCTTTTTAGGTCAGCAGTCTCTTTGAGGTAGCCAGACTACTCCACTTCTTGTTTAACTTTGATCTGTTCAAGCTTGTTTTTTTTTCCCCAATCTTAATCATTGCCACAGCCTTATGTGTCTTGAGAAGGTACTCCACAGTTTGGTTCTCTTGGCATTGCTGAGACAGGATTTGAATATTTCTGCAGAGTACTGATGTAGAGTGCAGGCCAATGTTGGCTTTTTTGTAGAGTAACAATTTAAATTTTAAGTAGGAGCATGATCCAATCTAGATTTAAACGTACAATTTATTCTGACTAGTTTTTCCTTAGCTATTTGTCATTGTTGAACTACTACTTCCTTCAAGAAGAATATTATTTTGGCCCCAGGAGTATTTATTTCTTGGTCTCTTATGAAACTTCATTACAGGTTGAAATTTCCTGTTGCTGTTTCAGTTAACTACATGAAAATGGACATCTTATGAGATATGTGTCATTCAGCATTGATGCTAGGGCAAGTGTACTGCCAATGTGGGGTTTTGCCACCACAGCATGGACAAGAAGCAATAGCAAAAAAACCTTCCCTCTTCCTCTTCTGGTTGCTGCTTTTCCAATTAATTGGTTTTTCCATCTTCAGGCTATTTACTATATGGGCTGTGGCAGCCAAAATGTTTCCTTTGTTTCTCACGAGCATTCACCTTTTGCATAGGCTTCACCTCTCTTCTGTCTGTAGTGCTCACCTTGTTTCTTTCATGGTTACGCTTTTTTGTAAGTCTTTCTTGCCAAATGGATCTTCTTTCTTCATTGTAGCCAAATGATTTTCCATTTCTTCTTACTTGCTGCTTTCGATGTTCTCTGTTGAGGGCCTTCTACTGTGCTTTTTCAGCTAGGCTCAGTGCCAAGGCTGCCTTTAAGTTAGTCACTCGCTGGTCTCTATTACTACTCTTTCATGAGATTCTCTTCAGTTAATTTGTCAGTTTTGAGCCTGGCTGGCCTTGTGGATTACGCATAATGCAATACAGCTGCTTCATTTCACTTTCAGCATGCATCTGGTTCAGTGGGTTTCATCACTGTTGTCGGGATGTGGAAAGGTATAATCTACACTTTTTTTTGAGTGAACATTAACAGGCTATATTAATGTAACTACTTACACGGCATTTAAGAGAGGTCAGGCTACTGAAGTTCAACAGGCATGGGTTACAGATCCATGTGATCTGAAATCACTGCAACATAACTCGTTTTACCCATTCTTAGCAGCTATTCTTTGGGTAAAAATTAAACTTTTACTGTTTTGTGGATGATATACTGATAAACCAAGCTTACTTTGTCCTAGTTGTCACTGACCTTCTTACATGCTGAAGTTGCACTCATCCAGGTAAGTTTAGAAATGGCTGGTCTAGTTAAGTTTCCAACCACTGAAAATCCTAGAATGTTGATGGTGACAAAATCCAAACAATCTTAAAATCAAAGCCATTTACAAGTTGAATCGGGAAGCACTTTAACACACAAAAGGCAGGGGACAGCTTGAACTCCCTCTCCCCCAAAAGGATGTGGGTATGAGGTCAACTGAAATGTGGATGAATAGATTTTGTTCAGTGAGAACATCAAGGGTTGTCAACAGAGTCATGGTACGGATCAACTGAATGGCCAAACAGTCTCAAGATATCTCAATGGTCTACTCCTGTTCCTATCTCAGTCTTGGGGGAAATTCCTAGTTTTTTTTTTTTTTAATTAATTCATAAGATATGAGCTTTGTTGGCAAGACCAGCATTTGTTGTCCATCCTTGGCAGTTTTGTTTCAATATTCATTAGACAAAATCATTGTGCTTCTATAAACACATTTCATGCTCTCAAGACATCTTCAAGTATTGTACAGACAGTTACTTTTGAAATGTATTTGCAAAAATTTGGCAGCCAATTTGTGTACAATATCCCAGAAACAACAGCCCTCATGGACCTTCCTTGTTTGCACTCCATCACAGCCTCATGCAGAGCTTTAATTAACCTGTAATGCATTCCAGGATATGACCAAACGTTTCCAAAAAATGATTCAATTTAGCAGTATTCTTTAGCCAATTACCTCCGGCTGGATGAGCAGGTTCTTGCAAACTGTAACATTGAATCAATGCTAGGATTTATGGATGAATGGGAAATTGAAAATTATTGAAATCTGTGCTAACTCATTTACATGTAGATGCAGTGAGACACTGTTGGTTCTTCACTGTACCAACAGAATGCTGCTAGGGTACTTCAAAGTAGAACCCTAGCACTTGCTCAACTTGTTTAAGACTCTTAGCACCACAGATGTGTAATTACTTATTTGCAACCCTCCCAAATGTAGGAATTTCAGGACAGAGTCATAATCTTATGCCCCTATTTATTTTATAGTACAGGTTGTATTCCACAATCTGGCACTGCCTTAAGTGCTGTCCGACAGTCACACTCCGCTAGTTCCACTACTGGATAGTATGGCTTTTTCACAATCCTGCATTAGTAAAACTGGCAGAACTTTTCTGTGCAACAACAACCCATTTACTCATACACTCTCACTCCCTTGCACATTCACTCTTTCAAACATACCCATACACACTCTCAACTCACTCACTTTCTGACACACATACTAACACTGTCTGTCACAATCACACTCAAAGGGGAAAGAGCCATTTTCAGCCAGGCTAGAATGGGGACTAGACCTCAGGTGGAAGACAGAGCTAAGGAGCCATCTACAATGATGGTGAACCCACAATTACAGCAGACTCCAATAGCCTCTCAGTCACTCAGTCTTTCATGCTCATTCACTCCCCTCACACCCTTGTCTCGCACCTTCTGTCACATACTCACCAATTCACTCTCTCCCTCTATCACACATGCTCACACGGGCTCATCCTCTCTCTTTGACATTCTCCCTCTCTCACTCTCTGTCACAAATACTCATTTAGTCTCCCTCTTTGTCTTTCTCACACTTGCAGGGGGAGACAGCCATGATCAGCCAGGCTGCAATGGAAAGTGAACTTTGGGCACAAAGCAGGGTGAAAGGAGCCATTCCCGTGCTGAACTCACCAATGAGAGAAAACTTCAGTAGTTTTTGACAGAATCATGAACAATACAGATCAGGTAATATCAAAAGAAATTCTCTGGTTCTAGCACGTCCTAATGAGCTAATGTTTGCAATTGCTCACAAGGACAATGCTCTCATTAGCTGATTAGCCTGTCAGTGAGAACGTTCTGCAGCAGATTGGCTGCTCTGGGTAATGAACATCCCAACTGATAGAGTACTCAGCAAAGAGCCTGACTCTGATGTTTAGCACTTTGCAACCTCTCTGCTACTCTCCAGCATCATCATTGTAGGTTTGGGAGTCTCGACCCACAGATTGGGAAGCCCTGCATTGAACAATTTAATTCTAAGCTGAGTACATTACAGTTATACATAGTATTATAACAGTTCAAAGATCAATCGCAATTTGTCGGCAAGATCCATTGAAATAAATGCACCTGCCAAAATCCAGTATTATTTCCAGTCCTGCCCTCTTAGAGACTAACCTGGTGGTTTGCTGCCATGAGACAGAGCATACGTCGGAGCAGTAAGGATAAATGGGACAGCTGGTAACACTCTCCAGAACAAGATTTCACCTGAAATTTAAAATACGGACACCAGTAAATCACAAAATGCACTAAACCAGGATACAGTTCTTCTAAAGTGTAAACTTACTTCCTATTTACAATACAGATCATAAAATGAAACCACACACTTTTCACAAATTTTAATACAGCTGTTACGACTTCAGAACAACCTTAAATTTTCTCTTTATGGGTCTGGACTTACAGTATAAATCTGCCCAGAATACAGAGTTAATTCATAACAGTATGTTAGATTAATACAAAGGAAAGCTCATTATCTATGGAAGGGAAAAGCTGATGGATCTTTAATCAAGGATAAGATTAGCATAGTCCAGCTAATCAGAATGATTAAAAAAAAATCAAGGTAAGTGTAACCAGCATGAATTTCAAAAGGAGCAATTGACAAAGTTCTGTAAGATGATGGAAATGCAGCGTACACAGCTTTTAGAAAAGTATTTATCATACAATGTTTAAGTGGAAGAATACGTGATGTGTAAGTAGGGACAGCAACATATGAATTAAAAATTGGAGAAAACTAAATATTAATTAAAAGGCCAAATAGTTGGAAGTGACTTATTATGTTCCACATTGTCACTTCTGTGTATGTTACGGATTTGAATATTCGTATCATTTCCATCATTTTACAGATCATAATAAAACATGACACAGTATTAGTTTTTTTTACAAATCAGATGAAAGTTACAAAGATGAGGGAAATGGAACAAAATGAAACAGATGAAATTTAAAGTTTGTGCATGTGAGTTGATGCATTTCAGCTAAAAATAAACAGCTGTCATGGTACTGAATGAAAATGGGCTTGATGCTATATTAAAAAAACACAGCATTTTGGAGATATAGATTCTCAGTTCATTAAAAGCAGCACATCAGGTGACAAACTAACATGAAATCTTAAAAAAGACCTCAGTTAAAGTATCCCGTATAATAATAGGTTTCAAACCACAAAGGGATACATGCACATTCACCAGAGTGATGCATGGTATGACAAAAGTATGTAGAAATAAACATGAAAAATAAATACCTTTTTTCATGAAAATACCACAATTATGGGTGATGGAATAAAAGTACTTAAAATTCTGAAAGGATAGCACAAAGTAAATACAAGTAGCTCATTTCATTGTAGGGTCGTGAATGGAGAGTCTTAGCTTACATGTAATTTTTTACATATTTAGATCAGAGGGCAGAACATTATTAAGCTGTGAAATTCCCATCCACATTTAGTGATTCATGCAGAGACAGTCAACGTGCAAAATTAGATTTTATAGTGTGATGTGAAAAGGAGATTAAAGAGATATTGAAACATGGTAGGTCAATGGGATTAGAATTACTTGCTCACTTAAAAAATAGAAATTGGTCAATTAAAATGATTAAGGCCCATCTTGTATGCTTTTTAACCATGCTGGTACTGCATGCTATGACAATTATGGAGTTATTGACTAATAATAAACAATTACTATCAATTTGCATACAAAAGCCTAGAAACAAGACAAAGCAGTTTTAAAATCAATCAGATCTTCATTTGGATGGTTCAGCACTTTCTGCTTTCATTGTCTCTCTAGAAACTGTAATGACAGGTACTGCTATAATATGTTGTACAATATTTGAAAATGATTTTGCTTACCAACTGAGCTATGAGACACACATGATGAGCACAAAGTTCAGCACTTCCATAACTGCAAAAGAAAACAATGTAGAAAAGGATATGTCTATCAAAAAAATAAGCCAAGACATTAAGCTTTCAATGAACAATTTTATATTCCCAAAACAGCTTTTTAACACTGTTTGCAGTCTAGATAAGTCATGGAATTTAAAGCTATGACAGCACGATTTAAAATTTTTTGGCACCATCAAAAAGCCAAAAGATGTATGCAGAGTACACATTTTAGTATATTTAATTTTGCCCAGTACTAACCGTGCAAGAAAACACCATGCGTCCGTAGCCAGTAATGCAGTTAACATGTGAGGACTGAGTACAGCGTCCAATAAAGCACACTCCTGTCACAAATAGCACAGATTTGAAATAAAAATGATGTAAATTTAAACAGAATTTTTTCTGATTATGGTGTACGGAAATATTTAACTCAAAAGAATTTTTCCATTATTGTAACTATCCTCAATACTTCAAAATCAGGTTAAATTGGCTTGTCACAGCATGTACATACAGTTATTTGTATGCTATTATACAGTTGTAAATTTACTACCTCAATAAATTTTGCAGAGGCGACGAGCAAGAAGAAAAAAATATTTTAAAATAGGAATACAAAACCAGCAGAATTCAACATTATCTGAAAAATTAACAGCTAGTCTCAGCAGTTGGTAAGAGGTTGTAGCAAAAAACACCTTGGTCCAGATCTTCTGATGGGAAGATGATTGTTGCAGGAGCATGGACAACAATTGCATTTTGAGACCATGCAGAAGTCCTGATGCAGCTGACTCCCTGGGTATTAGCCTTGATGCTGAAGTTTCTGATGGGAAGTTCCCTGCCATCTGGAAGCCTTCAAAAATGTCTCCAACTCTGAGCCAGAGTCAGGGACATCAGAGGATTCCAACTGACTTAGCTTAGACGTTACACAGGAAAGGTCAGAGGAATTAAAAATTGTTCTGACTCCTAGATATCTATTAAAGTGACCCAGCCCCTAACTCACCACTAACACCCCACAAATCCCCACTCCCTTGCTCCATCCCTAGGCCTGTCTTCGATTCCCCCACACCCAATCAAGCCCCATGTGGAACCAGTTAATCTTTAGACCTGACTAAAACCCTCTGACTTCCCAAAGACCAACACCGGCCAACCAATTTCGCACTATGACAATTCCCAAGAGTATCGCCCTCAACCAGACCAACCTCTCCTCCCCTCCTGCTTATCCACCCCAACCAACTTTGGGCACTTATCTACTTACCTACCACTCTACTCTCTCACTTAGCTAGCATCCCAGCCCTCTCACCCAGCTGGCATCCTAGCCCTCTCACTCAGCTTACACAATACCTTCTCTCAGTGGGTGTGAAAGTAGCGTCAAGACCTCTAAATCCTGAAATACTGCAGGAATTTTCATTAAAAGGAGTGTGGTCTTAATGCTGGTCAACATCACTGATGAGCTACCTGGAAACCTTGTTAAATTTGCAGAAAACTCTTCTGAATATTAAGCGTGTATTTTTTAATCCAATCAGGATCGGAAATGAGGTTTCCGTATTTCTTATCCTGATCATAAGATCTGGGCCAAGACATCAATGAATACTGAAGTTCACGTTAACCACAATGGTAATGGTTTCTGGTATGCTTTGGAAATGATAGTACCATGCTACTATAAACAGCAGCAGTTAGTGGAAACACACGCTCATCTTCATTTTGTAACTAATCTTGTGAATAATTCCTATTGCATTTTTTTGCCAGCAGGGAATATGGGGAAAGAAAATCCTCTTCAAAACAGCTCAAAGAATGGAACACTCACGTTAACTTAAAAGTTCACACTTACCAAATCTGGAAAGAGAGAAGCCGGAAGAGACGTGATAAAAGAGCACAAATTAGTGCATACATATTCATAAAGGCTGATATTTTTTTGAGCCTGTCCTTTACTCATCACTCCAGGCAACTGCACTGGCAAAGAAAGTTCCGCATAGCATCGGTGGAAGTTGTGAAACAGTACGTGAAACAAAGGTAATCTAAGGACAAACAATAAATTAAAAAGGTAGATGCAAATGTCTTTTTCTTGTGAAAAAAAAATCTGTAATCCTTTGTTATTCCCATTACAAATCATATCAGTCTTGTCAGCCCTCTGTGGTAAAGAATTCCACAGATTCATACCATCAAAGAAGAAATTCTTTCTCATCCATCTTAAATTTGCAAACCCTTATTCTGAGATTACACCTTCTTGTCCTACATTCTCTCACAAGGGGAAACAACCTTTCTGCCATTACACTAGTCCCCTAAGAATCTTCTATGTTTCAATAAGGTTACCTCTCATTCTTCTACATTCCAATGAGTACAGACCCAGCTGCTCACTCACTGAGGCTCAGTCCTGCAAGTCAGCCCCTGACCTCTTTACAGCCTTGGTCCAAACATAGACAAAAGAGCTGAATTCCAGAGATGAGACGATAATGATGGCACTTGACATCAAAGCCACAATTAACTGAGTGTGGTATCGAGAAGCCATAGCAAAACCGTGGTCAATGAAAATCAGGGAAAACTCTCCATCAGTTGGAATCATACCTGGCACAAAGGAAGATAATTGAGGCTGGAGTCAATCATCACAGTTCCAGAAGTTCCTCAGAGAATATTCCAGGTCCAACCATCTTTAGCTGCTCATTATCAGAATGGGGATGTTCACTGATGACAATGCTATTGCAGCCTTCATGACATATTGAAGCTAAAATGCAATATGACCTGGTAATATTCAGGCTTGGGCTGATAGTTGGCAATTAATATTCACACCACACAAGTGCCAGGCAATGACCATTTCCAGCAAGAGAGAATCTAACCGTCACCCCTTGACATTGATAGAGGAGGAATTCAACATCCTGAGGGTTACCAGAAACTGAACTGGATCAGTCTGTGGCTACAACAGCAGGTCAGAGTCTAGGAGTCTGGCAGTGAATAACTCACCTTTTTAAAAAATCGTTCATAGGATGAGGACATCACCAGCTGAATGAGCATTTATTGCCCATCCCTAATTATCTACAGGACAGTTCAGAGTCAACCACATTGCCATAGGTCTGGAATTACATGTAGGCCAGATCAGGTAAAGAAGGCAGTTTCATACCCTAAAGGACATTAGTGAACCAGATGGGTTTTTTTCCTCCAATAATCAACATGGTCATCGCTAGACTCTTAATTCCAGATTTTTAAAATTCAAATTCTACCACCTGTCATTATGAGATTCGAAATTGGATCCCCAAAACATTACCCGGATCTCTGGATTAATAATCTAGCGATAATACCACTAGGCCATTGTCTCCTGACTCCCCAAAGCCTGTTCACCATCTACAAGGTACAAATCAGGAGTGTGGTGGAATACTCTCCACTTGCCTGGTTGAGTGCAGCTCCAGAAACTCAACAAGCTTCACACTACCCAGGACAAGCAGTCTGCCTGGTTGTTTATGGATGCGGTGCCATTCATTCCCTCCACCACCAATGCTCAGGTGCAGCTGTGTGCAACATCCAAAAGACGCATTGCAGAAATTCATCCAACTCCTTAGACAGCATCTTCCGAACTCACCACCACTGCCGTCTAGAAGGCCAAGGTCAGCAGATACATGGGAATATCACCTACTGCAAGTTCCCCTTCAAGTCACTCATCATCTTGAAACATATTACTGTTCCTTCAGTTTCCCGGAGTCAAAATATTGCAACTCCCTCCTTAATGGCATTGTAGGTGCACCTACACCAAATGGACTGCAGCAATTCAAGAAGGCAGTGCAACTTCTCAAGAGCAACTGGGGATGCAATAAAATGCTGGCCTTGCTAGCGATGCCCACATCCTGGGAGTGAATGAAAAAAGCCAAGACAAGGAGATAAACTGAACAACAATGTTTGCTATTCTATTACAGATGACAAGAAGTACAAAATCAAATACAGAAAGAGAACTGGGAATTTCCAGCACAAAATCTTGCGAGTCTTGGCGTAAGATCTATAAACTAGGAGCTGCTCAATATGGGTGTGAAAGTGTTGATGCAAAGAAGTGCCATAGGTGCCATCCATTGTGACAATGTCATGTCGACTTGTAGCAATTGTAGTGGGAAGTACAGAATAGAATCTCAAAGCATTGAATCCGAATATCTGGTCCTGTTCAAAGTCTCTGTAACAATATCCATAATTTCAATGTGACCTGTAACTAGTTGCTAACTTGTAAAAAATGAAATTTTGTTAACTCCAATCTAATTTGACGTGGAAGCGGTTTTCTCTACCATGTTAGACCAAGCAGACCCTATAGTTTCCTACACTTAAAATAGGAAGATGGCAGCAACCTTCATCATGAGCAACAGTTCAAACAGCATAGTGAGCAGGCGTATGCATACAAAAGGAAGTATTGGTGCTAGCATTAGTAAGTTCCCCTCTCAGGATCCTACCATAACCAGAAATGAAAACTTTCTGCCTACAACACAATTGAGCAATGTCCTGTACAATTTCAGCGCTGGTGCGATACTAGCTATACAAGCTATATGTCCCAACAAATCCGCACTATATTGACTAATCAAACATGTTTCCTTCAACTGTTCACAAGAGGTACAGTACAGACCATTCTCAATCAACCTATGTTCGCAAAATCCAAAATATCTACTCTTAGACATGATTCCATGATTGGGCAACGCTTACTGAACAATTCTGACTTTGGAATACATGAAGAATGAAATAATCAGTTCAGCTCATAAAAAAGACTCATTCACACTTATTAGAAGTGACACATTCATAAACAGGAACTTTTTCCTTGCAACTACAAGGAATATTTTCAAGTCCCACACCATTTTTGAATTACCCAGGAGGTTGGGGAGGGGAGATTAGCAGATACAATAACTAGCAATTCATACATTGTTCAGTTCCACACCATATTGTGTATTGATCCACTAGGCTGCTGAAACTTAATTCATGAATGAAAATATGTGGGCTGAGACAGGATTATGTAAGACTTACAGCATAAACATGTGTACAACAGGTTACCGTTATGAAGTTTATTAAATTATCATCTGTATTTTCTACTGTAACTAAACAACTAAGTCTGGTTCTGTTTGATAATATCCATGCAGTAGTTGCCCTCACCTTGGCTTTTCCTCTGAAATCTGGCTGCCAGAACACCAAAGGCTCTGAATCTCGCAAGACTCCGATGAAAGTTTGCCTATTATATTAATTAGCAATAAACACTGTGGAAGGGCCAGCTCCAAACTGATATCTTAAGAAGAATGAGAAAAGATATTGGCAAAATTCTGTCATAAAGGTCACAGTTTGGCCGAATCAAGCATTTCATTACAATAATCCGCAGAAGAGTTATTAAAAATGTGTCACACCAAAATTCAAATTGACAAGTACAACAATTAAAATAGTTGCTCTATTTTGATTGATAACCACTATTAAATGCCATTTAAAGTGTACACTTGTTGCACAACAATCTAGGGTTTTGACTACTTGCTTTAAGAGGTGGCTTCAAGCAAACTAGAATCAGAAGACAGAAACAGGATATTCATTCTTTCTCTCTTTGCATCATCCTAATCCCCAAAATCATTTTAAAAGGTACAAAATTTCTGAAGAAATGAGGTAGTCATCAAAGTCAATATTTTTCTCTTTATTTTCTAACTTATAGACTGCAGCCAAAGAAATGAGAATTGACGAATTACAATGCCGAACTGCTCACTACCATGCTATCTTTCACATAGTTATGGGAAGAAACTGGTTCACATAGTGCTGCAGACTATGTTGTTTTCTTAAGGGTAGGCAGTGTGTTGGCCATTATTTGAGTGGTTCTCTGATATCAGCAAAGAAAGCCAAATCGGCTGCTCAGATGCAAGCCTGCTGCAGTGCCTGTTCTAGAAATTCTTGGAAGTCTATCGAGCATCCTGTGATGCGATACCATGCAAATTAATTCTTCTCCCTTAATTTGTTCAAATCATTTAAAAGCAACCTATTTAGTTAGTGGAATAATGGACCAGATTCAAGCCCAACTGCTGCAAGTAAAACTATACACAGATAAGGCTATACTTACTAGCACAGGAAATTATATCAGGCAGGAAATGCCATCAAGAGCCATCAGCTGTTTGCGAATGTAATTATGATAGAGAATTTTCTTTGCTATGTACCACTAGCATAGTTATGATTTTATACCAAATTCATTGCACTAATCTGAATGTTACTTCTCTCACATTTCATCATCACAGACCAAGTAACCACGCAAGCCCATGATATTCATTAATGTTTCTCTAAAGCAATTTTGTCAGGAACTGTATTCTGTTCCTTCAAACTGCAAAAGGATTTAACTTCATGCAGGTAGTTATTTTAAGGAGATTAGATCAATGTTATTCTACCATGAACTCACCTGGGTTGACTTGTAAGACTGTCTCCACAAAAGGCCTGAAGGACAGCAGCTGAGAGACAAGGGCATCCAAAGCAACTGGGACAATGGAAGCAATTTGATCATATAGTCCATCAGACAAAACCGGTGCATACAAACTAGGAGGAAATTTACTGCACAAAGAATTATAACAAAAAGTTAGAATTTTCCACTATATGCAAAAGTGATCACATTTCTACCAATTTTTATTACACCCATTCCCATGAATATTATTGAAAAACTGATTAAAACTCATCAATCTGAAACATTGGCCCATATTTTACAATCTTGGTTGGAATCTCCATTTCCAATACACATCAAACAAAAATTTACCAACTTAACTTCCCATGATTTTCCAGGCCAGATTTCCAGTTCACAATACATCTCAACTTAGATAGGAAACCATGCACGAAGAATCTTTGAAGAAGATACGCCCTTTTTTTCCTTTACGCATGCACTGCCACATTCCAGTAAGTAATCAAATCTTAAAGGTCCCAAAGCCTCTTTGAAAAGTTACTGAGAGAAGATAAGTGTGTAACCTAAGCCGGAGAAGAAGTTGGGTAGCAGATGGTTAAAAGAGTAAGACTGTAGATGGATTAGAGGGCAGGTGGCAGGTAGATGTGGGTGTAGAATAGGAATACGTGGGTAAGGGAATGGAGTGGATTGCAATGTGGAAACTGGGAGGCGAGATCAGGTGGGGGTGTTGGAGGGTCACTGGGAATGATTCAGGAGTCCAGTGGAGAGTTGAGGTGATCCATGTTAGAATTACCCAGAAGTCAGGAGCAGGTTTTAATCATCCAACCTTTCCTGGGCAACCACTTAAGTAACAGAGTCGAACCCTCTGAAGTCTCCAACTCTACCTCAAAGTTAGCAACTTTTTCAGAGGATTCTACAAGTAGGGCAATTGCTCACGATAGGTTTAAACATCTTGGACAATTACCACATAGTCACAGTATCAGAACTTCTAAGAGATCCCATTGCTATCTGCAAGTGACTGTTTGACCAGTCAGAAACCAGGAGATCTGGGCCATCAATCCTGTTTTTCTCCCTACTAATGCTGCCTAACCTTCTTCAGTAATATTCACATCCCTTGAACAAATAGTGAAAAATAGCATTCCTCGAGTCACATTCCAACATAGGTCAGCAACAACAGGAAAAAGGGGAAAACTGAGGGGAAGAAACAACGCATCCAAATGGAATATTACCCACCAGATTTTAAACCTCTGACATTCAATCAGGCTGTGCCTTATCAATACTCTAAATTTACTCCACAGATCAGTGATCAAATACTGATGTGTGCAGCCTTACCTGTACATCTGAAGGTAAAAATGGTGCAGTCGATGACAAGACCTTGAAAGGAAGTCAACGAACTCCTTAAATTGAGAGAGTGAGAAACAGAAACTGAACTTAGGTTGATGCTATCATCAGATTATACATGAAAATGCCAGTTAACTTTAATTCAATAGAAACCATCATCTGAAAACCTCAAATGCATTTAATTCATTCAAAAACAGATTATTAAAACTCATGGCACTTTTATTTCTACTGTAAATAATAGTTAATGGCAAACATACCTTTCAAAATTTAGAGCTTCCTTAGATAGATATTGGTGCATTGGAGGATAATTTATCCAAAATATGTAGTCTACCACTTCTTTCTCATGATACTAATAAAGATATCCATTCTTACTATGCAGTACTGAGCCAGTGCGCAACAGAACAATACTTTGCCTCTAATTATTAATGTAGCAAGTAGAAATTATAATATGTGTAATTTTGAGCAGTAGGACCGAATGATCTGTGCAAAGTTATAACACTCAGATTCTTCCTTTCAAATAATCAATCTAAAAATAGTACTAATGTCTGAAATGATTACAAGAATTAAACTTAACATTATAGCTCTAAACAAAAGGAAAATAGTGAGCATTAAGACTTTTACTAAAATTCTATATTTCAGTGTGGCATTCACTGGTGTAATATACATATAAGATCATAAAGCACACAGAACAGGAATAAGCTGTTTAACCCAAGTCTGTTCTGCTGTTCAATGACATCATGGTCGATCTGTGACCTAACTGAAACTACCTGCTTTCTTCCCATTTCCTTCAACAATACTGCTTTCCAAAATTCATTCCTGAAATGCCTGGCTCTAATTTTTAGACAATGCCACCTAGGCCTATATTCTCCAACCAGACAGAACGGTTTCCCCTCTTCTACACCATCTGTTCCCCAGGCACTACTTAAACCTTCCAAATTCCAGCAATACAACTCTGGTTTGTTAAAGCTCCCGTCAATTTAAACCTTAGAGTCTAAGCATCATTCTGGTAAAATTGTACTGCACTACTTCCAAGACCAATGTATTCCACTAAAGGTGTGGTGCCATGCTGACTAACCAGGGATTTGAATAACTGGCATAATTTCTCCTCCTAATTATTTCTTTCATAAATGAGAGGCGAGTTGGATTTGAAATATTATGAACTGTAATCCTCCCTCCAACATTTCTACTTATTCTGTTTGGCCCATTCTATTGAGTTACATAAAATACGACACTTTCAATGGCTGCAATTGGGACAGTTCATGAATAATTACTAAGATTTTCATATAGGAATGTGATGTACGAGTAGTTTCAGACTTATGAGATCATTAACTCTCTTGCTTGCACTTTGTGACGTTTTACCGTTTGAATATACAACTTTAATTTATTTAATGCATGTAGGGTCAGTGAGGGCAATTGAATACTTCTTTCAAAAGATCCAACTAGGCACAAGTGGCTGAATAGCCAACTTCAGTATCATTATATAACTTTACTTCAGCCCTTCAAATTCAAGCATAATGAGCTTTTTTTGGTTATTTTCTGTACCAAACCATGACATTTTAATGATTTACTTACATGGACACTCAAGTTTCTTGGATCTCTACTGCTTCTACTTTTTCACTTTTTAGCAATTATATATACCATCCTTTGTAGGTCACATTTACTAATATGGAAATTTATTTGCCATAACTTTACCCACTCACCTAATCTAATAACATCTTTGTAATTATGTTTTCATCTACACTGTTTACAATGGCTTACACTTGGATAAGTATTTTTCTATCCAATTACACAAATCTTTAATGAATAAAGTGAATAGTTGAAGTTCCTCACAGTTTTTTGTGGGAAGGTAGCAATTGCAACAATTAGAGTATCTCTCTCCTGTGGCACAGATCATTTCCTAAACAAGGTCAATAATCTAGCTTCAAATCCATGTTGCAACTCATTGTTAACATTCTTTTATACGGGACTTTACAAAATAACTGGAACTACAAAAATTTTATAGCAGAGATAAAGGTCATTCAGCACATCATATCTGTGCTGGCTGAAAAAATCAGTTGCCCATTCTAATCCCACTTTCCAGCATATAGTCTGAATCCTTGATATGAAGAGAATGGTTGTCAATTACAGGATTGTGTCAACAATTTGGTTGAGTGCATGGAAAAATGGAAGCATTTCAGAGCAGATCCAGGTTCCTTTTAAGGGTTTCCACTTCAACACCAAACTGGGGAGCAAATTCCACACACCCATCACCCTCTGGGTGAAAAAGTTTTCCTCATCTCCCCCTTAAACCTTCTTACAATCACTTTAAAGTGGAGCCCCTGATAACTGACCTTTTTGCTTATGGGTAGTCATAGTTTTGCTTTTTTTTTTAAAAAGGGAAGGTCATATCTTTAACTTTTTGAGGAAGTAATGAGAATTGACGAGAGTAGTGGAGTGGATGTTGCATGGATTTTAGATTTTCAAACTCTTGCACGGCAGACGGGTCAGAAAGGTATGATTGGGAAATCTGCAGGCAATGAAAAAATTTGTTAAGGAAGTTGATCATGAGGATTCTATACAATACCTCATCCAATGGTGGGAAGCCACCTATGTACTTTCTTTTACCACCTTATCCATCCATCCATCCATTCTGTCTTCGTCAGGGACATATAAGCACACAATGCCAGAACCTTTACTACACCAATCTTCGCAATATCCACATGTTTACTGTGTATTCCCTTGCATTGATTTCCTTCCCAAATGCATAACTTTGCACTTCTCTGTAACGAATTCCATTTGTCACTTTTCTATCCATGCAACCAAACTATTGACATCATCCTCCAATCGACAGCCATCCTCTTCTCTATCAAGTATCAGGCCAATTTTTTTGTTGTCTGCAAATTTCCCAAACGTGTCTCCTACATTTAAGTCTAAATTATTAACATATACCTCGATCAGCAAAGGACTCAACACAGACTCATGAGGAACAGCAATGAAAACCACGTTCCATTCATAAAAACATCTGTTGACTTTTAGCCTTTGTTTCCTGTCACTGAGCTAATGTGGGATCCAACTCACCACATTCCCCTGTATCACACAGGCTTTAAGTTTTTTTGACCAGTCTGCCACGTGGGAGTTAGTGAAAGTCCATGTAGAGAACGTGCAATGCACCACTCTCAACAATTCTGATTACTTTCTCAAAAAATTAAATCCATTTAGAAAGACACAGCCCTCCATAAACAAAATAATACTAATTATCCATGATTAATCCATGCATTTCCAACTTAATCCTCCCTGTGTTTTGATTCTAGTAATTTAAGCACCATTGAAGTCAGACTGACAAGTCAAAAAAAAACTGGCCTATCCCTCACCCCCTTTTTAAATAATGGTCAATTATTCGCAGACCTCCAATCCTCTGGTACCTTGCTGATAACTAGTCAGGATTAGAAAGCGATCCTGACAGCATCGCTATTTCCTATAACACCCTAGGATATAATTCATCTGTCCCTGGTAATTTATCCACCAAAGGAAGTAAGTCCCTTCAGTACTTTTCTTCTGATTATGCTTATTTTATCTCATAGACCACATTCCTCCTCTTGATCTAGAATGTCTGCATCGTCCCCCTCCTTTGTGGAGACAAAATACTCATTATGAACTCCACCCACATCATCTGTATCCACTCAGAATATCATATAAATTTCTAATGAGCTCAGCACTTTCCTCATTCGTCCTCTTGCTCTAATGAACCAATAAAACATCTTCAGATTTTCCTTAAATTTACTAATCAATTTTTTCTCATACCCTCGGTTTTCCTTCATCCCACTTCATCCCTGTACCTTCTATACTCTTCTATGCTTCTTAAGTCATTTACTTTGTTCAGATTGTCATAGCTCTATTTTTCTGCTTTACCTCAACCCGAATGCTTCTGGACATGCATTCTCTGAAGAAGGGTCTAGGCCCGAAACGTCAGCCTTCCTGCTCCTCTGATGCTGCTTGGCCTGCTGTGTTCATCCAGCTCTACACCTTGTTATCTCTGCTTCTGGATAACAGTGGGTTCTAGATTTGGCAGTACCATTCTTTTTGTAGGGACTGTTTATACTGTCTCCATCAAATCCTACTTTGAAAACCTCCCACATATTTTAAGTAGCTCTTCCAGTCCACCTTTGCCAGATTATCGCTCAGCTTTGTCCAGTGTGACTTCATCCAACTTGGAATTTTTACTTGTGTTGTAACTTTATCCCTTTCTTGTGCTACATTGGGAAATTATCCAGGTTTGTTCCTAACATTAACTCTAGAAATGTGCCTCCCATTGGATTCATTATGTGCTTTCAGCCGTCTCTGGAAGTGTACATAATGAACGTACACAGACAATCCCCTGTCCAATGCTTTCATGATCTATTCAAAAAACTGAATTAGCTTTGTCAAGAATGACTTACCATTACAAATCTATACTAGTTTTTCTCTGACCAGTTGAAAATTATCATGGTTTCAGTTGCTCTATCCTTACTTATAAACTCTCATAATTACTCAACAACAGACAGTAAGTTAGCCAGTCTACAGTTCCCCAAGTAGCAGAGTGACATGTACAAGTTTGGAATCTAAAGGAATACTCCCAAATAGAGAAGATGTTTGAAAAATCATCATTCAGGAATCTACAATATTCATATCACTTTCTGCTAAAACCTTTGAACAGAAGCCACCTTGTCTGTGAGATTTATCATAGTTCAGTGTCACAATTTTCTTCATTACAGTTACTTGCCTTGCATTAATTTTATGAATCCCAATTTCAAATTCAAAATTCATTTCCTTGATAATTTATATATATTATCTGTTTCCCTATTGTAAACACAAAGTGATCATTCATGTCCACCATTTTGTTATTTTAATTTAGAAATATCACGTTATCAATTTTCAAGGGATATAAATTGCTCCTGACCATCCTGCTTTTCCTAAAATAATTTAAAAATCAATACTTGATAATAGCTTGTACTACCTTGACATAATGCACCAACGTGTTGGCAAAAAAACGGCACAGCTTCATGGTCTTCTGGAAAAGTTTGCAATCAGTTGTATTTGCATTGCCCTAAATGAAGTGCAGATGTTTAGTAAGGCATAAACCTCAGTTCTTTTTCATTAACTCATGAAAGTTCATGTGGAAATTATAACTCTTACAAAGGTTTGAATTTAAGTTATTTCATACCACAGCAAAAATTTACAAAAACAAGCAGTTAAAGCACTTCCATAACTATGTCTAAAATGCCGAAGGGTTTCAACATTCTTCTGTTTAAAGACATTAGGAACTAGTTAGTAAGAAATGACAGCAAAATGAGTCAATATAAACAAATAGTGAATATATAAGGAGCACGTGGAACAAAAAGGAGATGTTGCTATATTTAGGAAGTACAAACAAATTTCTTGGTGTATCTAAAAAAAAAAGGAATTTCAGATTGTTGGCTAAATTTGGTGGTAAAAATAGTAAATTTTAAATAAGTATGTTAGTATTTGGAAAATTAATTGAAGAATTAAAAAAATCATTGGTAGGATAGGATGAGAGAGAAATGTTTCCTACTGCTGATCACAATCTAACACACCTCTTGGAAACTGCATATATAGGCAAGATCAGCTTGGTTGCAGTATTGCTCTTATGGACAAATTGCCTATTGGCTCGCAACATTTTAAGCATTTAAGCACACATATGAAGAATGACCATTTGAGTGATTTATCACAGGCTGTTGGTGCTTATAGCCTTCAATTTTTTTAAAATTTGGAGGTGGTGGAGAGGAACTAAAATAGAATTTATGTTCAGAGCCCTTATTTCCAAAGACATGTTCTTTCATATTGTTTGGATAAGCCAATGGCTAGGGTTCGTTTTTGTCGGGGGGGTAAACAGAGAGCGAGAGCGAGCATACGCAAGAGAGAGAGATGGTGAATGTTGATGGCAAGAGAAATCTCATTTCCATCCCAAAATAAAGTTGACAAATGATTTCCTTGTTCCACCAAACTATTTATTAAAATCTAACATATTGGTGTGACATGACTAGTTTCAAGAAAGATTCTTTTGTTTATTTTAAGTCTAGCACACGTCTCTCATTTGCTACAACTTGCTTTTCCTCTTTTTCTACAAGCCTGAGTAACACGTCTTCATTCAATACATACAACTGGACTAGTAAAACACCTTCTTTGAAAGAGTTGCAGTTCCTGAGTGTTCAATCATGCTTGAAGATAAAATGCATTATTGCCACCAATATCAATTATTTACATTTGCTGGCAATGATACTGTTGCTCACATTGGAGCAAATGTTGGAAAACCTGCCCCTGAAATAATTGGTTTTACTCTAGTGAGAGCAATATTGCTTTCTAAACATAATTTGTCAAAGTCAGGGCTATCAGTGGCTTAAGAGTTACTGTACCTGGTGGGTTAAATAACAATTGATAAAACTCCTTATATTTCCCTATCTCTATGTCCTCAATTCTGTCTGCATAACAGAAATGCTCAGCTGTGTTACTTTAGGAAAGGCTAACTGAGAAACACTTTTGGAGCTGATAATGTTTCTGAGAATGGTAACTAAGCTCAGCTAATGTTTATTAACTGAAAGATGTCATACATAAAATAAGATTCACACTTAAAACCAAGAACCAATAATTACCATTCCTGTAGACTGGTGAATTTGTTCAGCTAACTGCATACATGAACTGAAAGAATAGAGAATGTCCTCACAGAGACCAGTAACAAGCTCATCATGTGGCAGCTTTGTCTCGATTAATGCCCGGTGCTTCACACTTATTCTGAAACAGAATGTCAAGCAGTTATAAAAATCATATATAACTATGCTTACCTTTCTCCAGCCAACTGAATGAAAAAGCAGTTCAATTTTAAATCAAAGACACATGTATGCTCTGCTATAGTTCATTCTGCATGTTCCCCTTTCATTACGTATGGTGAGAGGTGGCCAGCAATTAACAGATAAGAATCATTCGTACAGTAATGTCTGTTTCATGAAGAAATATCCTTAGAATTGGGTGGTGCAAGAACTATTTTTGTAAACTATCCTAAAACAACAGCGCTGGTCTTCTGCAAAACAAACCAGGGGGCATTGGGTGACAAAGAAAATGTTTTACCAATGCAGTTTGTACTTACTTAATAAGGAACTTCCATGTGTTAGCATGTAGAGCATGATCCATTTTGGAAATGACTGAACAAATCTTCAAAACATTGTGAACTACTGGAAAATGGGATAAAATTAGAAATAAGTAAGTATACCATAATGCCAAAACTACAAATGATGATAAATATTTATTTCAAATATTGTCAATATTCAAGAAGCATTATCATCATCTTAATGAGTCAAGTGAAACCAATTTCTCAGAAACAGCATTTTAAAAATCGGTGGCAGATAAAATTTCATGCAGAGAACCGTGATGTGATGTATTTTGATTAGATGGACAAAATTTTACAGATGACAAGGTAAAAAGGCATATTGGATGCTGGGCTTTAGAAACAAAGAACAAAGCACAAAGGCAAATTTATAATATAACTATATTAAAAAAGCAATCTGGGCTCTACTCTTTAGAAAGGTCATGAAGGCACTGGAGAGGGTGGAGAAAACATATGAAAACAGCTGTACGGATAAGGGATTCAATTACATGGATAGATTGAAGAAGCTGGCATTGACCTCATTAGATGATATCAGGAGGTTTGATAGAAGTCATCAAAATCAAGAGTGACCCAGATAGAGAGACACTATTGTCACTGACAGAAGAGTTATGAACCAAAGGACACCAATTTATCACGAATAGCAAACAAACGAAACGCAACACTGGAAAGAGTGTTTTTTATAACTTAAGTGGCTGTTATGTGGAATGTGTTACCGGAGAATGAGGTGGAGGCAGATTGACTTGGATCTTTCAAATGATAATTGGATAAGCACATGAAGATAAAATAACTGCAGGGTTATAAGCAAAAGGCACGGAACTGGGAGTAACTGAGTTATCTTTTCAAAAAGCTGGGACAGACAAAACAAAACAAACTATTGTATCTTTTTAAAACTTGAAGATTGCAGTCATTGGCTTCTTATCTATCCATGCAATGAGTGCCACAAAATGTATACTTCAGTGAATAAATTGTATTTCAGTTGGTCATTTATAGGTAACAATGACAGAATACCATACATCAGAAAAAAAACAATATTTGATGGTATTAAAATTTAAATCATTATAGAAGGCCTGGATGCACAAATCCTCCTTAATGTATCTATTCTATTTATTCACAACTTCTGCTTGGAATAAGGAGCAATTTCATCCTTCAAATAACTAACACAGCAAGAGGCAAAATGAAAAGGTGCAGGTTGAATAGAAATTGATTTTGATGTAAAGACTAAAGTGATATAGGATTAATGACAGAAAAAGCTCACCATCACAATGAAATGAATTGGATTTATATTCAAACAAGTCAACTTGCCATTTTATCGAGAATGTTTATAATTGAAAATTAAGTGTTACAAAAACATTGTATTTCACAGTTCGTTAGGTTATGGTTTCTAAAGTACTAAAGAACCTTGGATAAGAAACATTGAATGGGGTTTTGTTGTGAATGGTGAACAAATGATGCCAATACATGCCTACAAATTTTAAGTAAGCTTTTGAACAGTAGCTTGCTGTTAAATACCCACTACAGGGGATCTGGCAGATGTGTACCTCCTTAATTAACAATTCTTCAAAGTGATTGATGAGTAGTACAGAGTCTGAACTGGGAAGCACAAATTAGAATAGTAAATCCAATGTCCCAACGGGTACAGAAAATGAAACAAAGAGAAAGAAAAATTGGATTAAGCGAGAGGGAGATAAAAGAGACAAAAAAAAGTTTTAAAGTACCTTTTTTAAAGCAACAATAATGGAAAGCTCATGGAATGCCACACCATACTTGTAAACATTCATTTTTACTCCCAAAAAGACTGCTTTTATAGAGTCATACAGACATACAGCACAGAAACAAACCCTTCAGTCCAACTCGTCCAGGCCGACCTTATATCGTAAATTAATTTAGTCCCATTTGCCAGCATTTGGCCCATAACCCTCTAAACCCTTCCTATACATAAATCTTTTAAATGTCTTTTAAATATTGCAATGTATCAGCCTCCATCAACTCCTCTGGCAGCTCACTCCATACATGCAAATTTTGGTAACTAATACTTTCAAGTCATCAAAAGGGTGCTCAAAATGCAACAGATAAATTAATATTTGTGACAACTTTATTCTCCACCTACAATGTCAGTATAGTAATCTCATGATAATCAATGCATTTGAATGGAGAGCCAGATGTGAGATGTCACTTTTGCATGGTGATGAAGGGGCAGAGCATCTCAGCGCAAACTTTGGATAGTTATGTTTAGCTGTGTTTATGTGCTCACCACAATTTGCTGGCTATTTATTTGCATAATTAATGGCGACATCATAAGCCTCACCATTATATTCACAATAAAACCCAGTCCATCGTCATTCAGGTCTATCATATACTCAACCACTGTGGAATAAAGTAACACTTATTTGCAAATTGACAGATCACCAGAAACCAAGGGAAAATATTAAATACTTTTAATGTCCATCATTTTTAAGAAAGTGTTACTGAACCTACAGACAAAGTCAGATGAGTTTAAATAAACATTTATATTCTTTTAAAGGTATGGATAACTTCCAGAAATAGCAGACAAAAAAATTAAATAGAACACTCCAAACGTACCTACCACCATGCATGCAATATCGTCACCAGAAGCACCTGTTGATTCCAAAACTATCCGATCCAAAAGTTCCATGAACCCCTTCTGAAGTGAATATGCTTCCTTAAATAAAAACTGCAACAGGTCTGCAACCAAGTGCAAGTGACTACGGTACAAAGTCTCACTGTCCTAAATACAAATAAAAAGCAGAGCTGTCAGCAAGAGCAATCACGTACAAGACAGACAGTTTATTAATGTCATGACAAGTCATTTGTGTGAATTCACACAAATATTTCAGAATTTGGTTTTTTACACTTGAGTACTTCGCCTGAAGTAGAAACCCAGTGAAATTTAATGCCCTCCAGTGGCAGGTTTGGTGGGAGGGTGGCAAGTGAGGATTCTGCCACTTCCCCAACCTCTGTCCAGATTAAGACCCATGGAGAGCTTTGCCATCCCAATTGAGGTCCTGAAGGGAACATGATCACCCACTTAAGGGTCTCATCCTGCCACTGTTGATATTAACACAGCAGCAGGCAGGGTACTCAACACACGGGAAGCCCAAAAAGTAAATTTTGTTAGGGTTTCCTGCAGGGTTCCAGGGCAGGGTCCCTAATTCAAAGTTTCATGATGGGTTGGTACTGAGAATCACACTCCTGCTCTACTGCTTTAATATCCTCCCCATTGCTCCTTACCCCTCAATCCCCCTTGCAATTCATCCACCAGTGCCTGGGTCCAAGAGTGATTTTAAGTCTCTGATGGTTGTAATCGTGACTGCATCCACTGCTTCCCTGCTATCAAGTGATGAAGAGCTGCTAGCTTCTGACTTGCCAGCAGATCTCAGTGGACGGGAACCCCAGAAATTTCAGTTCTGGGAAAATCCTGCCATTGCCTAGTTATGTGCCATGTTGGCACTTAATTCCCCGGGAGATGAGATGTAGCTCTTATCAGCTCTCAAGCCTGCAGAGGAGATCATCATCATCTTCATTAAGTACCATCTACAGTTTCGGATACAATTTAATTTCAAAAAATGTACAGATATTGGCTAGCCTAAACAGATTGTGCTGAATAATTGAAACAAAAACATATTATAAACAGTGCAAATACCAGCTTTTATAGAAGATCTATTCTGTGCTGTCTCTTCGAATCAGTTCCTGCCCTTCTACTCTCCCGAGAAATAATTATAGATGAGGAGAGAAAAACAAAACAGAAAAGAAAGATAGTGACAGCAAGAGAATAAGAAACTAACTTGAATTTTTAAAGAACCTCTAATGTCCTTAAAAAAAAAAGCACCAGAATCACAATACTACATTTCTATTTGAGTCAATGTTTCTTTAAAGAGCTGGTGAAGATGGCAATTTTAAAGGGAGGGAAAAAGTAGCTAGACAGAAAGGTTGACTAAACTATTTGCTAGCGTGGACCACAAGGGTACCAGCACTGGGAATGAGTTAAAGGGAAGAGGTGGGTAATGTTTAAAAAAAAAAGCTCCAGTAGTACTTTGTGGGGAATACACAAGTGAAATACCCAGATTCAATGCTATAACAAAAGGGTAAGCAGGGAGAGATTGAGCACGTAGGAGGATAAATCTGTCCTAGAAAAGAGCCAAAACTAACAACTTTCTGCTACTTTGTTTAGTAGTCAGTGTTGTATTTTGTAGTGCTAACAATTATGCCTCAAAGATAGAATATTGAGATTCCAGAAACATGGGCACATGTTGTAAAATGACACTGTGGAAAGGCTGCATCAATGTGTCATAAAAAGAAAAAAAGTGTCATCTTTTGGATGAACGGTTAAATTGTGACCCTATCAGATTTCTCACATCAACAGGAATGATCCCATGGCACTACTTGAAGAAAAGCAAGTTCTCCCAGTATCTGACATTTATGCCTCAACAAACACCACAGATACAGATTATCTACTCATTTAGCTTCATGTTGTTACTGAGACTGACTGACACAGTTATCTACATCATAACAGGGACAAAACTTCAGATTGTAGAATTGCTCGCCAAGCCGGTGTGTTGGGTCGCAGACATTTTCAACACCCTGCTAGGTAACATCATCAGTGAGCCTCCAGTGAAGCGTTGGTGTTCTGTCCCGCTTGTTATTTATATGCCTCAGTTTGCTGGGGTGGTTGGTATTACTTCCGGTTCTGTTTTTCAGTCGATTGTATATTGGGTCCAGTTCAATGTGTTTGTTGATGGAGTTCCAGTTGGAATGCCAGGCCTCCAGGAATTCCCTGGCACGTCTCTGTTTAGATTGTGCTATTATGGATGTGTTGTCCCAGTCAAATTCTTGTCCTTCTTTGTTCATGCGTATTGAGACCAGTGAGAATTGGTCGTGTCTCTTGGTGGCTAGTTGGTGTTCATGTATCCTTATTGTCAGTTTTCTTCCAGTTTGGCCCATGTAATGACATTCCAACCGGAACTCCATCAACAAACACATTGAATTGGACTCGATATACAAACCACTGAAAAACAGAACCAGAAGTGATGCCAACCACCCCAGTAAACTGAGGCATATAAATAACAAGCAGGACAGAACACCAACGCTTCACCGGAGGTGCACTGACGATGTTACCTAGCAGGGTGATGAAATGTCCACAATTAAACACACCGGCTTGGCGAGCAAGTCTACAACCTCTTATCTACAAACCGAGTCAGAAATCTTCACAAAACTCCAAATTTTCTCTATGGCATGGAGTAACTACATAAATGCAAGTTCTTTTTTCTAACTAGTCAGTCTCAATGGAGGTTACTGATTTCATCTAGTATTTTCCAATTCAAATTTTTCACCATTTGTAGTATTTTGCTTTCAGTAAAAAATTTCCTGCCCATATTCATCTATCAGAAAGACAGCAAATTCCACTTAAAAGGGATGATATTCCTCATACTTGTTCAAGTGTACCAAAGTTCATCCTTATAAACACTGAATGGGAAATATCCAAATAGAAAATAAAATATTGCTGTAGATAATTTCAAGTATTTCACCTTGCAATGACTAAAGGTATTCTTCAGGACATGAAAGACAGCCAGAGATAATGAATGCATGCTTGTCAAGGTTAGAGCTTCCTCAAGAGTGCACATATGCTGCACAATATTCATCAGAACTTCCAAAAGTTGGATCTGAGTCTGGAAACAGACAGCAACAAAATTATATTAGCAGCTTATAGATGAAAACATACAGGGCATCACAAACCTTGTTTGAAAATATTCTGATTTGAAAGTACTAAAGTCAAATCAATATTTTCAATTTCAATTTTTTTTCCCCACAGGCCTTATAGCATTGACAGAGCTAATAAAAATGAGCACAATTTTATTGTGGGGGGAGCGGGGATTAATGAAAATAAAGTCTATAAATAAAAAGTGGAGTACTGAGCCATGGTAAAAGAAGTTCCATTTCAGGGTATACATCACACTAAATTTTTAATTGATTTGGCACATGAAATTTCAAATACAATACAGCTGGTCAGCCGCAACTCTGTTTTCAGCAATTTCAAAGACACTCATGAAATAAATGCCACACTTATTCTTACTTTCTGCATTAGGCATTGTCTTCCATTATTCTATTCACATACTTTGTCTAACTCATTTCACAATTTCTGAATTGCCTGCTGCAATTTCATTGCTTTCCATAGTTTGATATAATCTTCAAATTTGACTATTTTGGATTGATTTTCTCAGTCCAATTAATTCATGCAAATTAGAAACAATAATCAGGCCAGTGTTGGTCCATGAGGCATCCCAATCAATTTCTTCACCCACACTTCCATAACAAGTACACATTTTCCATCTTTCAGCCTCTTTTTCCATTCCAAGGACTTATACAGAATCCCCACAGTTAAGTTTAACAAATAGCATTAGTTTTGAAACTTTACAAATGCCTTTCCAATGCCTAGGTATGCATCACTGTAGGACTCCTCACAATTCATTAGAGATGTCACTTCCTCAAAGGAGTTGCTTAAATCAGTCAGAATCATTCATCTGAATCCACGTTGATTACATTTTACTAAGCTTTTCTTGTACACGTAATCTTCGAGTTTACTTGTTATTGATCAGATTTAATATTTTACAAGGAATAGAAGCAAAAACTAATGGCTCTGTACTTGCATGTATTTGAATTTTCAATCAATCATTCAGTGGATAATTCACATCACTAGTATCACTTAAAGAAACTGTAATTATAACATGAAGATGAGTAACAAGAACAACTTAAATACTAAAAGGTCTTACCTGTATTGCATTCCTCAGTGCTGCCTGCAGTTCGGTGTTTTGACTGGACAAAGTTCCTGCTTGTTGAGATAACTTACTTGCAAGTTCATCAAACAATGTCATTGCCTAGCCGGAAGAAAAAAATCATGGATTTATCTTTCAGTTGGAAATCATTTGTGGTCATTGAAGCAAAAAGCATGAGAAAGTAACTTTAAAACTGGTAAAAGAAATAAATATGGTTAATGGTGTGAAATTGCAAGATTTTCTTTTGACTTATTAACACTAAAGCAGCTGCTTGTGTCATTATGTTTACTCTGGCGCATTGCTTATTTTATATCTTGAGTAAAATCCATATGTCAGTTAGGCTTACATACAGCAGTAAATAGCACCATACATCAAGGGAAACTGAAGGGTGATGGTCTGGATCTTCAATAGCCACCAATGCCCACGGTTTGACCTCTGGATATGTACAGTTTGTTTGTGCTGGAAAAGAAAGCTAGTTTATTTCAGCCTGGATGATATTGAAGAGGTCTCACTGCCTTTAGGGTAGAGAGAATGGAGACAGTCAGAATTCCTTCCCCTGATCATCAGGCAGCGAACCTTCCAACAATGAACTAAAGACGAAGTAGGTGAGGACCCTATGCAGAAACATCCTGTGAACAGATATAGTTTGATGGCCACTTGGTCCCTATGAAACAGTTATTGAACAAGGAGTGATTGCCACCAGTGAAGAATACTAGCAGAATAAAACAACTCAGGCTGCGTGTTTTTGGAATTTTGTTTTAAACAGTATATACAAAATAAATAAATAAATAAATATTCAAACTGGAAAATCCACATACCTTGGGTAATATCTGAGAGAAGAAGGCATGTTCTATATCAAAAAGGCTGATGTGAGGCAGAAACTTGCCTGTCAGAATCTTCAATACTCCTTTTAAAAAATAAAAAGGGATTTTAGCCCTTGATTCTCTGTAGAATCTAGAACACAGTCTCAGGATATGGCAATTTATTGTTTAGGACTGAAATGAGGGAATATTTATTCAAAAGTTTCCAAATCTTTAAAACTGTTCATTGCAAAAGGTTGTGGATGCTTCACTGTTAAGTACATTTAAGGTGCAGACACCCATTTTTATTTGGTCTAAGGCAATCAAGATATATGAGAGCAGACAGGCAAGTAAAGCTGAGGCAAATGGTCAGCTATGATTATAATGAATGACAGAGGAGCACGGAGGAGCCATGCAGTTTATTCTTTGTGAGAGAGGAGCAAACACACCAGATATGATAGAGATGGAGGCTTTAGGAAGTAAGGTGAGAGAATTATGCAGATAGTTGAGCTACTGTACACTTGGAACAGAGTACATTTGTAATCTGTGGAAGTCTTATTAGCAGAGGTTCTATAAAGAACACGTGGAAGGGTCAGAAATGGACTATATAAGACAGGGAAGGTTTTTGGAACTTGAGAAAAAGGGTCAGAGCAAAAGCAAGAAGTGGCACTAACCATTACCAATTTAGTGTAGAAAGATAGTCAAGGCAAGTCTAGTTAGGCAAAAATAAACTGTTTTAACAATAGTGGATAGAAATCCTTTGGGTTCTATTGCAACATCATTCATTTGAAAGACTTTGGAAATCTGGAGCACAAAGGGACTTAGGAGCCCTAATCTAGGATTGTCTTAAAGTTAAGAGCAGGTTTAGTTGGCAGGTTGGAAGGCAAAGACTAGAGTACAAGCGCAGGGACGTGCTACTGAGGCTGTACAAGTATCTGGTCAGATCACATTTGGAATTTTGTGAAGAATTTTGGACCCCATGTCTAAGGAAGGATGCGCTGGCATTGGAGGGGGTCCAGGGGAGGTTTACAAGAATGATCCCAGGGATGAAGGACATCTCACATGAGGAGCGGTTGAGGACTTTGGGTCTGTACTCAAAGGAGTTTAGAAAGATGGGAGGGCAGTGGGGGTGGGGCATCTCATTGAACCTTACAGAATACTGAGAGGCCTGGATATAGTGGAAGTACAGGAGATGTTTTCACATCTTCAGAGTGAAGGCACCACTCTTTAGAACTGAGATGCTGAGGAATTTCTTCAGCTAGAGAGTGGTGAATGTGTGAAACTGTAAATTCTGTGCCACAGACACCAAGTTATGACAGAGACGAATAGGTTCTTGATTAGCAAGGGGATCAAGGGTTACGGGAAAAAGGCAAGAGAATGGGGTTGAGAAACATACCAGCCACGATCAAATGGCAGAGTAATCTCAATGGGCCAAATGGCATAATTCTTCTCCTTTAGTTTATCAACTTATGGAAAGACATGACTGGGATCAAGAGTTTGTGTAGTATTATAACTATTTCAAACAGGTTAAAACAGGTGCTAATGTTAGAATGTAAAGGGAGTTGTCTCCAGAATGGAAAGGAGGAAAATGAGGCTGGAGAAACTGTCAGATGCTACCAAGATATAATTGAATAAATAAAAAAGTAATGGTAAAGTCAGTTTGATTGGACAGGAGGAGACCGGAGTAAGTGAAATATAGTGACAATTCTGCTAGTGTGTCTCATGGAGGAGACGGAAAAAGGCTGTGTAGTCAGCACAGAGAGGAAGACAAGATCTCCAGAGATATGAAATTTTTAATAGTATGGGAAAGCATCTACTAATCTTGCATACCCTCGTGAAATATATAGATTTTTATAATCATTCCCAATAACAAAGTAGAATTGTAGAAGATTCAAAGAATCCCTAGAGTGCAGCAAGTGGCCCATCGAGTCTGCACTGACCCTCCAAAGAACATCTACACCAGATCCAGCAACCTCCCCCCCCACCCATATCACTGTGACCCCACATTTATCATGGCTAATCCACCTAACCTGCACATCCATGGGCACTACACTGCAATTTAGCATGGTCATTTCACCTAACCCTGTACATCCTTGGACTATGGGAGGAAATCGGACCTCCCGGCAGAAACCCACACAGACATGTGGAGAATGTGCAAACTCCACACAGTCACCAATGACTCCAGTCTCCATCAGTGCAAAGTTCTCATTAGTAACCTGTATAGATTTGTTTACTTTTGTTGACTCAAAGATACATACTAAATACTAGATAATTCTATAGCAAATTCATTGTCAACTGTTCCCAATTTTCCAGTCTCAAACCTACTCAGTCCACAATCAATGAGGGCATAAGTCTTTGGATAACTGTTATATAACAACTTATTTTTGTTCAAGAAGGCATGAAGAAATGTGGAGGTACGTACTGTCAAAGCTCAAGATCACCTATATTCATATTGAATGGCAGAGTAGGCTTGACGGGCTATATGGTCTATTGCTGCTCCCATGCAATGTGCTCTTGTGAAATGGATTAAGCCAAAAATAGAGGTAGGTTTATCACTTGGAAATTGCAAAGGACTCAAGACATAAAGTACATTTAGATAAATGGTAAGAAACAGAGTTCTTTATTTTGAAAGTTGTCCTCCGTATATATTTCTCTTAACTGTTAAGCATTTAAATGGAAGGTATCGTACAACTATTATTTCAGCTCTTGGTCCTGTCTATATAGCTAACATGTATAATCAGTACTTACGTAATTGTTCCTTACTGCTTTCGTTATTTTGATATATAGAGTAACTGGTGTTAAAGACAATATCACAAATGAAATATAAATCGCTGACCAATTACATAGATGAAATTATATTTAAAATTACGCATAGCCGGGAACTGACAACAAAATAAATCATTGTTAAATACTGTAATAGATCATAAGTCTTCAGAATAAAGTAGGCTATTTGCCCATCAACTCTACCCCAACATTGAACCAGATCATGGTTGATTTGATTATGGTCTTTACAGTCACATTCCTGCTGGTCACTCCCCACACTTTACCCTCGACTCATTTTGGAGATCAAAGATTCAATCTCAGTTTTGAATAAAGTCAATGATTCAGCCTTCACTGTTCTCTGTGGAAGAGAATTCACAAGATTAATGACCCTTTGGAAAAAAGAAATTCCTCCACCTCTCTATCTTAAATGGAGACTGCTTATTATTATTGAATTAGAGTTCTGAAACACCTCATGAGCCTCCTCATCTTCTGAGCATCTACTCTGAGAAGTCCCTTCTGAATCTTGTATGTTTCAATAAGATTACATTCCATTTGTCTAAACCTCAATGAATTTATGCTCAACCTATACAATCTTACCTCATAAGTCCTCTGTCCCAGGAATTACCCTAGTGAAGCTTCTCTGCACTGATTCTAATGCAAATATATTCCTCCTTAAGGAGAGCAAAACTGCACACAACATTCTTGGTGCTGTCTCACCAACTTCTTGTACAGTTATAGTGAAACATCCCTATTTTTATACTACATCCTCTTTGCAATAATGACCAATGTTCCATTTGCCTTCCTAATTATTTACATTATCTGTATGTTACCACCTTGTGATTTATGTACAATAAAACATTGATTCCACTGTCCTGCAGTATGCTGCAGGCTCTCATCATTGAAATAATAATCTGCTCTCCGCCTGTCACATTGCTGCCCACTCACTTATTTATTTATAACCTATTTATATCACTTTGCAGACTCTTTGTATTCTCCTCATAACTTGCTTTCCTACCTTTGTATCTTCAGAAAATTTGACTTCAATTTGTCCCTTCATTAAGTCATCAAATAGTTGAGGCCCCAGAACACTTATTTGCAGCTCTCCGATAGATATTTAGTCAATTTGAAATTGACCTATTTACCCCAACTCTCAGTTTCCTGTTAGTTAGCAAGTGCTCAGTCTGTGCTAATACATCACTTTCGACCCAGAAGCTCTTATTTTATGTTGTAACCTTTATGTTGCACCTCATCGAGCACTTTCTGGAAATCCAAATACCTACACCTACAGAGATAGTAGGAACTGCAGATGCTGGAGAATCTGAGATAACAAGGTGTAGAGCTGGATGAACACAGAAGGCCAAGCAGCATCAGAGGAGCAGGAAAGCTGACGTTTCGGGCCTAGTCCCTTCTTCAGAACCTTCTAGTCCCGTTAGTTTTCCTTGTACATTCTCTCTGGTGGTCATGATTGTTTTAAATCTGGGGTAAAAGTGGGAAGTGGCACGAGATGAACTGCTCCTTCACAAAAGGACTTCTTTGATTCCATTCTATGAAGTTTCTTCCTTTAATTTTGTCCCCTGCTTTTTTTTGTTTTCAACTGTGAAGGTGGATACAAAATACTTGTTCAGTCTTTACTATTTCCTTGTTTCTCACAGTCAATTTCCCAGTCTCACCTCTAAAGGACCAGCACTCATGTTAACTACTTCTTTCCTTTTTATCTAATTGTAGAATTTTTTTTGCTTTTAATGATTCTCGCTAGTTTTCTCACATACTACAACTCCTCCCTTTCCTTTTTAGTCATCCTTTGCTGGCTTCCAAAATTTTCAAGACTGGCTACCGCTAATCTTAGCAACATTGTTTTCAATATGATGCCATCCTTAACTTACCAATTAAGACAAATTCCAATAAGAGGAGGACAACAAAAAAAAATTGTACCACTATAATATATACAATGTATATATAATTAAAATAATAACAGGTACATATTAAGAATGGATAATTAGTTTGTAATCACTGTTCATTTCTTGTTATGTCTAAGTATATCAAAAGGCATTTATCCACATCTTTCATTGTGCATTGTTGCTGCCACTGTAACAAAATAGTAGACTAACTGAACAAACAGTCCACCTAGAAGTAATCAATCAATATGGAAAAGAGGCAATTCTTTAAGTAACATCTATTATCATTAAATTCCAGGTGTCAGAAATACCCCTCATGATAGTTTTTCATGAAGTACTGTGCACATTCATTTCAGCTATTCAGTATGGAAAAGCCACGGTGGGACAACATCATCCATGATATTAGTTTCAAAGAACACATTATGAAGTCTAATGATATTGTACCTACACATGTAACACAGCTTGAGGCAATATCACATGCCCCTTCACAGATTGAGAATGAGTATGATCCAAGGAGACAATTGCTCTGCCTGGCAGAATCTCTGCTGCAGTCTTGTGCATAGCCAGGAGACCCTGTAAAGAGAGAATGCAGAATCCACTGGTGCACTCAAAGCCTTTCACAAGAGGTGAGCATTACAGTGCTATTAGATATATAACAAAATACTGATTTCCATTAAATCTTCATTAGTTTGACTACAGCCAATTCAATTATTCATTAGTGACAGCCTCTTAAAAGGGGCACTTTTGGATACCGATTCCTTGTCATTCAGTGCTACTGTTAGTAGTTTAATTAAAGTATGCCTTGCCTTGATCAAATAGAGTTTACTTCCAGTACTGGTGGAAAAAATTAAGGGAATCATCCTAAAGACCAAAAATAATCTGACAAAATTGGTTACAGTCTTTACTCCATTAAAAAACTGACTTAACTTCAAATTACTGTAGTGGCTGTGAAGTGCTTTGAGACATTCAGTTGTTGTGAAAAGCAACTTTTAAATTCCAAACTTTCATTTGATTTAAAGCTGCATGGCAGCCATATTCTGTAATTACTTGGCTGAAACTGGTGGTATCAATGAAAATGTGTTTTAGGTATTAACCTGACTCCAAAAAGAATAAAAAGGGGACATTGTTACTCTAGTATCCGATTGCATTCTGACTTAGGATTTCAACTTCTTTCAAATTATAACTGCAGCTTTTGTGCAAATGCATTCATTGAGTTGCTTTTGCCAGGTCCAGGGAAGCTCCTGGTTAATGTTTCTACAACTTAACAATAATTTTTATCCCATAATTCATTACCTATCACACACTTTTTTTAAAAATATGCATTACCCCATTCTAATTAACCAAGAACACTCACTTGTTAACTCTGCCACAATGCTTGCTATGACTGTTCCAGCTTTGGTAATAACAAATCAATACTATACATCATCAAACAATTAAAGGATATAATGAGTTCAGAAAGAACAGTTCCCATCTTCCTCTTACACATCTGTTCATTCCACTGGCAGACCTCTTCTAATAGACTATACTGAGACATCTTAAAGGTTTGAAGGTACTCCAGGTTAAAGAAAAGGCAGTCTGTATGATATGTGCTCTTCGTGAGGAGTAGTCACAGCCGAAGTTTACAAGTATCTGACATTTCAGCAATAATTGACGACTACCAATAAGGCCTGTTCTCGGGAATGAAACCAAGGGGGCATCATTAGCTGCCAGTCGTTTCCGTGGAAACCAGTAAACCTGCCATGAAATCCAACAGAACCCCGCCTTATATTTTTCTCCGTCGTTTCAGAGAAACCTTGAGCTAGTTGGTGTTTAAATACAGACGCAGTACTGTGCCAAATGAGGACTTAATCCAGTTGCCCACCTACTCCCCGTCCGGGACAATCTCCAGCAACTCCTTGCCAGCGGGAACTAGTGCGCATGTGCGCACAATGCCTGTGCGCGGGGGAGGTGCGGGTGATGACCGCTGCTATACGGCGCATGTTCATGACCTGACTGTAGAGACAGTTGATGAGTTGCGTCTGCACCATGTCTCATTGCACGCTTCAAAATTACAGGTCCTTAAACTCCATTTGTCAGCAAAATACTGCGGATATTGGAAATCTGAAACAACAGAACTGCTGGAGAAGAGTCATATCGCATTCATAACATTAACTCTGCCTGTCAGACCTGCTGAGTTTCTCCGGCACCTCGTTGTTGACATTATGTTCACTGTATTTCTGCAGATAAACAGCCTTTGTATGAAGAAGGATCCCGACCCGAAACGTCAACTTTCCCGCTCCTCTGATGCTGCCTGGCCTGCTGTGTTCCTTTAGCTCCACACTTTGTTATCTCTTATTGCTTTCAACCCTATTGACTCTGACTAATCTAATGATAATTCCTGGTAACATGTATTGTAGTGGCTCCTCAAATCATAGGGAATATCACTGATTTACAGTTCTTGTTAATATAAAGTTAGAACTGCTGTAAATCCTAAAATTACTCAAACTAAACTCATCAGGAAAACTTGCCCAAGGACACCGAACCTCCTCCGTAACAAAGTGTCCTATGACAATTAAGTCTTAGATTGTATTTAATCTGATGTACCAACATCTAAAAAGGACAGACAGGAAATCTCTCAAATAGAAACCTCAAAGGAAAATTTACCGATTTTAAGAAGTTGAAAAGTCAGTGGCTTGTCTAACAATGCATGTGCACTGTATTTGAAAGTTGTTGGCGAAGACTTACCTCAACACATGGAGCTGTGATATTTTTATTTGAAGGGTTAGATAACAGGTTTCCTAAGGTAGTTGTCATATTATTATCAGGAACAAAAATAGAAGTTGTTAGAAAAGCTCAGCAGGTCTGGCAGCATCAGTGAAGAAAAATCAGAGTTAACGTTTTGGTCCGGTAACCCCTACTCAGACTACTGTTTTTGTTCACAATTTACAGCATCCACAGTTCTTTCGGGTTTTAGTTGTCATATTATTATGTTCCTCTTTATTTATCATCATTTATTTTGTCTGGTCATTTTTAACTTTTATTTTGCTTTTAAGTATAATGTGATTCCATATGGATTTCAAAGGTTTAAATCTTAATCTTAGATTATGCGCTATCTAAATCACTTAACAGCTTCACTATACATTTACCTGATCATATTTTCTGCACCAAACATAAATTTCCCAGCAGCTTCATAGCCAATTGATAAAATTTAGGAGGTGCATTGTTTTCCACAAATTCATTAAATTCCATATTGAAAGGAATCTCCTTCCACCAAAATCATTGACATGATCTTGATATTATTGTCCAGAACTGCAACATTGATAGCTAATTCCAAATTTGTTGCATTTGAAAGAACACAATTTTACAATTTCCCTGAATGCATCAATCATATATAAACTGACTAAATGAAGAATACTCTGGCTCATGAAATCTATGTATTTTCAAATCTCTTGGTGATAAGAGCAAACTTGAAAACCATTATTCACTTCAAATTTATGTTTTTAAAAAAATGATTTGAGAGAAAAATGTTAAATGTTTATACACCTGTTGTACCATTTGAATGTTAAAATCTGCAGAATGCATGAAAGGTCTTTCCTTGTCCTAGTTTTATTTCACTTAAAATAAATCAAGTTGAATTTTTAAATTAATTCAAATGTTCCAGTTATCTCATCTGCGCCGCTGAGTAATAGAAAAAGGACTTCTCATTGCATTTTGATGAGCTTTTAAAAATGAATATTGAATGCCATATGTTGACAAAAACATTTTCGAGAAGAAAAAGATAGAGAACAAGGAAATGAGTTGTGGGAAGGATATTTTTTCCTTCCATCTGGAAAAACGGGTAGGGAAGTAGATGGCTTAAAGGTGTGGTAACTGCTAGTGGAGTAAGTGGGAGGATAGCATGTTGGATAGTTTAAAAAAAGGTGTGGGGAAGGTGAAGGCAAAAGGGATGATGTTGTTTAGGGTACTATTTCCTAACACTTCATTTAAAATTGGGCATTCAGCTGTCACTGGTTCCATTCCCATATCCAGCAGCTAAAATTAAGAGATGGATGCCGGAGGCCCCTCTCTGGACTCTATACTTCCTGATTTCCCAATTAATTCTCATTTTTGAATTGCCCCGATGCTCTAGCACCCTCTCTTTCTAAAATCTCCACACCCTTACAACCTCCAAGATATCGTGGTCCTCTATGTCTCTTAAGCATCTCTGATATTAATCATTCCACGATTGGTGGCAGTTACCAAGACCTACAGTTTAGAATCCCAACTTTGCCTTTTTCCCCATTTTGAGATACTGCTTAAAACTCATCCCTCAGCCAAACTTGTAGCTATCTCCCTTAAAGTCAATTATTTAACTAGCTCCCTAATCTTGCTTTATAATAGCCATGTGGATCACTTTAAGATTGTTGTTAAGTTTAAGGTACTTACAAAATGTTACCATGTGCAAGGTGATGGGTGTTCTGTTAATTAAGTGGCCGTTATGTTTTAAAACAAAATATTAGTACAATAAGAACATTTTAATTACAGTGGAGAAATTCTGTTGGCTCTTGGCAATCTTGAAATCTAGAGCGTAGCTGAGACAAGGCAATATTTCTTGGCTAAGATAACAAGGTATCTAGGCCCAAAACGTCAGCCTTCCTCCTCCTATAATGCTGCTTGGCCTGCTGTGTTCATCCAGCTCTACACCTTGTTATCTCAGATTCTCCAGCATCTGCAGTTCCTACTATCTCTGATACAATATTTCTTGGCTCTGTGCAGGGACTTGTTGCTGAGTGCCAGGGATCATTCACAGCTCTCAGTGATTTTTTTTCCGTGTAAACAATAATTCTTAATTCTCACTCTAGTTAAACTATCATCCCTTACTCTTGATAAACAGTATTCCTGTCTTTGGTTAAACTATGGTCTGATTGCGTTGCTACCCGGCGGCTGTTGCTGAGTGCTGCCACCATAACGGACCCATTTAGTTCACTAATAAACATCCTGCAAAAATTAAAGGTGGCCTGTCAAAAATAACGAATATCAATTTAAATGACAATTAGAAGGGTTATTTTAACATCGTTCAAAGGCATAAAGATTAATGAATAAAACATTTTAAATAATGTAAGGGCGAAACAGGCGACTGCACTGGACAGTTGTAGTGGGTCCTAGCAGAGGAAAAGGCGCCAAGCTCCGTTGACAGACGGTGAGTTTCCGTGGTAGGGAATAAAGTCTTATCGCATACCCTACCCCTGGGGAGGGAACAGGACCCCCGCCGACCCTCTCTTTCCCCAGAAGAGAACAGAGACTCCCACCCCTCTCGGGGGGAATGGATAGAGATCTCACCCCTTCCACCTGGGCAGGGGACGACGATCCCCCCAACGTGGGGACAGAGACATCTGTCATCCCCGCCCCCTCACTTTCCCCGGGGAGGATGGCGAGCGACTGAGAAAGACCCCTTCGGGTTGAGGAAGGGTTGGGACTTGCCCCCTTTGGGGGAGGGAGCGCACATCTGCGCGGGGCAGCGCCGGTCTCGTTGGCGCTCTGAGTCTGTAATCGATGTACGTGCGGAGTTCGAGAACTAACTCCGAGAGAGAGAGAGAGGGATGGGGTCCTGAGATAAGGGCGGAGGAGAGAGAGAAAGAGAGAGCGGGAGTGCAGTGAGGCAAGTATTTGGAGAAGGGTATGTGGGCAAAGTGGAGGAGGAGGAGGGCAGGGCATGGGAGAAGGGAAGGAAGGCTGAGAGAGGTGAGTGGAAAGGTGGTCGAAATTACTCAAATAAGCATCTTCGATTATCTCCTTAGGGCTACTGAACTAAATATGTTTAGATCAATGAATTAGATATATCAGTCCGACTTTTAGTAAATACTTTATTCACCTGATAAAATATAAAATCTCACTTACACATTCACGAGCGAGTGGCAGGAATCGGATAGATGCTAATATTTATGGTGTCATAATGCCAGTGACATCACAGACTAGCTTCAACTGATTTTGTATAAAAATATTCTTCACTTGGATCTTTTTTCAGTTGAAATTCTATACACGATTTTCTTTTATCAATTGAAAGTACTCATACTTACAGCTGACCATAATATTCCTGTTTTTTTCCCCCTTCATGTTGCCTACATGTTTGTCTTCAGGTGTGTTCATACACTGCAGTAGGTCGTATTCTTATTCCTGTGTAAATTCAGTAAATAATTATGTATCAAAACAGAAACTGCTGGAAAAATTTGGTAGGCCTGGCAGCATCTGTGGAGAGAAAGCAGAGTTATCATTTCAGAACCAGTGATCCTCCTACAGAATGGGTTAATGTTTAGAAACATTAACTCTGTTGTGGTTGGTTGGCTCCCCGAGCTGGTTCGTTGTTCTGCAGACGTTTCGTTACCCTGCTGGGTAATATCAATGCAGCCTCTGATGAAGTGCCTATCAGATTTCCCTGCAGAGACTGTGACAAACACTACATCGTACAAACAGGAAGGAAAGTAACAACAAGGGTACACGAACACCAATTGCCCACAAAAAGACACGACCAATACTTGCTCATCTCTATCCACATGGATAAGAAGAACCACCAATTCAACTGGCACAACACCAAGATCCTAGGACAAGCCAAGCAGAGACAGGCATGGGAATTCCTAGAAGCCTGGTACTCCACACAAAGCCATCAACAAACACATAGAACCTGACCCCATATACACTCCACTACGAAGGAAAACCGGAAGTGAGGTAATTCAGCACAATGTACTCCAGACTTTTAAAAACCAGGTGGGAAAACACAACAGCGCTTCATCGGAGGCTGCACTGATGATGTTACCCAGCAGGATAATGAAACATCTGCAGAACAACAAACCAGCTCGGCGAGCCAACCAACCACAACACCCGCAACCTAAGCTACAAATCTACTCCAAAACCTTAGAAACATTAACTCTGCTTTCTCTCCACAGATCCTGCCAGACTTGAGTTTTTCCAGCAATTTCTGTTTTTGTTTCTGACTTTCTGCATCTGCAGTTCTTTATTTTATTTTATTGAGGAGACAATTATGTATATTCGATTGACAGTATTGGTTCTACTGTATGTTTAGCATTTGATAATAGAATCAAGTGAAGATTGAGAACTGGTTTTAAAAATGAAAGAACTCAGCATGTAGAAAATGATATTTAACAAGCTTCCAGACTGTAAATATAAACAGAAAGCTATTTTAAATCCTTTAATCAGCAAAATTGATATTTTTAGTGAATAAGATGCCTGGACTTGTGCAGAATGAGAGCAATGGAAGGGGGAGCCCGATCAAAAGGAAACGACTTTCCCTTAAGTTTTTTCAGAAAAAAGAAGCCAAACGAGCACTGGATTTTACTGAGAAGCAAGAAAGTGAACAAAGCCCTTCAGAGACAAAAAAACTGGATAAGTATGTTGTATAAATGAATTTGTCTAGATAGTTCTGCAAAATTGAGCCTTTGACGATCCTATTTGTTCTAACACGTATATTTAGTAAAGATTGAACAATTGATGTGCATTAATCCAAGGATATAGAACTGCATAACAGAAATGCTTTCTGGTTTGTATGTTGTTACACATGTGCTGTTTTTATTGAACATTATTTATTCCTGCTGTTTTGGCAGAGAAAGTACAGTTAATATTTTGCCATTGTTGGTGTTTGGGATCACTGCAAATCAGTAATTTCTAGATCCTACAAACCTAAACTGAATGGAGAAGATTTGAAAGGTGTGGTACAGCTATGGTACGGGGGACAAGGATGTAATCTGAATACCACTGTCATATTTGTCTGATGTAAGATCCTGTTAGAATCGACAAAATTATAACATAGACCAATAAGGAAACTTTTAAGAATAAATACTCATGTAAACTGTTTTGAAGTCATTTGCTAGGTGTCATTGCATTTGATATGCTATCAGCCTGTTTTGAGATGTTCTCAGTGACACTATTACATGCAACACTTAGTTGGTGACCAACTAGAAAATAGATGAACCTATTTTTATTTTGATAAAACATTTCATAATTTTTAAAAATATCTTATTTCGGTGAATTTAAAATATTCACAAAAGTACCTTATCAGGACCTCAAATTTGTATAACATTAGATAATTTGTAATTTCGTAGAATATAATTGTAAACAGAAATGTACACAAAACCTGGCAAGCCTAGCTATGACCTGCTTCTAGGGTACCATTTATATAACAATGCATCATAACATTATGTAAATTGAATTAAACCTGGGTGAGGAAAAGCAGCAGTGATTTCAGGGGAGGAACAAATGAGAAAATCAGTGCCTCTGATTAAACATCACTGATCAGTATTTGCCTGTTTGGTTGGATGCCTCCAGGACCAAAATGACTACCACAACATGTGTTTCTACGAGGAGATGCTCAGAGGCTCCCAACTATGTTTGGCACGCTGAAATAGTGTGTTCAATAGAAATTGTTACAAACATACACAGTTGTGACTCATCTACTTGGCACCTGTTTTCATAAGATGGCCTTACAAATGGCCGAAGGATGGGAGTAAGAAAAAAAAATCCTTTTTAAAAAAACGTATACTAGCTAAAATTTCTTAGCTCATCAATTTACTACAATATTTTCCTGACACGAAAAGATCTTGGCTGAGTAAAAGTTCTGTGGAAGACTTTTTGTTATTTGAGTCTCTGTGGTTCTTCCCTTTTGTGTAATTGTTGGTAGCTATGCAGTATCGTTTGCAAGTCGAGTAAGTTTTTTTCCCCTTTTTATCAAGCAGTCAAATAGGGAATACGGGGAATAATTCCCAATAGGTACAATATTGTTCTTTCTTCTCCCTCTCAATTCCATCTCTAAGTCACATAACTTCTGTTAATTTAGATTTGTTTGTACTTTAATATCTTTCCCCCATCATGTCAAGAAGTCTCTCAGACTAAATTCTTGCTGGTTCTGAGCGCATTCTCAGAATCCCCTTCCCCTTCCCTATTTCTGAAGAAGGGTCTAGGCCCAAAACGTCAGCCTTCCTGCTCCTCTCATGTTGCTTGGCCTGCTGTGTTCATCCAGCTCTACACCTTGTCATCTCCAAGCAATATTTGCGTCAGTTTATTTATCTGATTTGCAGTGGTCCCATACAGAACTTATTGATATTTTTTTCCCAGTTTATAGTTGTTGAGTTCTTACCCCATGCAAATACTTCAATGCAATCATTGAAAATAGTTTGAACTTTTTTGTTCAGGATTACTGTCTTGTGGTTGGTTGGTTCGCTGAGCTGGTTCGTTGTTCCGTAGACGTTTCATTACCCTGCTGGGTAATATCAGTGCAGCCACTGATGAAGCGCTGTTATGTTTTCCTGCCTGTTATTTAAACTTGGTATCCATTGAGCTGGGTTACCTCACTTCTGGTTTTCCCTCACAATGGACTTTATGTGGGGTCTACCTCTGTGTTTATTGATGGCTTTCTTCGTGGAGAACCTCAAAATCAACTGGCAAGAAAAAGACACTACCAATACTCCTTCATCTCCATCCACATGGCTAAGGTAAACTACCAGTTTAGTTGGGACAACACCAGGATCCTGGGACAGGCAAAGCAGAGACAAACACGGGAATTCCTAGAAGCTTGGTTCTCCACTAAGAAAGCCATCAATAAACACGTAGAGCTAGACCCCATATACACTCCATCGTGAAGGAAAACCGGAAGTGAGGTAACCCAGCTCAACGGACACCAGAGTTTAAATAACAGGCGGGAATACACAACAGCGCTTCATTGGATGCTGCACTGATGATGTTACCCAGCAGGGTAATGAAACGTCTGCGGAACAATGAGCCAATCAACCACAACGTTCACAACCCGAGCTACAAATCTACTCTCAAACCTTAGGAATACTGCTTATTGAACTGATGTTTGGCTTTTGTTCTGCTCCTCCATTCTATCCCATCACTGAAATAGATGTGAGAAGATGGTGTCTGGAGCCCCTTTGATATCTTCAGCTGTTGGATACGAAAAGAAGGAGGAGCTTCTACCTTTTGTGGGCCTGAACAACCTTGGAAATACATGTTACCTAAATAGTGTACTTCAGGTAAAGTATTGATCTTGGAGGTAGTGTCAATTCATGAATTGTCTTCCCTACTACACGTAATGCAATTACATTAGTCTTAATTTTCTGATTTTGTATCATGGGAGCATGTACTCTGAAATACATGTAATCAACTGGTGCTTTTTTTTATTGGTTTATAATTTTTCAAATCATTTGTTCATTTAGATCGACTAGCCTAAAGCAAAGAATTTCATTCCCTCAAATAACGTTATAGACGTTCTAACACAGTAATAATATCGCACATGGGCATATACTGTGCTGGAGTTTCTCCATTTATCCATATGAATCTGAGCGAATCAACGCTGAAGGATTGCAAAATAGCTTATGGTTAATGCAATTTGTTCAAATTCAGTTTGCAGTTATTTATAATGTGCATAGCTGTACAGGCTTTCTTTTCCTGTTAGTCATTTAAATGTTATGGTATGAATTTGTCTAGAGTTTTGTGGTGCTGCTGCTTTTTCCACCATGATGTTTGCTTTTGATTGCATTATTCCATTCAATTACTTTTCCTGCAGGTCTATTTTTTTTTTAAAAAGTGCATCTTTTACAATCTTAGGACAAATTTATCTTTTGTCTTCATAAATGCAGCATCTTTCTTTTTATAAGTTAAGTCACTTCCAAAATCACACAAAAAAAAACAAATTGCTAAAAACTTGATCAAGACTTAACACTAAAACAGTATGGATTAGGTGAAAATGGGCAGTCTTGCTGCTCCAACAGTATGTGTCCTTTGTAATTCCTAAATTCATAATAGGGGAGGTGATGGCCTAGTGGTATTATGGCTGGACTGTTAATCCAGATCCCCAGATAATGTTCTGGGGCCCTGGGTTCAAATCCTGCCAAGGCAGATGATGAAATTTGAATTCCAGATATTTAATTGAATTAAGAATCTAATGATGATCATGAAATTATTGTTGATTGTCAGAAAAACCCATCTGGTTCACTAATGCCCTTTAGGGAAGGAAACTGCCATCCTTACCTGGTTTGGCCGACATGTGACTCCAGACCCGCAGCAGTGTGATTGACTCTGAAACCCCCTCTTGACAATTAGGGATGAGCAATAAATGCTGCCTGGACAGTGACACACTCATCCTGTAAATTAATATATTTTTAAAAAATATAATCCATAGTAATTAAGGTAAAGTGGCTGGTTAAAGTTCTGTTGGCCCACTGAAGACTGGGGATGGGCTATTTTCAATAACCATAGGGGAATGGCAGACATGCTGAATGATTGATTATTTTGCCTCGGTATTCATAGCAGAAAAGAAAGATAGCTTGCCAGAAGTCCCAGAAGGAAATTGAGGATCAGGAACAGGGTCTAAACAAAATTAACTTAAATCATCAATAATGGGGAAATTAATGGAACTGAAGAGTGACAAATCCACAAGACCTGATTGTTCCCATCTATGAGTGTTAAAGGAGGTAAGACATCACATGCCAATACCCTAATCGTAATCTTTCAGAGTTTGCTGGATTCAGGAGTTGATCCTCTGGATTAGAAATTTGCTCGTGTCACTCTGCTGTTTAAGAAGGGTGACAGAGGAAAACCAGGGAATGACAGACCAGTTCTCCTAACATCTATGGTGAGAAATTGTTGGACTCAAAGGTAGGATAATGATCACCTGAAAAGTTCCGTTAAACATGGATTCATGAACGGTACATCGTGCCTGATGCACTTCAACGAGTTTTTTTTTGAAGAGGAGACAAAAGCTTGTTTATATGAACTTCTGGAAGGCATTTGATGTAGTCCCACACAAGAGACTGTTAACTAAGGTGAAAGCCCATGGAACTGAGGGCAAATTACTGACGGATAGGAAACTGGTTGAGTGGCAGGATACAGTTGGAATAATGGGTAAATGCTCAAATTAGCAGGATCTGACAGGTGGTGTCCCGAAGGCATCTGTGGGGCATCAATTATTCACAGCATTCATTAACGACCCCAACTCCCATAAATGGAGCTGCATCAGAACATTATTCGAATGGGCGACGACACACTGCAGCAACCCAGAATTGTGCAAGGCAGAACAGGAGCACCTATATGGAGTTTTTAAAAGGATTTGATACCCAAAAGGCACAATTTGCTGTTAGCTCTGCGACAGACCACAACAAGAGGACACAACATGGTCAGATACACTAGTAACCTGACTGTACATCAGAGACCTATCAGAGCTGACCACAAGACTACTCAGACGCTTAGGTATCAGGGTAGCTCACAAACCAACAACCACCCTGCGACAGTTACTGACGAATGTAAAGGATCCCATACCCACAACCAATAAAACTAACTTAATGTGCAAAATGCTATTAAGGACTGTGGGGAAGCATTACATAGGCCAAACTGGAAGAAAACTGACAATAAAGATACTCTAATACCAACTAGCCACAAAGAGACACGACCAATTCTCACTGATCTCCATACACGCAGACAAAGAAGGCCACTAATTTGACTGGGACAACACATCCATAATAGCACAAGCCAAACAGACATGCCAGGGAATTCCTGGAGGCCTCGCATTCCAACCGGAATTCCATCAACAAACACATCGAACTGGACCCAATATACAGACCACTGACAAACAGAACCGGAAGTGATGCCAACCACCCCAGCAAACTGAGGCATACAAATAACAAGCGGGACAGAACACCAACGCTTCGCCATAGGCGCACTGATGATGTTACCTAGCAGGGTGATGAAACGTCAGCAACCAAACACATCAGCTCGGCGAGCAAGTCTACAACCTCATTCATTAACGACTTAGATAATGGTATAAAAAATCAAATATCCAGATTTGCTGAAGGCACAAAATTGGGCAGCATTGTGGATACTGTTGACTCCAGCATAAAGTTACAACAGAATATGCACAGATTTAGGTGAATGGGCAAATCTGTGTGAGACGGTTTTTACAGTAGGCAAGCGTGAGGTTATCCATTTCAGACCATAACAGGATAGATTAGGCGTTGTTTTTTTTTTCAGTAGGCGTGAAGTTAAATACAGTGGATGTCCATCAAGATCTGGGGGTTCAGGTGCATAGCTCTTTAACATGCCACAAATAGATGCAGAAAATAATCAAGAAGGCTAATGGAATACTGGCTGTCATCCCTATACTCCAGCCCTTTAGATATGTAGACATTATGCTGTAGTTATATAAAACCCGAGTTAAACCCCTCTTTGAATACTGTGAGCAGATTTGGGCGAGGATGTTTTGGCCCTGGAGGGAGTTCAGTGCAGGTTGACAAGAACGATATCTGGACATCAGGGGTTAAATTATGAGGAGAGATTAGACAAATTAGGCCTTTAATCTCTAGTTCAGCCTTAGCCTTCCTAAATTCTAATCAACGTCTTCAGGTTATTTTATATAGAAAGACAGGGTAGGTAAAAATAAACTATGTCCACTGGTTGAAGATTCTAGAACTGGGGGCATAGTCTAATAATTAGGGCCAGGCCATTCAGGAGAGATGTTAGAAAGCACTTCTGCACAGAGTTGTGGAGATTTGGAACTGTTCTTCAAATGGTGATTACGCTAGTTCAATTGTTAAACATGTATCAATCTCGGATTTAAATTTATTAAGCAAGAGATAAAGGTCGAAGGCAGGCATGTGGAGCCGGGCCACAGATCACCCATGGCCTTATTGTGTGGTGGAGCAGGCTCAAGTGGCTTAGTGGTCTGCTCCTGTTCCTAAGTTCCTAACTGGGCTGTGTATGTTTATCTTTTTCTTTCTTTTGTGGGATCCCAGCCAGAAAGTGACTGTCGCAATGGTTTCAATAAGTCACAGTACTCCACAGTAATTTATTATTCTGAAGAGCTTTGAGACTTTTGAGAAATATAAGGTAGTGGTGGTATTTCTGTTTCCCTTTTCCTGGAGTAAGGGTGCGAGCAAACAGAAAAACAAAGAACTACAAGTCAGTCAAAAAGAAAACCTGTATAGAGTCATAGTCATTACAGCATGGAAACCAACTCTTCCATTCAACTTGCCCATGCCGACCAGGTATCCTAAACTGAACCAGTCCCATTTCCCTGTGTTTGGCCCATGTTCCTCTAAACCTTTCCAATACTTACACCTATCCTCCCATTTGACTTTTGCTTTTGTGTAAAATAAAAATTTACAGCTTCCAAGGACAGGGGAAATCCAACTGCAGTGCTAGAAAAACTGCAATTCAAAGGTCATGATCCTCTCTGTCCGCCTTTTTGTTACTAAGATTCACCTGCCTTGGTTAATAAGCTATGAGTCATCGTTACCTTTTAACAAAAACTTTGATTATTTTAAAATTAGATTTTTATAAATTGGTTTTGATTTTTTTTTTAATGACATTACATGTTCAGTGTTCATTTCTTGTAGCTTTACTTCCACTTTCAATATTTCTTGATTAGTCAAACACCCAGCTAAAATAAATCCATGTTAATGTGGATAGATTTTCCTCCCACTGGTCACTAGAGGGCAACATACTAAAATAATAAAGTGCTAAGGCGGTAGAGGAAAAAAAGTAATTACAGTAAAGGCTGTTCGAATTTCCTAAATACTGTTAATTGTCAGTTGTGGTTTAATTGGTGGAATTGTTGCTAATCGGATAGATGTAAAAAATCTAATGATGCTACTTTGAAGAGGTACAGGGAGTTCTCCTCGTGGTCCTAGAATATTTCTCCATCAAACAAATTACTTTAAAAATCAATTACCTGGCTGTTACTGTTGATGAGACCTTTCTTGAAACAAATAGGTTACTGCATCTTCTATATTACAACAATGAGTTCACTTCAAATAGTACTTGCCTGGTGTAAAAGGCATTGGGGTATCTTGAGGTTGTGAAAATTATATAAAAAGAAATCTTTCTTTAAAATTGGAATTACATAACTGATTCAAAGAATTAATTTTCAAGTATTATAGGATTTGGATGAGGGTTTAATGAAAGACTTTGTCACAGTTTTGATGAACTAACGAGCCTGGTTCTGTGCTGTAATGTATGATTATTCACAATTATGCTGTGTAAATTTGTATTGAATTAAGGTCACGCTTTGTTAAAATGTAACTTTTTTCTAATGATTAGGTGTTGTATTATTGCCCTGGATTTAAAACTGGGATGAAATTCATGTATGAAATAATTTCCAAGAAACAAGGGATACTGAAGAATGAGGAGGATCCCAAAAAAGACCAGGTGATCATTTACAAAGTGCCGATGTTTTCATGGGATGTTTTGCTGTTTACTTGGGAAGCTTAATATGCTGCTACTATATACTTAACTAGTTTATTGATGTGTGGTTCTACTGCCGTTGGTAGACTTCTGGTACTTCATTTAAATGACTTCTGGTACTTCATTTAAATGATTGTTCATATATGATCATGTTATTTGATTAGGAAAACACTGCAGATAAGGCAAACTTTTCTTTTCTTTTGCCAACATGCAATTTCCATCCTGGGAACTAGCTATAAATAAAGTTCCCAGCACCCCCCATGCATTCTTTTCTCTGAGGGTCACTGAAGCAGTTTGTGGCCAACAGGAGAAATGGTATTAAACAGAATACTTTCCTGACCCATTTCATAGCACCACATCACACTGGGCAGTATCCATGCCTGCTGAATAGTAGCTAAACGATGCAAAGTGCATCCAGGAGAGCATCATTCATCAGCATGTAGAAAACCCAGCAAGGGAGGGAGCTGCTCTTGGACCTAATAATCAGAACTGAGTCTGGGTAGGTGAAAGGCATATTGATGATGAACCATTTTGGAGATAGTGACTAGTACTAAGATTTAGGGTAGTTATGGAAAGGATAATGATGGGCTGGGAATAAAAGTTTTAAAGTTGGGAGAAGCTAATTTTACTCAGAAGATACAATTTGCTCCAAATGGACTGGGAACAGCTACTTGCAGATAAAACTGTCAGAGCAGTAAGAGGCATACAAGGAGGAAATAGTGGGAGTATGTGGGATCCAAACCAGAAAATCTTGGATGTCAAGAGATATAATGGTTAGGATTAAGAATAATATTGAAGTTTATGACAGATACTGAGGTCTCAATACAGCAGAGTTCCTAGACCAGTATGTAAAGTGTAGGGTGGACCTAAAAAAAAATTGGCAAGCAAAGAGAGTGCAATAAAGGAAAGATCAGAGGTGTGCTTTAAATATGAGGTAAAAGAATAAATAGGGGGTGTGTGCGCATGTGAGTGGGTGGGCCCAGAAGACATGAGCGCAATGCTCAATTACTATGTTGTATCCATCTTCTCAATGGGAAAATGTGTCGATATAGACATCGGGTGGAGGACCAAGACATGTTAGAAGAAATGAATATTAAGAAACAGGTGGTACAAGCGGGTTTGGGAGACTTAAAAGTGGATAAATCTGCAAGCCCAGATGAGATGTATCCCAGGCTGTTGAGGAAGGTAAGGGAGGAGATATCAGGGACCTTCACAGTAATTTTCAAATCCTGTCTGGCCACATATGATGTGCCAGAGGACGGGGGCACTGCTACATTGTCCCATTATTAAGAAAAGGAAGGAAGGGATAGAACAGGAAATTACAGGCCAGTCAGACTAACTTCATTGATGTGGAAGTTGTTAGAATTCTGAAGGACAGAATATATCTGCAGTTGGAGAGACATGGATTAATCAGGGGTAGTCAGCATGGATTTAAGAGAAGGTAGTGTTTGATAAATTTAATTAAATTCTTTGAGTAGGCAATGAGGGGTGTTGATAAAGATAATGCATTTTGATGTTATCCACATGGACTTTAGCAAGGCTGTCTTGACTTTCACAACAATAGAATGATCAAGACAGTAAGAGCCAATGGAACTGAAGCAGTGACATATTGTGTCCAAAACTTGGCCATCAGAGCCAAGAAGCAATGGATGATGGTAGAGGGCTGTTTCAGTGATTGGAAATCTGGTTCCAGTGGATTTGCACAGGGATCGGTGCTGGGGTCCTTTCGATTTGTGGTGTACACTAATGATTTGGATTTAAATGTAAAAGGTGTTGTAATGTAAGATAAAAGTTGAAATGTTCGCAGATGGTATGAACATTTTGATAGGATGGTGAATAGTGAGGAGGATATCAATAGACTGAGCAGAACAGTGGCAAATGGAATTCAGCCTGGAAAAGTGTGAAGTAATTCACTTAGAGAGGGCTAATGGGGCAAGAAATTACATTAAGAATGGTAGGACCTTGGTTGCATAGCCACAGATTCCGGAAGATAGAAGGTCAGGTAGATAAGGCATGTGGGATATTTGCCTTCATTAACCAATGCATACAGTATAAGAGCAGGGAGGTTTTGCTGGAATCGGAATTCATTATAGGAAGCATTTGATTGTACCAGAGGAGAAGATTTACCAGGATATTCCAGGCTGGAGTGCCTGAGCATTTGAGGAAAGATTGAATAGGTTGGTGTTGTTTTCCTTGGAATAACAAAGGTTGATAATGAACCTGATAAGTATAAGACTGAGGGCCATAATGTAATAGTAGAAAGCAGAGTTGGGAAGGACCCCCCGACCCTGGTGGTGGGACTCTGAAACTCACTACCTAAAAGTGTGCTGGTCTCTTAATGTTTTAGGTCTGGGTGTTCAGGTCCATTGTACCCTGAAGGTGGCAACGCAGGTCGATAGAGTGGTCAAGAAGGCATGCGGCATGCTTTCATTCATCGGACGGGGTATTGAGTACAAGAGTTGGCAGGTCATGTTACAGTTGTGTAGGACTTTGGTTCGACCACATTTGGAATGCTGTGGTACAGTTCTGGTTGCCACATTACCAAAAGGATGTGGATGCTTTAGACAGGGTGCAGAGGAGGTTCATCAGGATGTTGCCTGGTATGGAGGGCGCTAGCTATGAAGAGAGGTTGAGTAGATTAGGATTATTTACATTAGAAAGACAGAGGTTGAGGGGGGATCTGATTGAGATCAACAAAATCATGAGAGGTATAGACAGGGTGGATAGCAAGAAGCTTTTTCCCAGAGTGGGGGACTCAATTACTAGGGGTCACGATTTCAAGGTGAGAGGGGAAAAGTTTAAGGGAGATATGCGTGGAAAGTTCTTTACGCAGAGGGTGGTGGGTGCCTGGAATGCATTGCCAGCGGAGGTGGTAGAGGCGGGCGTCATTTAAGATGTATCTAGACAGATACATGAATGGGCAGGGAGCAGAGGGATACAGATCCTTGGAAAATAGGCGACAGGTTTAGATAGAGGATCTGGATCGGTGCAGGCTTGGAGGGCCGAAGGGCCTGTTCCTGTGCTATAATTTTCTTTGTTCTTTAGTGGTATTTAGATATTCAGTTGTAATGCATTGCCTCTCAAGTCTGTGGGCAGGTGCTGGAAACAGGATGTGTAGTCAGATCCTTTTTTGTCTGGCAGAGACACGATTGGCCAAATGGCCACCATCTGTGCTGTAAATGTCAGAGTCTGAAACTGTCAGCAAAGTAAAACTTTTAAGAGGCAACAATGGCTACATAACCAAGATGATACTTTTTTAAAATAATGTAAGTTTCTTTTTCACGAGTTACTGTGTAGAACAATTAATCCTAATTAACTGTATCACAACAGTTGCTACATTTGACAGATTTGAGACAACTAAAATTTGAAATAACAATCTGTAAATGCTCTGCTATAGGACATATTAAACAGTCAAGAGGAATTGCCAATCTGTTTGGAGCTGATCTGCAATTTGCACAACTTGATTGTATCAATGGAACAGATACAAACCAACTATCTTCTAACTGCAGAGAATTACATTGAGGGTGAACTTGCTGCTCAGCCTAAGAGACTGATGAGTACGCTGAAGTAAGTTTTGTTTTTAAAAAGGTAAATTAGAAACGTTTGGGGGAGAAAGTGATAAAATTGGATGTTAGATCTTTGTTAAAAATATTACTTTTTAAGGCACTTCTGAACAATACACCTGTATTGAATGGTTAATGTGAATTTTAAAATAATTTGTGCATTTATTCATCCAGAGACTTTTTAAAATTATGGTACAATAGATTTAGCTGCATTTCTTTAATAGAAAGTTCCTAAAGTGAACAATTATGAAAAATTGTTTTTTTTTTCCTTTTTCCTCCTTCCTGCCACTTCTGAGGCCTTCTAGGGGAGTGATTAGCTATTTAATAACTTGCTAAAGTGCCAATTTCTCATGTGAACTTTTTAAAATGTCTGCTCAATGTTCAGCCCTAAAACACACACATTTGCAAAAAACATAAACCTTTTCATATTTATGCTATTTCTAAGGCTGAACACTGAAATGTAATTTTTTTTTTCAGCTACTGACATTGAATCATCATATTTGACATTCAATACCATTTCATAAACCAGCCTTAGAAATGGCATTAGGGAGGTCAGCAATTTGGAGGTTAACTTTTTTTATCCTGCTCCAAAACAAAAAGAATTGGAAGTCATTTACTTCCTACTGGGATAATTTGTCCATGTAGCTGTTATCGGAAAGTATCTGTAGGCTGCTCAACCTCTAGGTAATCGGTGCCTGTCCCATTTCTGTCCTTGCTTATGGTTGTTAGAAATATAATTTTGCCACCTAATCTGGGTAAGCATTGTAGCCGATTTGTAGTAATCCTCCTGGCAACCTAGTTGAGATAATTACATAGTTGTAGATCAGAAATTGAACCAAATTCTGATCTTTGTATCTCTAATTCAATGCAGCATTGTGCTGATCATAGAGCAATTTATGGCACTGAGGGAGGCTATTTAGAGTCTGAGGCCTTCAGCATAGAAAAGGGCAAATTGAGTCTGTGCTGTTCAAAAACAATCACCTAATTTTTCTATTCCCATTTTCCAGCAGTTGGCCCGGAGCCTCGTATGCCTTGGCATTGCAAGTGTACAATTGAATATGCCTTAAATGTTATGAGGGTTTCTGCATCAACCACCTCACAGGCAATGAGTTCCAAATTCCCACCAACCTCTGGGTGAAAAAAAATCCTCATCCCCTTACCTTAAATCTATGACCCTGGCCATTGATCCCTCCACCAAGGGGCAATGTTCCTTCCTGTTTAATACAGGAATTTTATAATTTTATACATCTCAATCATGACCCCCTTAGTTTCCTCGGCTCCAAGGAAAACAACACTTGTCTATCAAATGTCTTTATAAATAAAACTCTCCAGCCCAGGCAACATTCTGGTAAATCTCCTTTGCACCCTCTCCTATGCAATCACACTCCTCATATAATGTGGATTCCAGAACTTCACACAATAGTCCAGCTGTGGCCTAACCAACACTTTATACAGTTCCAACATCACCTCCCTGCTCTTAAACTACTTTGACTAGTAAATGCAAGTATCCCATAGCTGCCGTCACCACTTTACCTACTTGTCCCGCTACCTTAAAGGACTGCATTCTAAGGTCCCTGTGATCCTCTGTGTTCTCAAGGGTCCTCCAGATCTTGTATTCTCATGCATGTTTGTCCTACCCGATGCATCACCTCACTCTTAGCCTGATTTGAATTCCACTTGCCGCTGATGAGCCTATCTATATCTGCTGTGATCTAAGGCTATCTTCCTGTTTACTAAACCACTAATTTTCATACCATGTACAAACTTACTGATAACATTGCTATATTTTGAGTCAAATCATTTATCTAATTGGGCCCCAACACTGATCCCTGAGGAACCTCACTTGACACAGGATTTCAGTCACGTGCACCCCTTGACCGTCACACTCTGTTTCCTGCCGCTCAGACAATTCAGTAGCAAAAGTGGTCAAGTCTATTATAAGGAATATGCTATCTGGGCACTTAAATAATGGTAACATTGGACATTGCCAACGTTTTTGAATTTTTGAGGATGTAAAGTAGAAGAATAGATAAAGGTGGGGGGTATCAGTGGATTTGTATCTGGATTTTTCAGAAAGCTTTCAGTAGTGTTCAACGTACATTAGCAAGCAAAATTAGAGTTTAGGGGATTGAGGATAATTGAGTATTGGTTCATATATATAGAAAACAGAAAGAATAATCAAGTCATTCTCAGCTTGTGACTACTGGGTTACTGCAAAGATTAGTGTTTGGTCCCAGCCATTTACAATTTATATCTATGGATGTGGAAACCAAATGCAATATTTCTAAATTTGCTGATTTAAAAAAAAAAACTAGTGAAGGTGTGAGTTGTGAAGATTTAAGGGGATTTAAACAGATTGAGTGAGTGGGCAAGAAGATGGAATATAATGTGGAAAAATGTGAAGTTATCCATTTTGGTAGGAAGATTAGAAATGTACAGTATCTCTTTAAAAGGTGAGAGATTGATAAATGGTGATGTCCAAAGGTACTTGGGTGTCCTTAAGTCACTGAAAGATAACATGCAGGTACAGCAAACAATTGGGAAGGTAGATAATATGTTGGCTTTTATTGCATGAGCTAGGGGCAAGGGTAGGTACAAAACCTTGGAGCGACTGTACCTGGAGTATTGTGTACAGTTTTTGTTTTGGTCTCCTTCCAAGGAAGGATACACTTTACTTAGGACTACACTCAAGGTTCACCACACTTAGCTATAACAGCAGGTAAGAGATTAGGAATCCCAAAGTAAATAACTCACCACCTGACTGCATATCCACCATCTACAAGCCACAAGTCAGCAGAGTGATGGCATATTCTTCATTTGCCTGCACGTGCAACTTCAAGGACATTTTAAGAAGCTTGATACCATCAGTGCAAAGCAGTTCAGTTGATTGACATTATATCCATAAACATACATTCCCTCCACCACTGCTCAGGAACAACAGACGTTTCCTTCCAAACTCTTGATCAGTCCTGGGCAAGAGATACATTCGAATTCTGAGATCTGCAAGTTTCCCTCCAGGCTATTCACCATCCTGACTTGCAGGTATAGTGCCATTCCTTCATTGTCACAGAGTTAAAATTCTGAAACTCCCTCCCTACCAGTATTCTGGATGTACCTATACCAAATGGACTGCAGCTATTCCACAAAGCACCACCGCCTTCTCAAGGCCAATCAGGCAAATAATACACACCCAGCCAGCGAAGCTGACATCCCCTCAATGATTTTTTTTTTTAAAAGAACTCTTCACTAGAATGACAGGATTGACCTAGGAGAAGAGCTAAGAGACAATGAGCTGATAATCAAAGAATGGGAGATGATCTAATTGAAGCATAAGTTCTTTAACAGTGCTTAACAGGGTAGATGCTAGAAGGATACTTCCCCTGACTGGGTGACTAGAAACCAGGGTTATCATCTCAACTGAGATCATGAATTTCTTTGCATGAATCTTTAGAGTTCTCCACCTCCAAGTGTTGTGAAAGTTCAGTCATAGTGTACATTCAAGGCAGAGATCAGTGGGTTTCTAGCTAAAGATATCAAGGGAACATAAGGATTGTTGTAGTAGAAGATCAGCCATATCTAGAGCAGTAGATATTGTTTACTTGGATTTTAGTAAAGCCTTTGACAAGGTTCCACATGGTAGACTAACGAGTAACGTTAGGTCATATGGATTCAGGGTGAGCTTGCCAATTGGATACATAATTGGCTTAACGGCAGGAGACAGAGTAACGGTGGAGAGTTGCTTTTTGGGCTGGAGGCCTGGGATCGGTTCTGGGTCCTCTCTTGTTTGCCATTTATATTAATAATTTGGATGAGAATATAGAACACATGGTTAGTAAGTTTGCAGGTGACACCAAAATTGGTGGCATAGTAGACAGTGAAGAAGGTTTTCTAAGATTACAAAGGGATCTTGATCAAATGGGTCAATGGGCTTGAAAATGGCCGATAGAGTTCAATCTGCATCAGTGCGAGGTATTGCACTTTGGTACAACAAACAAGGGTAGGGTTTATACAATTAATGATAAGGCCTTGGGTGGTGTTATAGAACAGAGGAACCGAGGGGTGCAGGTACGTAATTCTTTGAAGTTTGAGTCACATATAGCCAGGATGGTCAAAAAGGCATTTGGCGTGCTTGCTTTCATTGCACAGTCCTTTGAGTATAGGCGTTGGGATGTTATGCTGAGGTTGTACAGGACATTGGTGAGGCCTCTTCTGGAATACTGTGTCCAATTCTGGTTGCCCAGTTATAGGAAGGATATTATCAAGCTGGAGAGGGTTCAAAAGAAATTACCAGGATGTTGCCGGGTATGGAAGGTTTGAGTTATAAGGAAAGGCTGGACAGACTGGAACTTTCTTCACTGGAGCGTAGGAGGTTGAGTGGTGATCTGACAGAAGTTTATAAAATAATGAGAAATAGATAGAGTTGATGGTAGTTGTCTTTTCCCTAAGATAGGGAATTTCAAGACTAGGGGGCACATTTTTAATGTGAGAGGAAAAAAGATTTAAAAAGACATGAGGCAGATTTTTTTGAGTGTCTTGCATGTGGAATGAAGTGGTGGATGTGGGTACAATTACAAAGTTTAAAAGACATTTGGATGGATATGTGAATAGGAAAGGTTTGGAGGGATGTGGGCCAGGAGCAAGCAGGTGGGACTAGTTTAGTTTGGGATTATGTTCGGCATGGACTAGTTGGACCGAAGGGTCTGTTTCCGTGCTATATGACTCTATAAATGGTGGAGCAGGCTTGAGGAGCCAGATATTTCTGTTCCTATTTCCCTTTTACTTTGTAAAATATATTCTTTTTTTCCTTTGTTTTTAATTCCTTTTTATTGATAAATGTAATCCTTCTGGAAACACTGGTATAACATTAAGAGTCTATTGTACTCTATTAGCAAGGCCATATGACAGATTTGAGATGTACTTACAATGAGCACTAGAATCGGTAGTTTTCTGTTGCAGTAAAAATAAATTTAAATGATATTTGAATGGAATAATATACATTGGTCAATTCGTACTTTAGAGAGCTGAATCCAATGTATGATGGATACCTGCAGCATGATGCCCAAGAGGTTTTGCAATGCATTTTGGGATATGTCCTGGAGGCTTGTCAGTTGTTAAAGAAAAGTGCATCTGTTGAAGAAAACATAGACTCTGACACAACTGTTAAGAATAAAATGAACAGGCCACTTGAAATTTTATCCTCTAATAACCTGATAACCAGAAATAATGCAGCAGTAAAAGAGGAAATGCTGAAGAAAAAGAAAAATGGGAAAAGAAAAAGTGAAACACAAGCTGGAAATGCCATGAAAAAATCTAAGCTGCCTAAGGATCTGAAAAAATCCGAAGAGAAACGACAAACGAGACAGAACAGAAAACTTTCTGGGGATGCTATTGAACAAGAACCTGATATTGGTACTCGGAGTGTATATGAAAATGGTACTGTGTGCTCTCTTCCTCAGAAGAAAACAGAACTTGGATTAAGATGGCCAAAACAGACAGTGAAGCAGCCAAGTATACTTTCCAAATTCTGTAGTCTTGGCAAGCTAACATCAAATCAGGGCATCAAAGAGGCAAGAAAAGATCCTGAAGTAAATGGAAATCGACCAAGTTGTACTGAAGCGGCAAAAGAGGACAGTTCAACAGAGCACGATTGTTCTGCATCAGAATGCAAAACCCATTATGCCACAGAAACCACTGATGAGATAAATGGAGGCCTATGTGAAATTGAAGACCAGGGCACAAGGAAAGCAGGTTGGTGAGCCTAACTCTTCCTGAGAGTTGTTATTTTCTCTTGATCTAAAACTGGAACAGCAAAGCAGGATTTACTAAATATTTGAACAAAATTTCTCAATGCCAGCATGATGTAGGCAAACATAATTTCCAACTAAATATTCTTAGTGCTGTGCAATTATGCTCACAGCGTCTCTGTCTAGTTTTCACACCTGTGGAGCTAGAAAAGGTCAAGTAAAAGCAAGCCAGAGGAGGAGAAAGAAAAGGAAAGCTAAGAATGATGAACTAATTTATTTAACTTAAGAAATCATGGGAATTAATGAGTTAGATGTTGAGATCCAAAATCCATGAAGTGAAACAGATGATATTACCTACTGTAAAGGTGATATTAGCTGAACTGCAAATTTGATGTGCAGTTACCTTCTGTGTACTGCTTTTATAGTTGATGGGGCTGAAAAAAGATGTAAAGTCACCATATTGACATTTCCTTGATGGATTGTATTCTAATATACCATGTCTATGTTTTGTCAAATATGACTGTAAAGGAGCACTGTCAAATTTCATAGGATAATAAGTGATTAGTTCTAAATAAAAACCGAAATAACTGCAGATGCTGTAAATCAGGAACAAAAACAGAAGTTGCTGGAAAAGCTCAGCAGGTCTGGCAGCTTCTGTGAAGAAAAAAGTCAGAGTTAATATTTCATATCTGGTGACCTTTCCTCAACTGTTTTTGTCTTTGTTCATTTATTCTCCTGTTTGCTAAACTTGTGCTCTTTTTCAAATTTCATATACTTCTATTCACAAGGGGGAAATTGTTTTTTGTATCAATTTAATTACAAAGTACTTAGCACATTATTAAATCGTTGAAAGAAAATAAATTCTTGGGACACCAAAGTTAGCTCATTTGTCATTCTTCTACGGTTTGTCAAAGAATATAGTTTGGCTGACTGCTACTCTTTTTATCCAAAACATGTCAGATTTGATTTCTTGAGCTGTTTCCAGCCATGTGATTTTATTTTTCTTTTGCCTGTGCGCTATTAGTATTGGAAACCTGACCTGTCTTTGCCCAAATGTAAATGTAATTTAGCAAGTTGAGTGAAATATGAATATTCACCCCCAGAATATATTGCTCCACGTTCAGTTTCCAACCCATTGTCATCTTTTTATTTATAAGTTTGAACTTGCGCAACATGAAACAAATTATGAAGGAGCTCTTTCTGTAATAGAGACCCTGTACAAAGTAAGCATCTAAAGAGGGAACATGTAAGAAAAGTAACCTTTTCAGTGTTGCTTTAAAAATACAATCAACACATCAAAATTATCTTTCCTCCCTAATGTGGGTTCCCATTTCTTTCTTAAACTAAGGGAGTATAATGAGTCAGGTAGAAACTTCATTCCTTACACTGTTACTTCAAGCTAGCTTTGAGAGCTGGTTCGGTGTTGGCTGATCTGACAAAGTGCACAGCATGATCCACCTGATTCAAGCACTTTTTCTTCTGGCATTAGGCCATTCCTGGCAGGCTCATTCAAGATCAGAGCATTAAAACTAGTTGATCTGTAGTCGTTATTGAAAAAGATAATGTCTATTTGTCTTTATCGTGCCCACTCACTCCTTTTTGATTTATTGCTGTTTCTTTGACTTTGTAATGTTTGATTTTCTTTCTGCCTGCATTCTACTTGCTTCCTTTTCTCTCTAAGCAACCTATGTAATTTAAATACAACTGAAGAATCCTTTGCATTGTTCTTTGCCTCCACTTTCTGCACACCCAGATGACCAGCTCCATTTCTAAAACAGCCTCCAAAAGGGAAGCAGAGATAAAGAATAAGGTAAAATGCACTAGAATATTTGTGACCCATAAATGTTGAAATTGCCTTAAGTTTTTCTCTATGCCCACTCCCTCCTGGATGACAGTTACTCCAAGTTTGTTCCTTCAAAAAGTATCATTAATACTCCCCATTCACAATGCCTTAACAGACAATGTTCTGCTCATAGTGATCAGTTCAAAAACCTAAAACAAGGAGATTGTAGGTGGCCGAGTAAGCTGAAGCATCCCCTTCCTTTATCATGTAGAAATTTGGGACAGTTTTAACAAATTATACTTTAATCGTCATGGCTCTTCACACTAGCACTGTTGATAGTAACAATTAGTTTTGATTTGTTTAGAGTTGCCTGGCTTTGAATTGCTGGATGGAATGTTCCAAGGACAGTTAGTTTTGAGAACACGATGTTTGGAGTGTGAGTGTTACTCTGAGCGAAGGGAGAATTTCCAGGATATCAGTGTCCCTGTTCAAGAAAGTGACTCTAAGGAAGGAGATGGTTCTGAGGGTAAGTGAATAAGCAGAGGCATCTTTACTGTTGTAGTGAAAAATGGTTCCATTTAGGGTCGGCAAATACAATACAAGATTTTACGATGGATCACATGATTTTAATTCTGTATTTAGGTGAGGATGTGAGGGATAGCTTTGGAAAAGAGTAGAGCTGGATTGCTCCTCTGCCTTCCATGAAAGTTAGTTTTTTGAACAATGACTTCTGCAAGAATGAATTGTAGTACAGTGGTCAAATGACTTGAGTACTGCATCCAGTTCAGCCAAGACAGCAAAGAGACACCGTAGCAGTGCAGACACAAGCCACAAGGCAAATTCCTCATGTGAAAGGGCTGAGCTGTAAAGATAAACTGGAGTAACAATCATATATCTTTTCTTCCAGTATCTCCAGAACCAAAGATGGAGATAAAAACATTGAAATGGGCAATATCACAGTTCGCTTCAGTGGAACGAATAGTTGGTGAAGACAAGTATTTCTGTGAAAACTGTCATCATTACACAGAGGCTGAACGCAGCTTATTGTTTGACAAGATGCCAGAGGTTGTTACTATCCACTTGAAGTGTTTTGCAGCATGTAGCTCAGAGTAAGTATTAAAATATGGAACTGCAAAAATACTAAAAATCCTGTGGGATCTTAAAATTATTGGAGAACAGAAAATTGATGACAAAGTTGAAGATTAAGATAACATTGTTTAAAATATCAAATATTTTAACTTCATAGTTTACTCCTTTATTACACTGAAAGGCTGAGGGAGGGTAACTCCCTATTCTAGCAAACATTTTTAACAAATGATTAGTTGAAGTACAAGTATGCAAAAATAGTATACAGAATGGGATACACCAGAAAGGAGGAAAGTTCACAGTAATTAACATGAAAATGCTTCGCCAGCCTGTATGGACAGGATGAACACCCAAAATAAACTGCAAGCTCAATGGCAAGTTGCTCTTGGTGGACAGAGAACCAAACCAATTTGCCTGTATGCTATTTGCTACTTCCAGCAAGGGCATTGCTATGAATGATATATAGGCCTGTATTTAAAATGCAGCAGTTTACTGGAACATAGTCGTTTATCCAAATGTCTTTAACAGTGAAAATGTTTACTATTTAAATGTCATATTTAGAATGTAAACATAACGCTGGATTTTTTTATAATAACATTGTATTTTTGCTATGTGATTTATTCTGTTGATTCTGTGCTTATTTTTAGATTGGAGCCCTATGGCAACCTATCAAAAGTGAATACTCCTTTGCTGACGCCTCTTCAGCTTTCTCTGGAAGAATGGAGCACAAGAGAGACCAGTGACTTCTATGAGCTATTTGCTGTAGTTATGCATAATGGGGTGAGCATTAGTAGTGGTCATTACACAGCCTATGTAAAAATGACCTGTTTGGGCAATCAGAAAATGCTCAAAGAAGAATCTGCATTGAACTGTGCAAATGATATGAAACAGGAACCATTCTGTGAGGAGGATGAAAGAGGCTCTCTTTGTTCACAAGAATATGATGATGTGGAGAGATCAGTTAAATTAAAGGGAAACTTCCAAACAGCAGCAACTGCTAAAACAACAAAGAAAAATGCAGAAAGTGTTGGGCTCCTTGGTGGACAAAAGAGTATATCCAATTTTGATCTGCATGTCCCCAAGAACAATCCTGAAAAACCTGGGACAAGACTAAAAGAAAATGTGAAATCTGATAATTGCAAAGGAAAACATGTTCATCCTGTTAAAGACCAAAGTTTTTGCAACAACCAACTGGGAATGTTCGAAACTGGGAGAAATATCCCTGAAAATCAGATTCCTCAAAGCTGCTGTAGTCTGTTGGAATATGAAGGAAAATGGTTGCTGTTTGATGATGCTGAAGTGAAGCTTACAGATGAGCAAGATTTTCTTAGTTCACTTTCTCCATCAACCTCTTGCACATCAACTCCATACCTATTGTTTTACAAGAAAATGGCAAACCCTTAAACAAATCCATCTGAAAGATTGCTATGAGTGACTTTAACACAGGATGTTTTCTTTCACTGCTTATTCTTGTACATTTAATATAGTGCAGTGTTTTTAAACCTTGAATCCTTTGTGTTATTTGCCAGTATAAGCTGTCTGAACTATGTGCGCTTCCAGGTTTGTTCAAAAATGAAGATTTCTAGGCACTAATTTTAAAAGCACATTTAGGTTTTTTGCAAATAATGGTGGGTGCAAAATTAGTTTCTTGCCTACTTGCAGCAGGATTAGATTTTAAAACTACTTCTGTATTCCCATTATGATTGAATGTTTAAAACACCTTTGCCACACTTGTCCATGTTGCTCCACAGCCAACAAATGTAAACCTAAAGAATATGATTACTTGCAAGTTAGGTTTGTATTGTAGCAAATACTTGACAAACTTTCTCCCAGTGCAGTGACATTTTCTCCTCCTTCAGACCTTTGCCAATTCAGGGACAAGATCCCCACTATCTCTTGATCCTGCCCTCCTGAGGTCAGAACTTGTGCACTGAGTACCACAGCAGATGTTACCAGCTGAACACTTTGTGGCACAAATGGGTTAGCATGTTTGGTTTTTAACTGAAATGTTGGTGATTTGTGACCATCAAGGGATGAAAAGTACTCAGTCTTTTTTGTGGATTGGTTAGCTCAATCTGGAATATAGTCACAGGTGTGCTTTTTAAATTTGTATTATAAATATTTGTAGTGTAAATATAAATAAATTTGTATGAAGTTTAATTGTATAACTTATAGTATGTAGTTTCTAAGAATTTGGAAAACACGTCCTATAAACTTCTACTCTACTCTGTAAATGCAATTGTCAACATTGTACATAAAAGACCAATGGGGAATAATTTTAATAACCTTTTATTTGAAATGTATATAGCACAAACATACATAGGTGCATTATTTAGAGATAAGAACTGTCGATGCTGGAGTCAGAGGTAATACTCTGGAGCTGGAGGAAAATGGCAGGCCAGGCAGCATCAGAGCAGCAGGAAAGTTGACGTTTTGGGTCTGGACCCTTTTTCAGCATCTGACCTGAAATGGCAGCTTTCCTGCTCCTTTGATGCTGCCTGGCCTGCTGTGTTCCTCCAGCTCACACTTGTCTCTAGGTGCATTATTTGCCTTGGGTCATTATTAAGAAGATATATCCTTTGCCCATGGCTAGATTTTGAGCCAGACCTCATCAGAGATGACATTGATAACCCAATAAGGAGCTGTACTACAAGGTATAAAACACCCTACAAGATGTTAATGACTACTTGGTTAAAACCAAACCGGTACCACACATGTCTGGCACAGTTCCATGATTTAAGAAAGAATTCAGCATTGCCATTTTTTCTATCACTTTTTTTCCCTGTGAATTGTGGGATTTCAATCAGGAAGACATGCAATGTCTTATCCTTAATTTTTGACTGGGTGTAGTATGAAACCTATTGTGGCACAACATTAATGTTGGATGGTTTCAGTGAGTTCAAGCTCTTTGTATTTTTTCAATTCTACTGTAAATTGGGAAATTCACTTTCAATAAACAGAACAATGACTCCATATCCTCTACACTACATTTTATTTGTAACCTTTTTACATATTTTTACCCTCGCTGACTTTTAGTGTGATATGTTTCCATGTAAATTCCTCACTAAGCTGAGATAGTTATAGCAGCCATTGGAACAGTTTCTGATCCTGTTTTTGGCCAAGGTACTAACATATGCAGGTAATATACTTAAGTGAAATTAGACTCGGGAATTCTCATCTTTTGATTAGAACACATTTCAATCGCGGTCACTGCAGCAAGTGAAAAGTAGTATTAACAATTTCTTATCCAGATGATTTGTCAAATAATGGTGGTGATTTAATGAAACTTAAAACCTCAGTGGTATTTGCTTCAGTTAAACAGAAGCAGGTTTGGTACTCCAGCACTTCTACAAAAATGAAGAAGTTACAACGAAATCAAGAAATAGACCACGTTGAAGTAATTTCAAAATTTAATAGTACCTTTTTCAAAAATAAAAATGGAATTATCAATGCCAATGACAAACTGTTCAAATCTTGTGAATTTTTTATAAATAGTACATCAGCTAATAGTAAATAACATTAAGAACTTTTAATACATAATGGTAGATAAATAGCAGGTATGACTGATTAGTGAATCTTAACAGTTGTTACTGCTAATAACACTAACTACAGAGAATGTGCAAGCGAATGTAACCATGTGTTGGAATAATTACTAGTACCATAACAAGTCATCTCTCCTTACTTAACCTCTTCACATCACTTAAAGAAATGTAGTGTATCAAAATGAGGTATGAATTTGTTTTGATGTCCATATTTGTTGTCTGAAATGAATAGGTTTTTTTTTTCTGCTCCTTTCATCACATGCAGGTATAGGTAAGTACCTAGGCCATCTGTTCAGATGTCCACTTTGCGAAGACTCAGTCTGCTGAAAGAATCTCTGTAAACATAACACATAGGAATTAACCAGTGTGCATTTCCCATGGTTTCTCATTTAGCCCCACAATATTAGAAAACATTTTTCCCTCTTTCCTAAGTACTGTCACTCATGCTGGAGTACATCTCCACTATCTTGTCTAATGTTTGTCAGGCTTCCTGTTCTTAAATTGACATCCATACGTACATATCTCTAGCTCAGTGGGAAGCTGACTGGTTATTGCAATAATTATAAAACCATTTAAGATGAGTTTGGGAATTTAAGTTGGACTCTTGTTACGTGGCTTAATAGCTCATCAGGTGGTAGATTTTATCCACTGTTGATTAGACCTTGCCAACTATGCTTTTCAAAAGCAGCAGCTGTATGATAAATGCAACTGACTTGTTTTGTTCTTCAATTATAAACAAACCTTGGTGAAACCCACTGTAGAACATGATTTTAACTAGATTTATGCAATATAACTAAGTTTTTATAATGCAGTTGAACAATTAACATCTTGCCTTAATGAAATGTTTCCTGCTCCTTTTGAAAGAATTTCTTGGACAGCATTAATAATGCAAATAATGTGTATCACAAAAGTCAATGGTGCCAAACATACTTAATTGCAGCCTTATAAACAAAAGCCCCTTTATTGCTGTTTGATACTATTTTGAACCTACCTATGGCAGCTGATTGGTAGGACAGGTTTGTAAAGCTGTGGAATTTTCCTGCTTATCAAAGGCTGAAGAGCTTCCTTGAGACGGTGATAGTTCCGTTCAAGTTCACGTTGATATTCCTTCTGATCAGGACCTATCAAACTTTTGTTTTTCCGGAGGGCATCCTCACATCTTAATGAAACAAACTGTAATTAGGAAATGTACAACACCCCATCTCCCTGATTAATGAACATGAAATAAGAATGTCTAGCTACCGTACATTGTGACCAAGCCTTTTTAACCATGGTAGCAATTTGAAAATTAAAATTGTGTGCTAATGTCTTTATATTATTCAATATACTTAAGCTAGTTTTTCACCTTTATTGATGCCTGAGGAGGGAGCAATCAGTCAATTCTTATATTTATTTTTTTTTACACCTAACAAGCTTTGAATAGAATCATAGAATCCCCGCAATGTGGAAAGAGGCCATTCAGCCAATAGAGCCTGCACCTACCCTCCAAAGAGCATCCCACTCAGACCTAAACCCCTACCCTATACCCACAACCCACATTTACCGTGGCTGATCCACCTAGCCTACACATGCCTGGACACAACACAATTTAGCATAGCCAATTCACCTCACCTGCATATCTGGACTGTGGGAGGAAACCAAAGCACTGAATGGAAACCTATGCAGACCCAGTGAAAATGTGCAAACTCCACACAGGCAGTCCCCCGAAGCTGGAAATGAACCCTGGTCCCTGGCACTGAGGCAACGGTACTAACCATTGGGCCACCTATTGTACTGTGTGTGGATTTCTTTTTCACGCTTGAGTTTGCACAAAATATTTCAGACTGTCACTATTCTTCAAATTTATTTTGAAAATTGAGGAAATTTTCTTGATCCAATCTTGAAGCAAAATCACCCAAAATTCTGGTCATTAGGATGTTGCTATTTCTGACAGTTTGCCAACAAGTGGCATATTATCTATGTAATAAATTGTTAAAATTATAAAGCCACTTTCACATCAGGAGATACCAATGCATTTTACTGAAATTCCTGTGCCATACAATCTATTCACTTTTTAAAGAAAAACAAATGTGTGACAAGAACCAGTAAAACTTTGAATCCAACCAGGATGGCACTTAACAGTTCTAGATATTTTCATAAACAATCTGTTTGGATATGTCATTATGTACCTCGACATCAGGTGGAACTTGATTCTGGGCCCCCACCCCATAGGTAAGGCTACTACCACTGCACGACGAGGGACCCATGACAATTTTATGCTTGGCCCAACTGCAAGAACAGTCAACGTTCAACAAATTACACTACTTCCAACCAGATGGTTTAAGTAAACGATGTATACACCAAACTGCAGTCCACTGCTCCATGGAGTAGCAGTGTGGAATATGACAGCATGTATAATTTCAAGCATTTGACTTCACAAAGTCAAACAACATTCAGCAAATCTCAGCTCACGTATAACTGATTTATAGTTTCTTGAATCCAGCTGCCCAAAATTTGGCACTAAATAGTTGTCATATAAAATGACCAATGGAGGACTGTCATTGGAACACAGTAAGGCAAATTAATTTTAGAAAAGGTCATGATAAATACATGAATCCTCTCAAAATAAAATGCTTATTTATCCCCACAGCATTCAGTCTGGATTTAACAGACCTATTTTGGGCAATAACATTATGATATGTGGGATTAATCATTGGATGATTATGTAGTAATGCATAGAGACTCTTGGGTACATGAATAATAGTATTAACTTACTATACCATAAAATTATACCTCCATTCCTGAAATTAGATATAACATACATAATTGTAACATCCATTCCAATGCAAGTCACCAGAGCATTACAGTCTGAAAAACATAAACTGGCATAAACAGGTGAGCTGAGATTTGCTGAAAGTTGTTTTGATTGCTAAATTGAATGCTTGAACATAAAAATAAGTATATTATGCTTCCGTTGTACAGGCATTGGAGACAGTCCAGTGGTTTACTAGATATTTACAAAGAATGAGTTGTCTTATGGCAATAGGTTAGACAGGCTGGGCTTATTATCACTGGAGATTAGAAAAGTGAGGGTGCTTTACTGAAATGTGCAACATCCTGACTGATCTTGTCAAGGTGGATGTGAAAAGGATGTGTACACTTTTGTAGATCAGTCCAGAACTAGGGAACACTTTCAAAATTAAGGATCACTCTTTTAGGACAGAGATGAGAATTCCTTCTGAAGGTTGTGCCCTTTTGAAACTTTGCCTCAAGACCACCAAATATTTTTAAGGCAAAGGTGGATAAATGCATGTTAGGCAGGGAATTAAGATGTTATTGGGAATTGACGTGAATGTAGAATTCAAAATCTAAACACATCAGCCATGATCTTATTGAGGTGGAGCAGGCTCAAGAGCCTGAATGGTCTGCTTCTGTTCCTAATTAATATGATTATACAGTAATGAAAAGGAGGTGGTGTATGTCCAGCAGTAGGAAACACCATCTCCTGATGCCTTATCCCTGAAACATTGTAGGTTTTTTTGTTGTAACGTTACATGGTTGAAAGCCACAACTGAATATGGACATTTCTGATGTTGCTAGTCTCTGAATATATCATGCTGTGTAATTAACAAATCAGCAGCAATGGCAAATGCTGCATACTGTGGAAAACAGTTTAAATTTATACCTTTTAGTGAAGTCTTTGAAGCATAGACGTAATTTGTTGTGATGTCGGAAGAGTTTGGGATCATTAGGTATTTCAGACAAAAACACTTGAGCAACTTCTAAAGGTCCCTGTGAGGAGAATAAACCAAAAGTAAAAACCTAACAATTGTTTTACCTTTCATTACCATGAAAGAATGTTTACAGCAGTATGCAGACACAATACTAAGAATTTTACATTACATGCTTGACTACAGAATAAGGGAAATTTTCATGATTCCGGCTGACTAGTTTTGTAAGTTTTCAATTAATTCAAAATGATACTAAAATAAACCCAAACTTTTTGAGGAGTTTTAGTTCAATAATGAATAATTGTACAAGGAGTCAAAAGACTTGAACCTTTGTCCATTTTTGTTTACCGTTTTTGTCAAATATTCTGGCTTGTTACTTTAACTTTCCTGTTTAACCTACACCTTCAGTTCCTTTTATTATTTTATACAATCTATGTTCCTTCCATCAAATTTAAAGGTGATTACATTGTTTGAAAGATTTTCTTGGTGACTAGGTAGATTTTGATGCCAAAATTGTTAAAACCTAGTTGTGATACTTAGCATTGGCAACACTGGTCTAGGCATAGAAGACAGGCATTTCCAGATGCTGGCCCTAATAGCGATTAAATCTGCAAGCCCAAGCAGCAAGTGCACTACAGTATTTGATTTGGAATATGAGCAAGTAACGCTACCGTCAAACCTGTTCACACTCTGAAGTACACACTTGCTGAATGGGAATTAGCAGTAGACATTCTAGCTGACGTTATTCTCCACTCAGAAGCAAGTGGGGTCAATTGCACAACCCTGATTGGTACCTGAGATCAACAACCTAAAACCAAAGTGGAGACTGAGCTCGGGCCTACCTGCACCTTCTGGCTTATATGGTGGTACAATTGTTAAATGACCTATCTTTGAAGTTCAGTCAAACATCCTGAATGTGTTACATTAGTACAGAATTTAAAGAACACTGTCACACAACTCTCATTGACTAAATGTGCCAACAGGTTTCTTTCTGTTAGACTGAATCCATACTTGATTAACTGTTGTTCCCACTGAGCCCTGCAACACCATTTGAAGCATCTTGGGATCAGCTGGATCTTGATGTGTTGCAAAAGCAAGCTCTTGAGTTTTCTTCTGCATATCTTCTATCGCCACTTCAATTGGTGTTAAAATAACCTGTGGATAACAAAACCAGTTTGAGTTTGATCAGCTATAATTTCTAGCTATGGTTTCAAGCATAACTGGCTGTATTTCTCAGTCCACACACATCACTATTAAAACACTGCCTATTATTAATGCCAGCTGAATTCATACATGAGATACAAGCATGGAGGATTACTGTCAGGTTTTATAGCTCTCACCAGGCTGCATATTTACTGAATGTAGCAATTGCAATTGCACAGGTTTGACTAACACCTACCCCACTCAGACAGTGGGAGAAATCAGTAGGGAGGAAAATAAAATGGAAGGAACAGCAGCTCATCATTTGTAGCCTATCCCTAACTGTAGTGGTGCCTTCGTGAACTGCTGCAGTCCACAGGGACTAGGTTGACTTACAGTGCTGTTGGGAAGGGAGTTCCATGATATTGACCCAGCGACAATGAAGGAACAGAGACATGGTTCCAAGTCAGAATAATATGTGGCTTGGAGGGAATTTGCAGGTGTTGGTGCTCCCATGCATCTGCTGACCTTGTCCTTCCAGGTGGTAGATGATGTTGTAGATGGGTTTGGAAGGTGCTCTTGAAGGATTCTGGGTGAGTTTCTCCAGTGCATCATGTAAACTGTGCTTACTGCTGTTTCAATACATTGGTGGTGAACAAACAGAAGGCTAAAAATGTTGGATGGGGTGCCAATTAGGTAAGCTACTTTGACCCGATGGTGTCAGGTTCATTAATAATTTTTAGAGATGAAACCATCCATGCAAGTCGATAGCACTCATTCACATTCCAGACTTGCACCTTGGACAGGCTTTGGAGAGACAGGAGCTGAGTTACTTGCTGCAGAATTCATTGTCTGACCGTTTTTTTAGCCATAGTATTTATATGGCTATTCTAGTTTGGTTTCTGGTCAATGGAAACTCCCAGAATGTTGATAGCAGGGGCTTCAAAGATGATGCTGCCATTGACCGTCAAGGAGAGATAATTAGATCCTTTCGTTTGATATAGTCATTATCTTGAATTTATGTGACATAAATATCACTTGCCACTTATCTGCCCCAAACTGAAATGTAGTCTGTGCCTTACTTCATATGGACACAGACGACTGAAGAATCTGAGGAGTTGCACACAATGCTGAATGGTGTGTAATAATCAGCGAACATTCCCACTTCTCACTGTATAATATGTCGAACCAGCTGAAGATTGTGTAGCCAAGGACAGTACCCTGAGAAACACTTGCAGTTAGCTCCTGAGACTAAGATGACTGACCTTCAACAACCATCTTTGTGTCAGATACAGCTCCAACCAGTGGGTTCATTTGACCATGATTAACCAGGAAAGTAAAGGACTGTATGATTTTTCTTTCAATTTGATACTGTGGCAAAGATTAGCGATAAATCAGAGGATTGGGATAGTTTCAAAGAACAAAATATGATCAAAGGAATAATAAAGAGGGAGAAAATAAACCATGAAACATAACACGAAAACAGACAGTATATAAAAAGGAAAAGAAAGCCACAGTGAACATAGGCAACAAGGCAGGTAAATAATAGGAAACCTGGGAATGGCAGGTGTTGAAAAAATACTTTACATCAGTTTTCAGGAAGGACAACAAACTAACACTGCCCCTCCACAGCCCTGTAGCCCCTTCCCCTGCAACCACAGAAGGTATCCAAGGGCCCAAACACACCTTGCAGGTGAAGCGGCACTTTACCTGTACTTCACTCAATCTAGTCTACTGCGATTGCTGTTCACAATGTTGTCTCCTCAGCATTGGGGATACGAAGCATAGACTGAGTGACCACTTCACAGAACACCTACGTTCTGTCCACAGAAAAGACCCTGAGCTTCCAGCTGCCTGCTACTTTAACACACCACCTTAGAACATAGAACATAGAACATTACAGCGCAGTACAGGCCCTTCGGCCCTTGATGTTGCGCTGACCTGTGAAACCAATCTGAAGCCCATCTAACCTAAACTATTCCATTATCATCCATATGTTTATCCAATGACCATTTAAATGCCCTTAAAGTGGGCGAGTCTACTATTTTTGCAGGCAGGGCATTCCACGCCCTTACTACTCTCTGAGTAAAGAACCTACCTCTGACGTCTGTCCTATATCTATCACCCCTCAATTTAAAGCTATGTCCCCTTGTGCTAGCCATCACCATCCGAGGAAAAAGGCTCCCACTGTCCACCCTATCTAATCCTCTGATCATCTTGTATGTCTCTATCAAGTCACCTCTTAACCTTCTTCTCTCTAACGAAAACAGCCTCAAGACCCTCAGCCTTTCCTCATAAGACCTTCCCTCCATACCAGGCAACATCCTGGTAAATCTCCTCTGCACCCTTTCCAATGCTTCCACATCCTTCCTATAATGCGGTGACCAGAACTGTACGCAATACTCCAAGTGCGCCGCACCAGAGTTTTGTACAGCTGCAACATGACCTCATGGCTCCGAAACTCAATCCCTCTACCAATAAAACCTAACATACTGTACGCCTTCTTAACAACGCTATCAACCTGGGTGGCAACTTTCAGTGATCTATGCACATGGACACCGAGATCTTTCTGCTCATCCACACTACCAAGAATCTTACCATTAGCCCAGTACTCTGTATTCCTGTTACTCCTTCCAAAGTGAATCACCTCACACTTTTCCGCATTAAACTCCATTTGCCACCTCTCAGCCCAGCTCTGCAGCTTATCTATGTCCCTCTGTAACCTGCAACATCCTTCCGCACTATCCACAACTCCACCAACTTTGGTGTCATCCGCAAATTTACTAACCCATCCTTCTACGCCCTCATCCAGGTCATTTATAAAAATAACAAACAGCAGTGGCCCCAAAACAGACCCTTGAGGTACACCACTAGTAACTGAACTCCAGGATGAACATTTCCCATCAACCACCACCCTCTGTCTTCTTACAGCCAGCCAATTTCTGATCCAAACCGCTAAATCACCCTCAATCCCATGCCTCTGTATTTTCTGCAATAGCCTACCATGGGGAACCTTATCAAACGCTTTACTGAAATCCAAATACACCACATCAACCGCTTTACCCTCATCCACCTGTTTGGTCACCTTCTCGAAGAACTCAATAAGGTTTGTGAGGCACGACCTACCCTTCACAAAACCATGTTGACTATCCCTAATCAAATTATTCCTTTCTAGATGATTATAAATCCGATCTCTTATAATCCTTTCCAACACTTTACCCACAACCGAACTAAGGCTCACTGGTCTATAATTACCAGGGTTGTCTCTACTCCCCTTCTTGAACAAGGGGACAACATTTGCTAGTCTCCAGTCTTCTGGCACTATTCCTCAAGACAATGACGACATAAAGATCAAAGCCAAAGGCTCTGCAATCTCCTCTCTAGCTTCCCAGAGAATCCTAGGATAAATCCCATCCGGCCCAGGGGACTTATCTATTTTCACACCTTCCAGAATTGCTAACACCTCCTCCTTATGAACCTCAATCCCGTCTAGTCTAATAGACTGTATCTCAGTATTCTCCTCGACTACATTGTCTTTTTCCTGTGTGAATACTGACGAAAAATATTCATTTAGCACCTCTCCTATCTCTTCGGACTCCAAGCACAACTTCCCACTACTGTCCTTGACCGGCCCCAATCTTACTCTAGTCATTCTTTTATTCCTGACATACCTATAGAAAGCTTTAGGGTTTTCCTTGATCCTACCTGCTAAAGACTTCTCATGTCCCCTCCTGGCTCTTCTTAGCTCTCTCTTTAGGTCCTTCCTGGCTAACTTGTAACTCTCAAGCGCCCTAACTGAGCCTTCACGCCTCATCTCTACATAAGCCTCCTTCTTCCTCTTGACAAGAGATTCAACTTGTTTAGTAAACCACGGTTCCCTCGCTCAACCACTTCCTCCCTGCCTGACAGGTACATACTTCTCACGGACACGCAGTAGCTGTTCCTTGAACAAGCTCCACATTTCAATTGTGCGCAGCCCTTGCAGTTTCCTTCTCCATCCTATGCATCCTAAATCTTGTCTCATCGCCTCATAATTGCCTTTCCCCCAGCTATAACTCTTGCCCTGCGTTATATACCGATCCCTTTCCATCGCTAAAGTAAACGTAACCGAATTGTGGTCACTATCACCAAAGTGCTCACCTACCTCCAAATCTAACACCTGGCCTGGTTCATTACCCAGTACCAAATCCAATGTGGCCTCGCCTCTTGTTGGCCTATCTACATACTGTGTCAGGAAACCCTCCTGCACACATTGGACAAAAACTGACCCATGTGAAGTACTCGAACTATAGCGTTTCCAGTCAATATTTGGAAAGTTAAAGTCCCCCATAACAACTACCCTGTTACTTTCTCTCCTATCCAGAATCATCTTTGCAATCTTTTCCTCTACATCTCTGGAACTTTTCGGAGGCCTATAGAAAACTCCCAACAGGGTGACCTCTCCTTTCCTGGTTCTAACCTCAGCCCATACTACCTCAGTAGACGAGTTGTCATCAAATGTCCTTTCTGCCACCGTAATACTGTCCTTGACTAACAATGCCACACCTCCCTCTCTTTTACCACCTTCCCTGATCTTACTGAAACATCTAAACCCCGGAACCTGCAACAACCATTCCTGTCCCTGCTCTATCCATGTCTCCGAAATGGCCACAACATCGAAGTCCCAGGTACCAACCCATGCTGCAAGTTCACCCACCTTATTCCGGATGCTCCTGGCATTGAAGTAGACACACTTCAAACCACCTTCCTGCCTGCCGGTACACTCCTGCGACCTTGAAACCTTATTTATGACCTCACTACTCTCAACCTCCTGTACACTGGAGCTACCTTGTTCCCTGGCCAACATCTCTAGCGAAGCTCAGTGCAAGCTGGAAGAACAGCACCTCATTTTCTGCTTGGGAACTCTACAGTCTTCTGGATTCAATACCAAGTTCAACAATAATAGGACTTGAGGCATGTTGTCCCATGTCCTTACCCCAACCCCACACACCAGGCTTTGTTATCACATGATCTGCCATTGCACACAACCCGTGGTTAGCCACAAATAGTCTCCATTAGCAGCTATTCATTCTCCCAGGCTGACCATTATCCACTTCTTTGTCTGTCCAACCATTCTACTCTCTCTTTGGGCTCTTTCTCCACCTATCGTTTATACCTTAAACCCCTCCCCTCAACCTATCTTCTGCATAAAATAAACATTTTCTAGCTGCCATCAGTTCTGAAGTAGGGTCCCTGGATCCAAAACGTTAACTCTGAATAGTAAGACCCTAGTGGATATAACTGATCAGAGGGACCTGGTCTCCATATACATAGATTCTTGAAAGCAACAGGACAGGCAGTTAAGATGATTAAGAAGGCATATGGGATACTCACCTGTATTAACCAAGACATTGAATACAAGAGTAGGGAGGTTATGTTGGAGCTATATCAGACATTAGTTGGGCCACATTCAAAGTAGTGTGTGCAATTCTGGTCACCACACTATAGGAAGGATGTGATAGCACCGGAGAGAATGCAGAAGAGATTCACTGGGATGTTCACTAGGAATACAGCGTTTCAGCCTTGAAGAGACACTAGCTAGGCTAGGTTTGATTTCTTTAGAGCAGCGAATGCTAAGTGGGGCCCTGATTCAGGTATATAAAATTATGAGGGGTAGAGACAGGGTAGAAAGGAAGAAATGTTTTCCCCTTAGTGGAGAGATCAATGGATGTAAGATGTTTTGGAGGCAGGTGTTTTGCAAATGATATAGGAACAATTTTTACACTTAGAGAGTCGTGGGTATTTGGAGCTGACTGCCCAGAAGAAACCATCACAACGTTTAAGAAGTATTTAGACAATCAGCATATCAGGCTTTGGCCAAATGCTGGAAAATGGGACTAGCGTCCTTGATGGCCAATATGGCCAATGGGTTGAAGAGCCTCCTGCTGTACTGCGAAATTCTGATTCTAAGCCTCTTGGATGTAATTTGTTCAGAATGCATGGAGGAAAAGAAGATTACTTTTGAGAAAAAAGGAACATTCTCACTTCTGACAAAATGTTTTTGACACAGTAAAACATTTAAAATAGTAAAAATACTGGACTTTTAGTGGAAACACCTAACAATATGAATGGATTTCAATATTCTATTAGTTACTGATGAGTCAAAACAGATTGTAAACTCCATCTGTATAAAAGTATTAACCAGATCCTCCCTTTGTACGACACCTATCTCAGGATCCATACAAGAATAAAATTATGAAAATGAGGGTGCTGCAGTTTCTCATTATATATGATTGCCACTCCCTGGTAAAGGGAGTCATATGATGTTATAGCTGAAAACGTTAACGTTCCTGTCATTAACATTTACAACAAAATAAAATTTACAACTTTCTATTTTTATCAACTTTGAATTCCATCAAAATGTACAGTTTATGGCGAAACATTGATTCACTTCCTCACCTCTTCTTTTTGGGTGACATTGATTCTGGTTTTAATGTAGGGGAACGTGTGAGAGACGGTCAAGATAGTCTTGCGTTTGAATTGTTCATGAAGGTCACCATGAGCTCGGCCATCTAGTGTGAATGGTGTGCAATACATGAAACGTCTCAGGTTATAATTTTTGTCAAAATACGTAATCCTGTCCTTCATTTCGTAGGTGTCAAAATATGGTTCCACATATGTTATCTGGATGTAGGCCTGTAAAATGTTTTTAAAACAGATAAATGTCACACACGGCTCACAGGAAATCTATTTCACTTACATCACTGTCCTACACTGACTCTCGATAGGTGTCTTGGATTTCCTCATTATCTGTATCATTACAGCGTTGTGAAGGATTCTGGAAAGCACAGAGTGCCACTTCCAGCATTATCCACCTCATGTTCACTTGCTGATTCAGCTGGGCTTCTGCTCTAGTGATCATTTTACTGCTTTGTTGAAATGGTCCCATCCCCAATATTTTCAATCTGCAGGAACAGTTCCTTGAATCCAGCAACCTGTCCCTCTGCCGGAATATTTGCTATTTCCTCCTGCTTTTGTTTCCACTTTCCTCAGATCCCAAATTTCGCTGCATTTAGTAGGATGTGGTACTACATTTCCACTGTTGTTTGAATCCACTGGAGTCTGGGCTAAAATGTAAATAGGTTCAGTGGAAAACTGTAGCAACTGACATATTTCACCTTCAAAGCTTTAATCTTCATTTTGTATTATTTACTTATGAGTACTAGAATTGACGTCAATGAGAGAAAACTGTCCATGATGGTTATAATACAATATTGACATTAACTAGAGTATTATGACTAACGTTCAACTCTGGCCTGCGAAGGTAAAAAACTCAGATTTAATGCAAAGTTTTTGAGTAGACATTCATTAAGAATCAGTATCAACTATAATGCCATGCACGGCCAAATAACGTCGCAGTTTGAGGTACAAGACTTGACTAACTAAGCCCAATAAGTAACAACATGTTTGGGAGATGATGGGCAGAAAAGCGATTAGCAGCTATTACTATAACATATTCTTCACCTTATTAGGATCCAATTTGCACTTGTCCACTGGATTGGAATCTTTGATAACTTCCACAACATCCTCACCAAAGCGTTCACCATAAAACGCCTAATACAATACAAAATGCATCTATTAGATAACACTGATAAGTGATACTGTATCCTATTTGAAGTGTTTGAAAACTCATATCTATGATGAAATCCACTGTAAAATGACACGTGCAGCAATTATGACAGTGACTTAGTTACAATATGTAAGTCAGTAACTTTGTTACATTATGTTCCAATTGAATCAAATGCTCCATTGTTGAACTAGTTACAAAGATAGTCTATAGCACATATATTTGGTTTAAAAGATACACTTTACGTTTGCCCACAGCTTCAGGAATTAGGTAAAGCAGACTGTCCCTTTGTACTTTACTAGATCAATATACTGTTTTGCAGAAAGTATGCTTCAGGATGTCATTTTTCATAATTTGTTTACATTCAAAAATATTTTACCTACTTTACGTTTAGAAATAAAGAAAATAGGAGCAGGAGTAGGCCATTCAGCCCTTTGAGTCCTGCTCTGCCATTCAATATGATCATGGCTGATCATCAAACTCAGTATCCTGTTCCCACTTTCTTCCCTTACCCTTTAATCACGCTAGCCCTAAGAAATATATTTAACTGCTTATTGAAAACAGTCTGTGTTTCAGCTTCAACTGCTTTCTGTAGTAGAGAATTTGACAGGCTCAACACTCTATGGGCGAAGAAATTTCTTCTCATCTGTTCATGTTTTATGGCTTACTTTGAAACTTTTCTCGCACTTCTTTACTCACTTAAACAGCAGGTACCCACCCTGTTTTTGGATTTTAAATGTCTGACTCCTCACATGACTGTTACCTCTCAGCTCTGAAAAGTCCTGTTGGATGAATACGTCTGGCTCTGAGGATACTGATTTCCTTGCCTTCAATAATTTCCAGCCAGATGTTGTCCATTGTTGTACTGTGATCTTTTCCGGGACATTCTCATTTACAAATGTATCCCACTAGGAAATCTCAGTGCTCCCCAACAATAGGTCAAGCTGATCCCCCAAAGAAAACATGGAATTCCTTCCTGACTTTTCATTGCTGTACTCTGCCCTCTACTGCTTTTGCCCAGCAGTCTGCTCTGTCCCCTGATTCATCTCCTGTACTATTAGGCTGTTTTACTTCAAACTCCCAAAGAATTCAAAATGCTTCCGGCACAAGCTGATCTTCTTTCAGGAACCTGTCTGCTGTTCTCTACATTCTTATTATCCCCAGAAACAAACCCACACCTATCTAAACTTGCTGTGCAACTGCTTCCTCTGGGCTGTAACCCACCGACATCCTTCAGTTTTCTTCACAATCCTGTTTCCTATGCTCACCTACTATACTCTTCCTTTTCCTATCTCCCAGTCCTATTGTTTTCCTTTATCTCTACCCCCAAACTACTAATTCAATCTATCATCCCATTCTCTGGCATCTGAATCTTCTCTATATTCTGTTCCCTGCTTCTAATATTGTTCTATCTGCCTCTCTTTATCCTGCTCTAGTTCAACCCCTTCCTGCTTTCCTACCCCATCAGGACATTTCACTTCAGTCTGATGCTGTCACACACCCATCTATCTAGTGCAAATCAATGATCTCCCAACCTCTAACCTTGCTTAACCTGGAGGTTCCAACTTGGCCTATACAATACCATACTTGACCGCATAGAATATTTCTTAAAATTAAACAACAAACTTGCTGACAATTCATTGAAAAGTGCTTTTGGAAAATAGATCATTCATAAAGTCGCATCATTGTTAGCTCACTTCAAGTCGATGAGAGATTTCAGCCAGTTTTGTTATCGCTGGCTCTTTGTAAACAAACTCTTGTTCATCCAGGTCACCAAACTTGGATCCGTAAAAGCCAACGCGGAAATAGGTACCAAACATCCTCTTTCCATCCTACAAAAGGGAATTTTTATGGTTATCTTGTGACTAATCACACACAATCCCATTGAAGCAAAGATTCTACTTTTATTTCTCTAATATATGAAGCACTAAAAGTCCATTCTGTTCATCTTTTCTATTCCCTTCATGGCCTACTATATTATACCCTTTCATTTAAACTAGAGAAAGTGTAAAAACGAATATATTCCCAAAAGCATCAAATTAAATGGAATCCTGCGATCGCTGTTATTTACCCTCACCTCTGGAGTAAGTTACAATTCACATTCAACATGTCAAACTCTTTAATCGTATATTATGTTTTAACCTTAACAGTCAGTTTATTTCTGTACAATCTCCCTTTAAAGGTATTTTTCTTCCCTCCAGCCCAACAAACCTTGACAGAGTGGATGTGGTAAACTAAGGGGTCTATGTCGATGTCATTCTTGAGATAGCTACTGAAAAACATGTGAGCCAAGAAAATATGAAAACAGGAATGAGAAATGCACAATATGTTTTGCCCACACTTGCCACTTGCCAGAGCATTTGCAATAAAAATGTAACATCAAATGTACTGTTTTCTTCCAAAAAATTATGAAAATTGCTTTCCATACTTCCTTTCCCCAAAATAATAGGCCCTCGCTCTTGTTGGGAACTGCTTTGCCTCAACTTAGTATCTCTGAGACACCATAGTGGCACAATGGAAAACCATATTTATATTCTGACTTCCTGCACTTTGCTGGTATCAATTATTTGCATGTCCATGCTTTCCTACTAGTGATTACTGTTAAGACATTTTATTTTAAATCATTACTAGTCAAATTGAATTCTTTCAATACTAAGTGAATACTGTTCATTATGCAGCATTAAGGAAATGATATGCAATGTCACACTTTTAACATGCCTTCAGCCATTCTAAAGGCACTGACCCAACACTGGCATTTAGTTTCATGAGGCCCAGGTACTTTATCTTGTCCTACAACCTGCACACTGTGTCTGCAGCATCTTGGGTTGTGGGTATCTGCACACACTACATTGTTCAGGCTGCTTTGTTCTGATCTATAAGTAAAACTTTTCAAACTCTTAGAGTCAAGGGGTCATACGGCACAGAAACAGGCCCTTCGGTCCAAATCATTTGCGCCAACCAGACATCCCAATCTGACCCAGCCCCATTTGCCAGCATTTGGCCCATATCCCTTTAAATCATTCCTGATCATTTACCCATCCAGATGCCTTTTAAATGCTGTAATTGTACCCGACTCCACCACTTTCTCTGGCAGCTCATTCCACACATTCACCACTCTCGACGTGAAAAAGTTACTGTTCAGGTCCTTTTTAAATGTTTCCCTTCTCACCTTAAACCTATGCCCTCTAATTTTGGACTCCTCCACCCTAGGAAAAGGACCTTGGCGATTCACCCTATGCATGGCCCTCATGATTTTATAAACTTTTATAAGGTCACCCCTCAGTCTCTGACACTCTGGGGAAAAAAGCCCCAGCCTATTTGGCCTCTCCCAATAGTTCAAACCCTCCAGTCCCGGCAATATCCTTGTAAGTCTTTGCTGCATCCTCTCAAGTTTAATAACACCCTTCCTATAGAAGGGCAACCAGAACTGTACGCAGTATTTCAAAAGTGGCCTGACCAAAGTCATGTACGGCTGCAACATGACATCCCAAAGTCCTACACCCAACACTATGATCAATGAAGGCAAGCATGCCAAACACCTTCTTCACCACCTTGTCTACCTACAACTCCACGTTCAAGGAACTATGCACCTGCACCCCTAGGTCTCTTTGTTCAGTGAGACTCCCCAGGATCCTACCATTAACTGTATAAGTTCTGCCCTGGTTTACCTTACCAAAATGCAACACACATTTATCTAAATTAAACTCCATCTGCCCATTGGCCTATCTGATCAAGGTCCTATTGTACTCTTCTTCACTGTCCATGACACTACCTATTTGGTGTCATCTGCAAACTTACTAACAATACCTCCTCTATTCACATCCAAATCATTTAAATAAATGACAAAAAGCAATGAACCCAGCACTGATCCTTGCAGCACACCACTGGTCACAGGCCTCTAGTCCAAAAACAACCCTCCACCATCACCCTCTGTCTCCTACCTTCAAGCCAATTTTGTATCCAATTGGCTAGCTCCCCTGGATTCCACGTGACCTACCCTTACTAAGCAGTGTATCAAGTGGAACCCTGTTCTACTTCTACTGAAGTCCATATAGAGAACGTCTACCACTCTACCTTCATCAATGTTCTTTGTCATCTCTTCAAAAAACTCAAGTTAGTGAGACACGATTTGCCATGCACAAAGCCATGCTGACTATCCATAATCAGTCCTTGCCTTTCCAAATGCATGCAAATCTTGTCCCGCAGAATTCCTTCCAACAATGTAACCACCACTGATATAAGGCACACTGGTCTATAGTTCCCTGGCTCTTATATACTGCAGCACTCCTTTATTTACATTTGTAAAGGGCAGGCTCTAAACCACAGCTCTTCAGCGTCGCATTTAAAACTTCTCTCTTTCCATATGCTCATCCTGGACTGGTCTCTTCTCTTGTACTGATGTCAGAGGTACATTACCATCATTTACTTATATATCAATGTATCACATTAGGTACTATCCAGTCAGAGATAGTAGGAACTGCAGATGCTGGAGAATCCGAGACAACAAGGTGCAGGGCTGGATGAACACAGCAGGCCAAGCAGCATCATAGGAGCAGAGAGGCTGACGTTTCGGGCCTAGACCCTTCATCAGAAAAGGGGGAGGGGAAGGGGGTTTTGAAATAAATAGGGAGAGAGTGGGAGGCGGATAGAAGAGGGATAGAGGAGAGGATAGGTGGAGAGGAAACAAACAGGTCGAAGAGGCGGGGATGG